TTGAAACTTTCAACAGAACGCGTCCAAGTCTAAATTTAACGCAGAAAATTTCCTTGAAAAGTTCTGAACTCTCAAATTCTCAAAAAATTACCGAAAAATTCTCTAAATTTCCTAAGGTCACAATTACCGCGTTATTTTCCAAGATCGACACATCAACGACGCAGATCTTTTCAATCAAGAGGAAGATTGAAACGAACGAAACAGAGGATTTCGAGAGGAAATTTTTAATCACTTACCTGTGGACACATCTTGCACTGGTACTTTCTCGGTGGATGAGAGTGCGGCCCACCCAGGTGAGGGTTCAGATGCGACGGATGAGAGGGTTTCACGGTCAAGGGTTGAGGAACCACCAGCAAACTCGCTGGAGGACTTCCGCTGCTGGATCCCCCGGCACCTCGGTATTGCTCGTCACCTGAAATCAACAAATATCAAGGATAATCATATTATTTGTTGAACATGTATTTAATTTAACTTCGCGAGAACTTGTTTCTCTTTTTTTTTTTTTTTTTGTAAATAATTATATTCGCCGCGTCATGTTAATTAAGCCAATCTTCAGTGATTCAGGCTTTAATTAACCCACTTTGTAATTTATTCCTGTGACAGTGCGAGAAGCATAAAAAAAGGATTGCCGAGAGAACTGAATGATTTATTATGTAAAAACTAAATCTTCCATGGCTAATTCTCTACGTGATTCAGATTCTGAAAGATTTTTTTTAATCGAATGTTCTCCTCAATTATTACCACGACAGTTTGAACGGTCACTTTAAAACATCGAACTGTAGTGAAGATGAAAACTGGCTGTTTTGAATTGGAAAGGGTAGTAAAAAAATTAATATTCACGTCGGAAACATTCGTCAATTATATATAAAACAGATATTGCTCAGAGAGAAGAGTAAAATTTGATTGTTTTAAAGCTGAAAAAGAAGAAATTCCCCCAGATTCCTACTGTAATTTCAAGAAATCTTTTAATAACGTATACAATATTTCATAAACGAATAAATTAACATCTACACTGCAACATACTATTAAGAATTTCTATCATCAGCAGAAATGCGATCTTAAAAATAAATTCGATTGTTTCGAGCTTTAAATAATTTGAAAAATACTAGAGATATCATTTACATTTAATTTTACAAGACTAATTACCATCACTTTCAAACAAATAAATTAACTAATAACAACAGAGAAGATATTTTCAAGTACATCGCACGACGTGAGATTCGATAACTGTCGTAATCCGCATGAAATTTCTGTTTATAAATCTGTATAAATACAACATTACGATCGTGATCTAACCAGATTAGAAAGTCGCTATCGCGGCGAATATAATATTTATTTATTAAACTGGTTCGCTGGTTTTCCTGGAGCTGATTATTGAATCAGAGAGAGAAAGAGAGAGAGAGAGAGAGAGAGAGAGAAATGTCCGCAGACGTTCATCGTCGACCGATTAACACGAGATAATACGTCCATTAAGTGGTAACGACAACGAGAGAGAAAAAAAAAAAGTTGCGAAACGCAAACGTATCGACGTGTACGCAAATTCAAGGAATACTGCCGACGTTTATCGTAATGAGTGATCTTGAATAAAAGAGATTGTAATTAGAGAATATTGTACGATGCCACGGAAATGAATGTCGTTAACAGGAAACCTTCGTGCCTCGTATCTCGTTCTTTTCTTTTCGTTCGTGCTTCACTTTCGTTCATTAATATCTAGTAAATTCGCTCGACAGAAGTTAAAAAGTTAACATAAAGCCCACGTGACCATAATTAAACCGTCGTTTTTCGGAACTGTGAGTGTGTGTATAAAATTTTATTTCATTTAAATTGCTTCCCTTTAAATTGTTGTTGCTAGATGGTAATGTTTATTAAATTTGAAAAATATTACTTATGGGTATAATATTACTTATGGCCTAATATATATTGCAGAAATTGTAGATGCAGAGAACATAGAAATATTGGGGGTAATTATTTTTATTGAGACAACTATAGTTTCTCATAAGAGTTGGTAGAAATTTCCAGATTGAAATAAGAAGTCGTATCGAATTTTTAGTAAACAATCACTTTAACTGCCAACAGAGAGTCAAGTAATAGCAAACTTTATCCTGAAAGCAACGAAAATCCATCATTTTATTAAATTAAATTTTTAGATTTCCAGCAGAAATTGTCTTATTCAAGAAATACCAATATTTAATCAACATTAAAGATTCATTGACAATAAGTCTTTAATAAATAAAGTGAAGCAACACTTGGAGACTATCAAAAATTCACAATTAAATTCCAAATTTCCAAATGAAATTCTCTCGTTCAGAAAAGATCTACAACATCTATATTCTTTAATTGATTAAAAAGATGAAACCTAAAAAGATTTGTTTTATCCATTATATATATATATATATATATATATATATATATATATATATATATATATATAATAAAACACATATTCTACTTTATGTATTTTATATAGGTATTTCTTCGTACATCATATCTGTACATTTCTGCAACTCTCGATTTCCCATAAACGTGCGTGTAAAAAAAAATCCGAGAAGGACATTTCCACAAACCAAATCGCCAAAGAGATAAAAACCAAAGAAAGAAAAGGAGCAAACGAAAGAAATCGTTTCGTCTACTGTTCGCGAGACGTTCTTTCACCTCCGGACGTTTTTATATCCCTCTGCTTTAGATCTCGTTGCACGTTGCCACGCATTGCGTGCACTTTCGCAACTCCCAATTTCCCGCGGACGCATAAAAATCCGCAGCCCCGCTAATGATAAGCCTCCGATGATAATTAATGGAAGGTATACGAAGCGAGGTACGAAGAATTGCGGCGGGCATGAGCAAACACGCAGGGAGAGAAGCACGCGGACTGACGCAACGCGAGGGGCAAGGATCCTGGACAGGTTGCAAGGACGAGTGATCCTGCGCTACGAGTGGCTGTCATTAAAGTCGAGTACTCAATATCGAGATCGAGCCGCACGCGGCTCTCCGGCACAGGTGCAACGTTCGGTGTGTGCGTGTGCGTTGCCTCGATCGTGCCGCTCCGTATTCTTCTCATCTTTACTATTTCTCATCGTTACTATTTTCCCATCTTCTGTTAACAATTTCCCTTCAAATTCGGCGCGATATCGCGCGAAGAAACAGCACGCGTGTCCATCGACCGATTGTCAACTCGTCACAAGACGAACCGATCGGCTCACCGTTCTCAATTTCATTGATCAAGTGAAAGAGAGTCGTCGTAGGAAACAACGCGAGTGCCAACAGCAACCAAATTTTTCAGAAAGTGCATCATTTAAATCCACTTAAATTCGCAAATTTGCATATAAACACGGTTGATGCTAATACCGACTTGCTTCTCGATTACTTGCACAGAGAAAGCAAAAGTATATTTCAAAAGTGTTTTTGATATGTTACTTTTTTTAGTTATCAATGGTAAATTGCACAGTCGTTGTGATTATAATTTAATCGTAATTGTAAATTGCAACGACGATTGAGAACGATTTCGTGTTTGCCATTTCTCAAAGACTCTCCCCGATCATTAAAAATTCAACGTCTCAAAGGTACAGAGAATTTTATTAATAATTCAATTTAATTCAATAACGATTTAATAATAATTTATTAAACCGAATTTCAGGGAAACATCCTTGAAGAGAACGAATTTGGAATTTTGAAGGTAGACACTTGGTGGCTTCGTAGTATCCCAAATATTATCGGGAAATTTTAATAAGCGTCTGTTAGTAATATTATAAACGAAGTATGTTCGTGTATCGTTATAGAAATGAAATAAAAACAATAAAATAATTTTATTAGAGTGAAAGACACTAATAATTACGATCCTCGATCGTAACCTCCGACGTTAAATTCCGTCCAGTCTAAAGGATCGATTAAATTCACTGAACGATTTACCAATTGCCACGATCCTCGAGGCGATCGTTAAAATCGTTTCATCCAGGAGGATCCAGGGGTGGTCGACGATTTTTCTTCTTTTCGCTTTTTCTTTCTTTTTCTTTTTTTTTTTTTTCCAAAAATCCGCCTGGTCTTGCACGCCACGATCGAGCGATTTCTTGACTTTCATTACGTTGCGTTACGCGTTTCATGGGCGTTTATTGCACCATCAGGGCGATCCGCTCTCCGTCCCATCGTTAATTCCTTTTCTTCGTTTTTCCCTCGTACGAGGGCCACCTTTCCTTCGAGATGAATTTCAGTACGGCCCCAGGAAAGTCGGATCGCGAAGCGCGTAAAGGAAGAAGAAAAAAAAAAAAAAATGAGAAGAAAAAGAAACTGGCGGAAGCATTAGGAGCATTAAACGAAGGAAGCTGTAATGAATTACAGTATATCTGATCTGTTTCCTGCCAATAAGAGAAAAACCACCGACCTTGCTCAGCCGTCGGACATCTTTAAAAATACGATTCAATTACTGGCGCCGGGCGACCGAACTGCCTCGAAGCTTCCAATTCGACTTACGACTTCTGAGGATCAGTCTGTGTCTGTCGTTCATTTTTTTTTTTTTTTTTTTTTTTTTTTCAGAAAAATAGCATGATATTACACGGTACCATGCAAAGGACCGGAAGCGTGTTAAGTAATCATTTACTCTACGGAGAATTCTTTTTGTTTGTCGCATATGGTATTGAGCCAACGGAGGTTCTGTACCACTGTAATTCTCGTTATCGTTACATCGGTTAATATAGAGAGAAACCTCCGTGTGTATGTATATATATATATATATATATATATATATAATATTGTACAGCTACAGTTTACAGTTTATCCTACAAGACTAGACGTACAATCGGTGGAAAAATATCGTTATTCTTCGTCGTCGGAATATCATAAATTTGCACGTAATACATTGGACGTTCTGTATCCAGCAGCTTAACCTTCCCTCACGAGTACGAAAAAGTAGGTTGAGCAACGGAAACTCTTGACTTCTCTCTTTCCCCTCCCCCTACCCAACCCCTGACCCGTTTCCGGCTAGAGGAAAAATAACGTTTGCTTTTTCTTTGTTTCTCCTCGAAGCAGACGATTAATTCGAAACGCGGATTTTTTGGTGGAAGAGAAACGAGAAAATTTAAGAATCTGTCTACTTAAAGTAAAAATTCCAAAATTTAGCGATCCGTACACCTCACGAGGCGATTTTTCAGACCACTTAAATATTCAGGAATTTATAGAAATTTCAGAATACTCACACGTACACAGATTTAAAGATTAAGAAAGAAATTTAATTAATATATAAATTTGGAATTGTCAATTTCCAATTTCCAATTATTTAAAAGTTCACCGATTCAACCTGTAAATATTACGGTCCTGTTTATCTATTTGTAATCAAATGCAAATAATAACGTTCTTTTTTTTTCTTACTATCCAACTAGCAATCGAGCAAACTGAAATATTTGAATTGCACTCGTTCGACTTTCTTAACTTTGAAACTGAAAAGAATCTAAAATTTCATTTCCTAGGATAACGATCTGATTCAAGAGTCGAGGAGAGATATTCGTCAAAAGCTTGAAATTTTTCCTCACGCTGGAAACGGAAAAAAATGGCTTCGAGTAGTGAAGCTCACGCTGCTGCCTCTATCTCTCACAGCTATCGTTCCTCTTCGCATATTTCTCCTCTTTTACCACTTCGAACTGGACGTCAGAAATGGTGGAGCCGCGTGACACCAATTCACACCGTGTTATCAGTTAAATTGTCTATTATCTACCTCTTACGTAATTATCTAAATGCATAATCGTGCTTCTCGAAGGTTCCCCTCTTCCCTTGCCCTTCGTACACGAACTGGCCAAAGGTCCTCGACTTTATCAATCGCTCTATCTACACAGAGTCACGCAGAAAAAAAAAATATTACGTTCGCTCGTGAGCGTTTTTTTTTTGTGTTTTTTTTTTTTTGTACAAAAATGAATCACTTTTTTTTGGGTTACTTGGGTCCTCTGGTTGAATCAGTCTGAAAAGGGGTATTTTTCAACTAGACTAGAAAACGCGCTCGTTGACTAGAACTGTATTCTCTCGAGAACAATTTTTTTTTTTTTTCCTTCAACCTTTCGTTTTCGTTCGCTAATTCGCGTTGTACATTGACGTTCGGTTATTATTTAAGTTCGTGTACCAAAAATACTCTAAGTTGTCGAGGATGAAGTCTTTGTCAAATTCGTTTAGATACTTGACTCCAAGTAGGGAGAGCATTGTGAATCACATGAGGTGTTCTTGAATTTAAGAGGAGCAGGGTAAGGCAGGATTATTTATATCGGCTAAGCTTCAATCTTGAATTCTCTACCGGTCGGAAGAACAAAAGGATTTTGCGTGCTTTAAATTTAACAAGAAATAATGTGAAAAAGACGAGAGAGAGTGATTCTACAGTAAGGCTATTTGAATTGGGAAAAATTTCGAAAATCAAAATCACACCGCACAAGTTGAGCAATCTGTCTTCAAATGTAAATTTCTCAAAAGTTGTTCACGTACTCGAACTCGGCGAGTTGCAAGACAATCGCGTCATTTACAATAACAAAAGAAAAAGATTTGGTACGCAATGAAGTCACATGAAAGTGCTGCCAAATAATAAAAAAATGTAACATCTTCGTATCTAGTTAATTACCATAATATCGGTGTCATAATAAATACGTGCGAAAATTTTTCTAGTCATCAGAAATATCCTATTGCTTCAAACAACCCTGCGTCACCTTGTATGTATGTACGTATATAAACGACTCGATAGAAAGATACAGTTTTAGTCTTCCACTGATTTACAAAAACAAACGATAGGAATGCACAGCAATTCTCGGATTATCGTGTTTGCTACTTTGTTCTTTCGAAACTGTGCGTTCGGAGATTCTCATTGTTCCTCGTGTTTATCAGCCGAACGTAAAAAAGGAACCGTGAAACGGGGTGAATGAAGAAAAAACGAGTCGAGAAGGTTCACAAATTTTTATGGGATGTCCGCAGTGTAAATGCTTGATCGAAAAGTTTGGCCGTTTTCACGTTCGTCTGACAAAATCTGATAAAAATCAATTAGTTAAAAGGTAAGTTACTTTCCTGAGTGGTAGATTAAGTACAGCAATAGCACGGTCCTGTCACGAAACACGTTCACGATAAATCGAATGGTACCTCGCGTGTGGAAATGTCCACGTGGAAATTAACTAAATTATGTTACAAGAGAAACGTGTCTCGCTTATCTAACGACTACGACTTTCTCATCGTTTATTAATTAAAACCTTACCGCTACGTTCAACGTTCCTCGATAAAATTCCGTCGATCTTACTCTGACAATCGTAGTGAAATCACATCGGTTTTCTCGATCTTCGTGAATTGTATTTTTCACCTTGATCTCACTTGTTCGTTACCACAGTTGACAGAGTTTACATCAAAATTGAACTGATCTTTTCGACCAGGATTTAATAGTTGGTGCCTCGGGATCCAGAGATTTAGGGTTACTTGCTACTAGAGAAAGCAACCCCTCTTTTTATCTTCCCATAAAAAACTCGTGATTTTCTAAGAATGTCATAAAAGACGGGCAGTGGTAGAGTTGCACGGCGATTCGAGAAAAGAAATGGGAGACGTGAGAAGACGCGATCGGGTTTTGTGGCTTGATCAGGCTTGAAATTCGATTGTCCTTTCGTTCGGGCTCGTAGTCCTTGTTGCGTGCTCGGAGGAAACGATGCAGCGAGCTTGTAAAATCGAATTAAAATTAAAGTTTGCAGTTACCGAATAGTTAGAAACGTGTCCGGGAATAAAACAAAAAAGAAGAAAAAAAAAAGATTTGTCGTTTGTTGTTTGTTTGCAAGTTACTCGTTTCTAACTTGCAAGCTCAATGAAGTTAGATTAAAAAAATACTAATGTGCCAGTGTGTTCACACAGCGTTAAAAAAAAAAAAAGGAAATACGTATCCGGATGCGATTCACAGTGGTGATGAATTTTTGAGAATTTCCGTTTCCAAAAACCACACGTTTTGAAGCGAACCTACAAAACATACACTATTTAATGAAAATCTAATAAAGAAATCTAACTTACACCACCGTGAGATCTTCAACCACTCGATTAATGAACAGTTTGTGATTCAATTGTTTTACTTCACGAGCTTGTTGTATCATTTCCCTTGAACGTATGCGTTTAAAACCTGCTGACCGCCTCGTCGTCGGTCACGAAGTAGTTGGAATTCTTCACTGCCGAGCTGTACATGCTGTATGTAGGACTGCAAACGACGAGCCCGGTTGTGCAACCGCTTAGCTCTTTCTCGTTCGTCACGGAACCGTGTCGAGCGATCGTCGACGTTCTCCTGTCTTTCTTCACCAGGGTCATGCGGCAATCTTCGGGTCGCAATGGCATCGATGGGTACGTTGGCTGTCTGGCCAACGTTGTCAGCGCTCGGTCTCCCGTGTCGTTGAAGCTGCGCAAACGTTTGAACGTACGATCGGAGAGGGTGTTCGAAAATCGAGGAAACACGTGTAAATTTTCATAAGGGTGGAATTTTGTGAGATTTTTAGTATTCTAGTATTTTGACTGTAGATTGTGATATTTTTTAATAGTAACAGACTGTTGCAAATATTATGAGAATTTTTTTTTTTTTTTTTCTTTTGTATCAGACATGAAAGGTACTTTTAACTTCTTGTAACAAATTGTCAGGCCGTGTCGTCGAGGATTTGAACTACAAGCTAAGTCACTAAACACACTACGTAGCGGTTAGATACTAAAATTCGCTAAACAACGAAGCTTAAAAGCTGAACAGCGAAGCCTAAATTTCGAAGATTTTGAAAACATTCAATGGCCAACCAACTAATACACGTACAACGACTAATTTTATAATATAGATTTACAATATAGATTTTGCATGATCGCAAATAAAAGAAAAGTCGAAGCTGTTCGCTATTTGATGAGCGCTAACAAAATATGAACGACGAACAGAATAATTTGTCAATTATAGATACCTGTGATGCCTGACGATGCCCCTCTTGATCCTGCAATGTTCATTTCCACTCTGTCCTTCTAACGCTGTCCCGTGGGTCTTGCACGCCTCTATTCCCATAGGAACGGGAGAGAGGGATCCAGGCCCGTACGAGCTACTGCTCTGTCTTCTGTCCAAGATGTGGACAAGCTCCACCGACGGTGTCGGTGAAAACGTGCCCTAAAGACGCTTCACATCAAACCTCACCATCCTCACAATCTAACAGAATCTAGCAAAATCAAAACGCTACCAAATGAAAACCCAGGAAAATAATCAGGAAACGCTTCGCGAAACTGAATGATCGTCCTTCCTCAACGTCCGACGAATGGGAACGGGGATTCAGCTACCGGGGTAACTAACTTAAAATAAACTTCGTTTTAATAAAACCGTTTAATCCAACAACAAAACCAATATAACTTCTGTTCATAAATACAAAACCAAAGGGTTTGGATACCTGGTAGAACCTCGTTTAACATCAAGTTAACTCCCGGAAAGTTTCGACAATGAAACGTTCGCTGACTATTTTATCTTCGGTTCTTCTTATTACACAGAGTCGGGTTCACTTATATTCTCACGATTGAAGTTTCCAGGCGTTTGATGAAACGAGATTTCACCGTGATAAAAAAAAGCGATCAAAATGAGTTTGAATCTCACAAGGAGGTGACGTCGGACTCGCTCACCTGCAAAGACGGTCTCCTCAGCGTGCCACCCTCCATACCGACCAACTTCACACCCTTCACGTTCTTCTTAACGTTGATAGTAGTGAGCATGTTATCCGGAACAATTTGGAATTCCGTGTTTCCTCTGTCCACGATACTGATCCTCTCGTTCTCTCTCGTCTTGTCGTTTAACAGAGCCCCGTCGTTAGGTTTGGTGTAATGAGGGCCTGGAGTCATCGGGGTGGCTACGGTGGGATTCGTTGGTACGTTCACTATGCCTGCGTTGCTGGGAGTTATGGCTGGCCGATCGGTTGACAAGAGTATCTGGCCCATAGAACCTCGTAAGTTTCGTACACCTAATATTTGGCCTTTGGATACTTCGTTGCTTTGTATGGGAGCGTACTGATTGGGAGTCGGTGTGTGTCTACCGCTGATGGAGCTCGTGTGAATGGAGTTTCTCAAGATTTGAAGGTGCTGAAGGCTTTGGTTCGCTTTCTGAGCGGCCGAACCGACGCTATTCACTTTGGTAGTGTCTTTCTCGTAAGGATCGCCGGCTATGGTCCCGCTGTCTACCCGATCAGTCATGTCCTCCACTGAATTCGAAGTAGTACGGTCGTCGTCGTAGCTTCCCGGCCCGATTCCATCGCACGAGTCCATTCCCGAGGTGGATTTCTGTCCAGACGAATGACGCTTTAGGATCATTCGTGTTCTTTCACTAATCGACAGAATGTCGCGAACCATCGTTGAATTCTTAGTGATAGAAACAATCTCAATAGCTTTTATCTTTCATCTGATTTTGACAGAGAAGAAAATTTCGAACAATCAGATAATAATAAAACTAAAAGGCACAGAACAAAGCTTGATGAAAAATCTATGTAATCTCTACATAGAAAGGTAATCACTTTTCTTTTTTCTGTTCTTTTTTCGAACTAAAAAACGACTGTGAGAAGACTCACATTGACAGAGGAAGTGTCCATTAAAGCGGCACCGGAACTGCTCTGTACAACTCCGGATTGGTCCTTCGATTTCCCAGGCGAGTATACGCTGAGAACGTCGCAGCATCGGGGAAAGTAGCCTTTACCGAGGAGATTTCTCGTAAAGAAGCTGGTGATGAGCTGGGTAAATAAAGCCACGATCATAGCGCCGGTGCGGAATGGGAATTTCTGCGACTGCGTTTCCGTGTCGTAGAAAGGATACTCGATCAGAGCTGGCACTCCCAATCCTTTCTCTCCACCTGGAACAATAATATCCATTTTATCTTAACAGTTAACACCTTCGGTCGACTCTAACTGATTCCAATTTTTCAGTTGTTCTATTGTCAAACTGATTCTTTTCAATTATCAAATGACATTAATTCCGGCAAAAGATTTAATCGAGTTTCTTTACTGTGATTTCAAGTATATTCAATGGAGAATTGGAAACTGAATGGCGTGTCTTTTATAGTGAAATTTCCATCATTTTTTTTTTTTTTTTTTTTTACCACAAAGACGTAAAACAACGGCGACGAAATAGCCAGCGAGGCATCCATAAGTGTCGACCAGAGAGGGCCAATGGACCACGGTTAACAATTGCGGGAAGAGCACCACGTAAACAAGATCAGAGCTCAAGTACCTTTAAAACAAAGGATGCAACCGGGTTAATTAGTTGGTCTGGTTAATTGTCGGCAGTCAGCGGAGCCAACAAAGCAAGTAATTTGAGCGTTTCTGCTGCTACTTACGACAGATAATAAACGCTGTCCACAGTGAGCGCTATTACAGTCGACAGTACCGTGATCACGACAACAGATATCCGGAGGATCCAGTTCAGTTCCCTCTCGGATGCCTACAATGGAATAAAGATAAAAGGGCTCAGACTTCCCGTTGGAGCTTCTCTCTTCTTCTCCCCTTTCTTTAGAAATTGTTTTAAATTTAAAACATTTCTACGAAAGGCATCTGACAAAATATCCAAAGCCTTCTTTTCACATTTACCTTTGGCCTTAACGTGAGTCTATAGACGTTTCTGGAGAACATGGAACTGCTCGCCAATATACTCGAATCTGCTGACGACATCACCGCCGCAGAAATGGCACCCAGACCTGGCAATCAATCGTTATTGAAATTAATTTTATCCGACTGGTTCTGTTACTTCTCCTTTCTAAAGAGAATAATTTTCTCTCCTCTTTGGCGGACGGAATTTTCTTTTCCAACGAACGGAACAGATAAGATTTAGCGTTGTAATCAGTTGATAAGAATTTGCAGAGTCTTCGGGCGCGGGCTATGCGGTTCTTCAATTTTATTCTTTATAGACACTCGACCTGTTTCGCGGTTTCTTAAGCGATTAATGTACAGGGTGTGCCTGAAACGGGGGAGTGTGCTTATCTTGAGGGTGAAAGAGGGTCAAATGGTGGTAGGTGCAGAAATGCTTTCTTCGCGAGATTTACGGCAAAATTACGAAAGAATGCTTGCCAGCCTATGAAACGTCCGTTAATTGCAAAAAAAAAAAAAAAAAAAAACGAATTTTTTCTATTCTAATTCACCGTATCGAACGAGCTTTTACTTTCAAGTCAAAATAAGCTTAAAGATCTTTTAAGATCAATTGTTGTTTAGAAAATAACAATTGCAACTCGATTTTAACGAACGAGGTTTTACTTTCAAGTCAAAGATTTAAGATCAATTGTTGTTTAGAAAATAATAATTGCAACTCGATTTTAACGAAGCATTCGGGAGTATAATTCCTCTCATTTTGTCACGTTTCATGAAACGCTAGATAGTCACAGTGATATAACTCACCGACAAATGAGACCCACTGCGGTGTTAGGTATCGGAGAACAACCGGTAACGCTGCGTTCCCATCATGCGCTATTATACTCCTGTTAAATCCTTCTATGGATGACCAATCGGTGGCACGTGCCACCACGCCGATTAAAGCTGATGGAAACGCGAGTATCATGCAGCCGAACATTGAGGCTATCGATAGAGCCGTTGCCATTGACGTACTTCGCATACTTAGGATCCTTTGGAAATAACCCTGGATAAATGTTTATTAAACCGTATTTAGTACAGTGACCGACAGAATATTGATAATCTAAATCAATTCTTCTTTTATTAATCTTCCCCTTCCGATCCTTCCTGAACAATTACAAATTCACGTAGAATAAATAATACGATTGATTGAATAAATACAAATTAAAAATCTTTTAACATTTTCACAGGTGAAATTGTTAGAAGATTTTTCTAAATATTCGTTTCCCTATTTATCCCCTTCATTTTGGATCGTAAATGTAGATTCGCGAGTGTCAAGTATACGCTTCGGAAAAAAATTTTTCATTCAAGCGGGCGTGCTTTGCATATTGAGCACCACGGTGTACAGTATTATAATGATCAATGAATATTCAATACCTGCCAAGGTATACCGCCGAATACCAACAACAGCATACAATCAACCCACTCGCCGAGGTCCTCGTTCTTAATTTCACCCAGCCATTCGTGCGGTGCTAGATTCTTCTCGAAAGAAACGGCAGGATGAAGAACAGAGAACGGCGCGGACACTCCCAAACCGATTATAATACACGCCAACTGCAACGCATCGGTGCACGCGACGGCATACAATCCGCCAAATACGGTATACCTGCAATTCACGTGGCATCTTGATCTGTTGATTGACATCTTCTCAGAACAGTGAATATGTAAATACGTTATTACCAAAATGGAGGATTTATTAAATGAGGACATTTGTTCATTGCTGGCAAAGTGTATTTCAATTAAATTACGGATCAATTGAATTGCAAATGAAACTTTCAATAAAAAGAAATTGTCAGACTTTATATAACTTAATGAATTTAACTTGAGAATCTGAAGATAAAACATTTATCAAGCAAATATACTAAGATTCTATACTAAATTACTTTCGTAATAAGATATATCACTGCTACAACTTTTGACGAATAATGATATTTCACGATAGCTCTTCCGGAGGAGACATTTTAAATTTACTATTTACACTCGGTCTCACTCACATGGCTGCCAAGAGCGCAGAGGCGACAATGCTGATGTCCGGATCCACGCCAGCCACCACGGCCAACGAGCTTCCCAAAGCTCTCAGCACCGCAGCACACCAGAACAAATCACCACAGAGAGCAGGAAGGAACAACAGTCCTCCAACCCCGGCGCCATATCTCTCTTGAAAAGGGTCCAGCATAGTCACGTGCTCCGCTTTTCTCATTGGTCGTACAAATAACACCGCACCTGCCACCGTTTCACCGTCATTTCAACAATCCCCTCGATTCCAAGATTAACCCTCTAACTGCCTTCTCTTTAAAATCAGGACATTCGATTGAAATTCTTTCAGATTATTCTTAGAAAGAATTCAGATATCCGATTTGAGAAGTCTCTTGAAAATTGAACATCTCAAGATCAAGATACGCCACTTGTGTTTCAAATCCTCCAATTAACTCGAAGTGTATGTACGACTATATACGACGTGTCAGAATTGACCCAGTTGCTCGAGAGTTAAAGATCTCATCAAAATTAAAGACACGTCGGAATCAAAGATCCCGGGTAAAATAGAACACGATATTAAATTGACGCAAGTCCTGATAGAATCGATTAAAATTAGACTTTAAAGAGTGAAAGAGATGGAAGCGAATGATTGAGAGATGGGCGTGATGGGTTCGCACTTTTAATTAGGTAGGCAGAAGCCTCGGTTAAGTGAAATGCAAACCTCGTTGCAAATGTATAGACTCGATTAATTGGAGTTCAATCAAATTCGGGATCTGCGGTGATGGTATGGGTATCAGCGGAGAAGGGGTTGGAGAAAACATCGTTAGCGAAAAGGGATATCCATTACTCTGGAGAACGCGTAAAAAATTGGTGATAAAGTGGTCCGCATACCCGTCGGTCTGCAAATAAATTGAGCTTATATGTGTCGGTCTGATTGGATCCGCTCGTCGGGATCATCGAAAAAAGTATTTACCGCGTTTTCCACGGAGCGGGAAATTTCTTCCTAATTACACGTACCGCACACGCGCCGCGCCTGACATTAAAACATTTTCCTCTTCCTTTTACTTTGATAAACTTTTTTAATCACCGCTGCTTACTTACTCCTGCGTGAAACTGCGTTCAATAAATTATTTCAAATTATCAAACTTTCAGAACGTTTCATACCTATAACACGTACAGCATATCCGTGAAAGTTTCCGTGAGCCATTGCATGCCAAAAAAGTTCCATGAATGTTTAATGACCGTTAAAAACACAGAGAACACCCCGAACTAAAAACAACTCCCTCTTCGAATCATCGGCTGAACCCTTACCCACTCCTTCCATCATGCTGTCCATCAATATCACCCTCTTGCATCAAGCAGAACAATGACTACTGAGTAAATATGACCTTCATGAAATTGCAATCATTATTAATTCTCATTAGTAATTCTCAGAGTTCAAAGGAAAATATTTAAAAAGAAAGAAGATAAGAAATAAAGTAAAAGAGAGAGAACCTTGAGCAAACTGAAGGAGAGAAGAAAAGATAAATATATCAAGGGTCGGGCATCCTCGACTTTGACAGTTTCATCGTCTCCTTTCATCGATTTACTTCCACCCCCTTCATCGCCGTATTACCTCTGACGCGTGTGGCAGTTAAAGGGTTAAGGTTACATCTAGTGTTAGGGTTAATGTCGCATTGATACCTATCGGTATCAGATTACAAATCTGGATCCTATACCCAAACGTATTTAGTCACACTTTCTGTTTTTCATAAAAGAACAATGTTAAAGTTCAGTCAATCTATCTTTCCATTTTATTTTATGAAGGTAGAGGTTAATCAGGAAGATATGTATTCTGGAAAGTTACTTGTGTCAGTCCTATCATTAGTTACAGCTCTTTCACATGGCAATGCCATTTCGGATAACAAAATACTCGTGCCAAAGAGTAGGATGTTTATTTCAGACTGCTAAAAAATAAAGAATATTAGAAAAACAATCTTCGGATTAGTGCCTCTTGGTTTATAGTTGTTCATTTACAGAAATCGCTACATAAAAGAGCTCTTAGTCAACATGCAGCATGCACACCGTATCGTCAGCAGAAAATGTCCAGAGAATAGCTTACCGAACAGCAGACTGAGGCTGTAACCGAAGGGCACTTGACACCAGGCCAATCCTCTGGTGAACATCAATTCAGCGGTCCCATTTACGTAAGCGCCGCCGACCCACGTGGCTATGGGAGAAAAAAAAAACAGAGAACGAACGCGGTTTCTCTCGATTAGTTAGCTTCGATTAAGCGGGAAATCGCTCTTTCGAGGGAAAATGTTAGGGGGCGAGACCGGTGATCTGTGAAAGCTCGACAAATAGGGTACACAGGGTTTCCTTATACAGTCTATTAGGAGGAAATGACGTTTCTTTTATTTTTGTTGAAATTGGAGAAGGTTAGGAACAGACGTCGTATGCGCACGCGCCAGTTTCGAATATTTGAAAATGGCTGTATAAGATTCCCCTTAAGTACAACGTAAGCGTTTATTATTATCTGTGTTATTTATATAAATATTTGTTTATCGAGATTGAAAGTTCGATATTACAGCTATATTCTCAGTCAGGTTAAACTAATCTTATCCTGTATTATGCAATCACTATACAAGAATTGTCTTGATCTAATATCAAGGAGGTAGGTAACTCATTTATCGATATTTATCGAACTACGAAACTCACCTCTCGATCTATCGATATTTATCGAACTGCCGACGTACATACTACGCAACAGTACGATCAGTTTACAAGTGCAATAAACCTATAACCATGATGTTAGTCGCGATGTTTCATTAAATTTCATTAAATTTGCAAGTTTCCACGTGTAAATTTCAATTCGTACAAAATCGAGAGCTCATCCCATTCATGCATCATCGGACCAACCGATCCTTTATCAATTCAACCATAAAACATACATAAAGCTATCGCCGGTGTAAAACCAATTTCCCCGACCCGAAATCCTGGCGTGGCTGACCGAACCGTCGCTAGAACAATCGGGACGACCGCAGAAACGCGTGCAAATCCCCCTCTCCTCTCTCCCGCCCTCCAACCGTCGTTGCTCTTACCATTCAGCCGTTGAGTAAAAAAGAGGAGGAGTGGTAAGAGCGGTGGAGAAAGAACATAATACGGACAGTTATGGCCGAGCGCGAGCATTTTCCGTGGCATATTTTCCCGCGTAGCGTTCATTAAGCTAATGGACGGATGCAAAAATGATTTCCACTGCGGATATAGAGTATGGTTGGATATGTGCATGTATAAATGAAACGCGGTTCTCGGTGGAACAGATTCAACGGAATCTGATGTAGGCGAGAGGGGACGAGGAAGGGGAAGGGCAAACTTGACTCGAGGAAGGGGGAAGCTAGTGAGACATAGAAGAACGGAATGAAAACGAACGGGAACAAGAGGAAATAAACCGGAGGAATAAATGAGAAATGCGATTGACGCGACGACAAAGCCGGGAACATTCGCCGGATGTCCTACTATGCTCGTGCTCCGTGAAACGTTGCGCGTACGCGTTCAAGGGACAGGAGAAGCAGAGCGAAGAAGAGAGAAATGGCTTCGGAGGAATTCTTCCGGAAGTGAAAGGGATTCGTCGAAGCGTTGATTGTTGCTTGATTAATGTCCGAGTTCCCCAAACGGATTTTGTATCGACGTAATAAGCGAGGGATCTCACGTTTCTGATTTTGAAAGAGGTTATGTTGTATTATGTATATATAATGCTAATCTGCGATTAAAATACTTAGAGTTTCGATAGGTATGTATAGAGAGAGAGAGAGAGAGAAAGAGAGATAGAGAGGGAGAGAGAGAGTCCAGAATCAGAGTTTAACGATCCTAAGTAGGAACTCTCACGTCGGATTCAATTCTCCGCCGGATTAATGAACTTGGGATTTCAGAAGGGATAGATGGATTTGGATAATCCTAATTATAGAGGTAGATTCATTTTTAATTGAATTCTTGGTGGATATAGTTGAATTATTTAAATTACGTTACGGTACTCTCAGCCAATCATTTTGTCAAGAATTCTTTATGTATGTTCTGTTTTTAATCGCCTCGTTTTGTTTCTTTGATCATCTAGACTGTACACGAAGAACGATGATTTGTTCAATTTGTAAAACTCACCGATTAGTGTGAAGATACCGAGGACCGGGCCCAAGCCACGATTGGCCAATATCATACCATCTTGGCCATGACGGGATTTTTTCTTCTTCACAACAGCCGCCCAAATGCCGACACCCAATACCGCCACATAAAACACAATCACGCCGGCTAAACCTATCACGTACACCCCCATCGTTGCACCTTCAGTTCTGTTCTCTTCCGGGATTGTTGCGTGATCCCCTGTGACGGAATGATCTCAAAATTAACATATTTTCTGAAGTAACATTTTCTAAAGTTTTATTTGAGAAAGTTACTCAAGAACCGTAGGTAAGAAATTAGGTAAATTACTCTAGAAGTTCTATAAAAGGTATTTGAAGAAATTATAAATGTCTTAATTTTCGCAGTAGAATAAAAAGTATGACAAATAGAAGAGAAGAATACGTTAGTGTGTATGTGATCGAGCAATTGCCAAGCAATTATCATTACCGAGTTTACATTCGAGTTTACACTTTGGACAAGGATGGTAATTAATTAAAGGGATGCCAAGAACGCATCTATACTAATTGCATGCGAGTGAAAGGAAGGGGTGAGCTTGTCTCCTCCGTTCGTAACAAAGACGCATTCCGACTGGAATCTGTTCGACACTAATTTTCCGGTGTCTGTGATCAGTATCGGCAGAACAATCGTAATACTCTAATTGTTCTTTCATTCAGGCCCCTTGTAGAACAGAAACGGTTCAGCCTCCCTCGGCGATTTGCAAATGAACAAATCGTCGGCCGTCGAAACCTTGATACTTATCGACACGTATTTGCCACACGAACCTGCCGAAGATTAATGAGAAAATCCCCATTGGAATACAGAGATTGCTAGCCGGCAAATTATGAAACAATTCCTAAAATTTGTTTCCATTCCAATCTCAATAGTGTCCTTGGTAAGGAAATAAAGGATTAAATGCCCGTTCAAATTTACATTTGCGAAGACAAGAAGATAATTAAGCATAGTAGAATTCCTTTTATTTGAGCTAAATTTCAATTGGAAATGTCCGATTAAATGAATTTTGGCTGGTTAAATTCACTTAATTGAACCGGAATTATACGAACGAAAAACCATTAGTAGAGGGATTAAAATGAACAATTCAGTTGTACAAATTATTTGGGATTCTATTATAAACGAATTTAATAAAATGTATTTACAGTCGGGTAATTTCATTCGGAAGACTCGTGCCGAATTTTTATCACGAGAACTTTCTATCGTTCGAACGGATATCCCGTCTAACTGAACACTAAACTGTTGAAATACTTTGGTGAGCCACTGAAAATTCCCTCTTCTATTTTCATTCTATCCAATCTTCGGCATTCTGAACCAAGCACCGGTTCCTCGTATTGATCGCGTGCCGGGCTATCCAATAAAATTCGGACACCAGGCTATCGTTTTCAGCGTTAAGCAGCCAGGCTAGGCAGACAGGCAGGCAGGCAGGTTCGAAGCAAAAGTTAAAGCTCGGTAAACTCGTCGGGCAAACGGTGGAAGAGCTAATCGACCGCGGTGGCAATTGCAGCGTGGATTAAAATTCAAGTGTGGCCTAGATATCGGACATGGATGGGTCGTCGGGTCATGACCCGGCTCGCCGCTTTACTCACGTAAAGTTCAGCCGATCCTCCGCGCTCCTCTCGCGCGGCATTATTAATTCGTTCGCGAGTCGCTGCCCCTTTCCTTTCTTTCTTTTTTTTTTCGCTTTTTCGTTTTTTCGCTCCTTCCCCGGATTCGTTTTTGTTTCTGGCAGACCACCTGAAAAATAGGGGTGAAAAACAGGCAAAATAAAAGAATCGCGCCGCACGCCTCGATTGAACGGGCAAAGCGCCGTTCGCAAAAGGGGTGGCACGCGTTTCTCTTCGAGTTTTTGTTCCCGTTCCCGGGACCGCTCTTTCAACGATTTCCGATCGTGCAATCGCACGTTCGAGAATTCTTTGCACTCGCCGTGTCAAGTATTCACTTCGGCCGTTGATTTCATTTTCCGATCTCGCGTATTTTATTTTATTTTATTTTATTTTTTTTTTTTTTGATTCTATTTTTGTAATTTATTGTCTTCCGTGCGTTCGATGTATTTCATGTTTGAATAATGTTTCAGGACTGTCTGTGTATGTAAGAATGTTTGGTGCAAAGAAAAGTAAAAACAATTTTTCGGGAAATAACTCGGATAAAGGAGAAGAGATTATGAGTGGAAAAATAAAGGTGATCCTTTTAAAAATTCTTTGTCTGTACTACTTTAGTGTACTTCGTCTTATAAAATGTAAAAATATCGCACTCTTGCTATAAAATGTCCTTGCGAATTACCAATATTTACCAAAATTTAGATTTTTGCTTGAAATCAAAATTCTTTGCAAGGGTCACTTTCCAAGGCACGGATGCGATATAGCTGGCTGCTTTAATTTTCTATAATTATCTGGTTATTTTGTTTTGTACGATTCTGTTTACGTAAGCTTCGTTGCTCGATTTTGTGGAGGATTTGTCGCGTTGTCAGGTCAAGTGCGCGTATTAATAACTTGGTAAAAAGGGGAAAAAGTAATGATGAGATTGTAAGAGCGTTCCTTCTGTAAGATCAAATATGACGCTAAATAACTGAAATTCTATTATGGTGATACTCGTGTGTATTATTCAGACATAAGATCGTCGACGAACGTTTATTCTTTTCAACAAGTTAGTTGATCAAATAAACAATTGTATCCAAACAAACAATTTCTAAATAGATTATACTAGCGGCTGCACTAATGTTTGAAAATTTGTTTTCTTACAATTGAGATGAAAAACTGAACTTTGTCTCTTCAAAAAACAAGATACATACAGTATCAAGGATTTCATTAGCTTTCTTTTTAATTTCTTTTTATTATAAAACTGGGAGATTATATATTGTTCTCTTTATTATTAAAATTGAAGAAACTATTTCACTTTAAATTCACAGGAACGATAATAAAAGAGGAAGTTATAAAAATCGTTCAACCAAATACTTTTATTATATCTGAAGCTCGGCCTGATTACAAGAAAAAACAGCCTTCAGAGTCTCGTTTCACGTGTTCCATCGTTCGTTCCCGGGTCAAAATATATATATATCCCAGGCTTTTCAGCGACTTTCCTCGCGGAGATCGTAATAAGAGACTTAAGAGCGTTCAGGACGCATCTTCACGATTTCACGATGGCTTCACAGCGAATTCGTTAACCGCAGACATTTTTTCTTTTTTTTTTTATGAAAAGAAGAAACGCACACTTTTCACTCGGAAACCAGCAGAAAAAAAGAGACCGCTTCGTTCTTACCGATGCTGAAGAAATTCTCATAATTACGAGCATTCCTTAACTGCTTATATTTTCGAAAGGCTCTACTTTTCAAAAATTCTAAAACACGCTGAAATTACGAATGGAATGCTGAAAACGTATTTTTCTGGAATTTTTTTACATCTTCTTTCTTTTTCCTTGCGAGATTAAAATATTTTATAATTATAAATGTCATGTATTTTAATAGTATTGGGTGTTTTAGAATCTATAAATGATAAAATCTGTCGATCGATAATTGACAAACATATTGAATTTTAGTAAAGTTTAATAAGCCAACTCGATGTTTATGTTGATTTTAATCAAATGCAAAGAGTCTGGATAAATCTCGAATTGAATTGACGATTAAATTCTTGTGATATCAGCTTCGTGCTCGATGGGTTAATTGGCGTGAAATTAAAGTTCTTAATAGCTGCTTCTATTAGGAAAGCAACATTAAGCAGTCGTTTAATTAAACGGACTATTAAGATTCGTTTCTTTTTTTTCTCTCTCTCCTTTTTTCGTTATTCCTCATACTTTTCCACCCCTTTCCACCCTATTTATTGGCGAAACCAATTAGAACGAGCATGCCTGGTATTTGCATGTTCTACCCAATCAGAAACATCGCATTAAATCGGGTAAACACCTAAAACCGACAATCGATAAATTTGCGTATCCAACTCTTGACCAATTGGTGAGCGGGTATAAATAATCCATCGTAGCCAAACGAAACAGACATAAACAGAATCGTTTTTCGTCAATATATCTCCTCGAAGATTTTTCTTCATTTTTACTCTTACTATACTCTTTTGGGGAAAATGTTCATTTGATGATAATATTTATTTGATATGCGTGCAAAACTTATTTGATACACGTTTTAAATAAATTTTTACAGTATCCAGAAACCCTAAGGAGGAAAGAGAGAAATCGGAGGGAAGGAGAAGTAAACAAAAATAGTAATTTGAACGCACCAAGATTCGGACAGTAGACTCGGACGCAGTCTGACAATGAATGAAAGGGCTGATTTCACTTAAATTCGTCAACAGAAATTTTAGAAGATTGAAGTACCAGTAAATATCCAAGTTGTAGATAAATCTAAATATATATACGTAGATATGCGAAATATGAGGAAGATTAAAGAAAGAAAAAGAAAACTAATTTGATGAGAGAAAAAAGGAAATAAACGGAAAAGGAAAACACACGCGATGAGGCGCGCGATACCGCGTGAAACGGAACGCGAGTAATTGTCCGACAAAGGCCGGTTCGTTACTGAAATTGCTTACTAATTAAGTGTAACGAAAGGAGAGAGTGGTAAGGACGAAGTGAGTAAGAAAAAATAAAAAGAGAGAGAGAGAGAGAAGGAAAAGGGGAGGGAAAGAAAAAAAAATTAACGACCAGAAATGTTGCCGGGCAGAGACAAGAATAAATAGCGCGCGCGGCTCGTTATAAATTTGTAGAAAAGTGCGTTGGATGAATTGGAACGGATGAAAGGACGTTTCAGAGACTCTGTAGACCGCGAATCGTTTCTGAAGAGATTTTTAAAAAAGGAAGAAAACAAGAGAGAGAGAGAGAGAGAGAACGATAAAGAGAAAGAAAATAAATATATATAGAAAAGAGAGGATTAGGCATGGAAGAAAAAGAAAGAAAAGAGGTGGAAGGAAAACGCAAGAGTCGAGGATTAAATGACTCTGAGACTCCGGGGAGAGGAAACGAGTTTAAGAAGTTGCTGGGTTTATTCTTCTGTTCCGCGAAGAAATTTCCTCCGAAGAAATAGGTTGGCTCGATTTAACATTTTCACCGTAGAATATCCTCAATTGTGACCAGCGTTCAATCGATAAACTAAGGAAGAAAATAAGCAGGGTAAAAACAAAGAGATATATTGTTTATCGTATCGTCATGTAGCAATTTGCTCGATTGTTTAAGGAGAAAATTTTATTTTTGCGAATGTTTTAAATAACCTCCAGATGACGTACTTTGAATTTTAAATAAACTCTGAAAAGATCATAAAATGAAGGTCATTGATAGTAAGATAGCTGCTTTCTATTTTTATTGTTCTTAAGGATGAAAAAATAGAAAAAAATTGGGACTAGTTGATCGGTAAAATTGTACTTGAATATTTGAGAGAAATCAATTTTTCATAATTAAGAAAAAAGCAGCGGAGAGGACAAAATCTTCAATTGGAATAAGTTGCGAGTTGAGTTAATATTCAATAGGAGAATCTGAACTGTCTAAATTTTCTACTGAATATGAGACAATTTCATTTTTACCAAAATTACTAATTCATTAAGTAGAATTAGTTCTCAGACTGCATTCTATTCTACTTGTCCGATATGTTTCCATTACAACGGTATTCCAAATATGACAGAGGAAGACGAGAACAAAGGGAGATTGTACTTCTCGACGAAGCATCTCATTTACAGCGGCTGTTTGTTTCTCTAAAGAAAATTGTTTGATCATTTTCAACCAGTATCAATGGAAGTGTCAAACGAAAAGTCGATTAAAGATGTTCTAAGTCAATTTCAAGTTTCGTAAGTTATTTTCAAAGACTGCAGGATGATTAATTGGTCCAAGGTATTACAAATATACGAAACGCTGAGAATCATAGTGCTGTTAATCAACAAATTATTATTTTTACTGTAATATCAATTTGACAACAAATTTCGAGAATAAATTTGTCTAATTTTCGACAAATAGAATGTAACATACGCATAAATAATTTTAAATAAATAATATTTATCTTATGATAGTCTCACGATTAGATTTTATTCCAAATTATTGTTTATTCCTAGAGAATTATCTCTAGGTGAGTCACCCTATACAGCTGCCTACCCTCCGTTCAAAACAAGTTTATTAGCGCACTTAACCCCTGAATCACATCTACCATACTTTCCTTTTTCCGGTAATCGATGATTTCAGCAGTCTCCTACGAAACTTAATCAAAAAAAATCAAAAAATAGAGAAAGAGAACCTATTCTAAAAACTGTCTTGTTTTCTTCTTTCAGAAAATAAATTTCCGAACTAAAACAAAGGAGAAGAATATCCCTAATTTCTCCATGGAAAAGAAGACAAAAGATCAGACTTGACATAATATTTCTCTCTCTACATTCCCCGGAAAACAAATCGTAAGAAAAATACAACAGATAAATAATATTTCCAATTTTCCGTCTTTCTTTCTACGAACAAACCTTAAGGAAGAATAGTTGGAAAGAAGACGTTGTTTTTCCATTCCAAAAACAAAGCGTAAAAATAGAAACACCAAAAAAAGACGCAGCGAACAGATAAACATTTGGCCAGAAACAGAGAGAAAGACACGGACTGCGAAATTGCACTTGTCTTTTCAGAGAGGAAGCAAATCGCGGAAGAATCGTGGGCTGGCTTCTCTAGCGAAAGGAAGGAAGATGTTATGGCGACTTACCCCCGGAACACGCCTCTCACGTGAGAATGCCCATGTTGCTGCCGCTGCCGCTTCGATTTCCTGGCGTAGGAATCGGATCTCCTTGAGCCAGAGATCGGCTTGGTGCCTGGCTTTTTCGTTCACGCCGAACAACGACGAAAGGGGCTCGCCGGTTCGGAAAGGGGTCGACGAACAGAAAGAACGTAGACGCGTGGAAAGCACACTGACGAGACGCGTGGGGGTGAGACGAGTAGAAGGGACGAGGCGTGAAGACGCGTGACGGATAGGTCGGTGGAAGATTGGCTCGTGGCCGCGACACGCGGACGCTTTTAACGAGGATCGTGCGCGAGAAGAGCGTACGCGAGCAGAACCGGCGGCGACAGGAGGGAGCCAAGCGTACGACTGAATCTAGTACTCTGGATTCGCAGCATCCCGTACGGCTGATAGACCGTGCGCGCTGGACCACCACCTTGCCAGGGGGTCGTGCCGCAGACGGAGAGGGAGAAAGATGGAAGCTGTTACCACGCAAGGGGACGAGGGAGGGTGTCTACGATCGGAGGGAGGGGAAGATATTCCCTTCGCTCTTTTCACCCTTCGCAGCATCCCTCTTCCTCTCTCATTTTCGTTTCTCTTCGCTCCCGTGTACCTTTCAACATTTCTCTCTCTGTTTTTGTCCTCTCGTTCTGTTTAACGATATTTATTCCATTCCTCCTCTCTTTTTTTCGTTTGTCTTTCTCTCTCTCTTTAATTTTACTTTCCTCATTGCTTGTATGTAGCTCTCTGTTTCTCGTGCAGAACAGGATCAGAAAAAGAGGGAGAAGGATAGCTACTGCGGAGGGTGAAAGAGGTAATATTAAAAGGAGAGAGAGAGAGAGAGAGAGATGTTGAAAGGTATATACGCGGAAGTGCGAGTAAGAAAAAGGGTGTTGATGGGGCTACAAAGAGAGTGTAACAAGGATAGAAATTGTGCAAAGGAGTGAGATGGTGGAATGAGGAAGAGAAACGAAGAGAGATGGAAAGAAGAAAAAGAGAGAGACGTGTATATACACTGTACCCGTTGTGGAGGGGAGGAAGATAGTTGAAATTGAAGGGAAACAAAAGTGAAAGAAAGAAACACGAATACTCTTTAAGGGAGAGAAAGAGATGAAATTAGGAACAGGAAGAGACGAAACCTACTGAGTGGCGAAACAGAAATGAACGAAGAGATGAAGACAGGAATTATCGAAGAATTGGGATAAGCCCAGTCCCTGTTGAAGAGAGATGATGAAACGAAACATGAGAAAGAGAAGCAAAAGTACATCAGGAAGTGGAAGAAAAATTGAACAGACAAACATAGAAATTATCAAAAGGCAATAAACATGTAAAGAAACAAAAAATAAACCAAAGGAAGAAAGTGATAGAAGATGAAAATACAGGAGATCTACGAGATGAAAGAATAGGAAAGAGGAAAAAATGGGACGTGGATAGGTAATCTTATGATCCAGGGAGATGAAACACCGAGAAAAGGAGAAAGAAAAACTCAAGCACGAGGAGAAATTCAAATGCAAAGTAAGATGTTAATACAAAGTATAAGAGCTTGTGAAATAGAATTTCCCATTAAAATGATGATAAAAAGCTTCCAGCTACGAGACATACGACGGAAAGAGGGGTCTAAAATGAATCTTGCATCGCGAATAAAAGGAAGAACGAAATGGTTGGGGAAAGATAAGGAACGAAAGACACGAAAAAAATGATTATTTGAAAAATCAGAAAAATTCAGATAATGAAAACACGTGAGATTCAATTTATATTGAATCAGCAGCAAAAGTTGGAAGCGAGGATCAAAAAGATAAAGAGCGCCCCGTTCGTCATTCTAAAGAAAAAAAAAAAAACAAAGTGTAAAAAGAAAACAAATATGATCCATAGAGGAAATATAAGATAGAAAATTGAAGATGATAAAGCATCATGTACAGCAGCGAAGGAGGGTGGGAAAAACTGGAGGGAGAAGAAGAACTGGACGGAGAAGGATTACGAATTAAGAGGAAATGTGACGAAGTTGCTGTTGCGACAGGAATAGAGAGATACCGTGGGCAAAAAGCAAAGGAACGCGACACGGGAGATAGAAAAGTGACAGAAAACCTATGACGCGGTAGACAGCCGCGGTAGACGCGGAGAAACGCGAAACAGAATGACAGCTAGGTAAAGGGAGGATAAACGATAAATATAGACAGTGATGCTGATGGAAACAGACCAACGTACAAAGTAGAAAAAGGTTGCTGCTTGAAATGGAAATGGCATCGCGAGTATTGCGAATCGAGGGAGCAATGTAACCACGGACAATGCAGGCTAATTTAGAATTACGAATTGGAAGTTCAACGCTCGATTCTCGGATCAATACTTGTACGCGAATCAATAATCAATCGGGGCTAATTGAGAGTAAGTAGAAATTCGAATTTAGCGACTTCAATCTCACAATTTCGCAGGTCTCAATTTGCGAGAATTCTAAGGTTTCACAGTTAAATTCCAAATATCTGAATAAATCTCTGCGGCATCAACGCGAGCTCGCGGCGATAAATAAAACAGAGAGTCGAATGTTAAAGCAATGAGCAACGAATGAAAGAACAGAGAATCGAAGAGTGGATGAAACATTAGGCACGGTGCGGTCGCAAAAAAAAGAAACGCATGCGAATCAAGAGGAGGATGGAAGAGCAAACGCTGAGAAACGCGACACAAAGGGAGAGATCAAGGGAAAACAGAGCGGCAGAGCTGAAAACTGCGTTCAAACAACGAGAAGCGACGAAGGTGAAAACGAGACGAGGATCTAAAAACGACGAAACGCGTTATGTGTTGAATGAACGGACGAGAAACTTTGCGCAACAGAGACGGCGTATACGTGGCTGCGCGATTCTCGAAACGAGGACGGAAATATCGCCGGCGTTATGCAGAAACAGGAAGAGGCTACGAAACGTCGACTAGGAACGATAGTTGAAGAGCTTCGGGCGAGGATAGAGGCTAGCTAACGCGGTGAACAAAGAGGAATAAAGATAGGTGAAGAGGGTTGGTGAACTAGCGGCGAGTAAAAAAAGGACGGAACGAGGGATAAAAGTAGGAAAATGGGGGAGGAGAGAGAACGTACGCGGAAACAGAAACACTAGGCTAGGGGCTCACAGAGAGGGTAGCGAAAAAGAGGGATGAAGCATGGAGGAAGATAAAAGGAAGGTCGAGGGAGGTTACGATACAAATAGAGAAGGGTCGTACGTCGCGGGGAAAACGCGCGTATAGTCGCTAGAAGCGATATAGTGAGCTCATAAAATCGGTCAGGCGTTACATCGCCGTTCTTAGTTAAAATGTTACCAATATTTTCAAACATTTACATTTGCGTATTAACATGGCAATTAATTATGTGCTTTGGATAGAGCATGAATTGAAGTTGGTAAAAAAAATGTACTGAAAGTGAGTTACACAGTCATAGAAGAAGTATACTCTCGCAAATTTATTATTTGTATTACAAAATACATAAAAGAATTTAAAGTTATTACAATTATAATACATAAAGCTTGCAACAAACTGGAAACTATATAAAAGCTAATAACATATTTGATGAAAGTATATATTTTGTAAAGATTAGAAAAGTATCTAAATCGTTGGTTTATCCAGTATATTAATAGGCTTCAATATTCATTTTAATTCACGGCCTTGTTGTGTCGTTTGCATCAACTCTACGCACGACACGCGGAAAGATGAAAGCGGTTGTGTAGTCCTGCCTAGAAGTAGAACTTATTTGTTGAAAGGGTAGGGCCGGATTTCAGGCTGAAGTCTGAAGAACAAAATAAACAGATATGGGAATAAAAAAGGAAGATGAAAGAAGAAAGTTACACATCAAGTAGAAATGAGATGAAAATCGATGGAGTGGACTGAGATTATTCATTCTGCTACCCTTTGTTACATGTGACGGAGCTGAATATCGTTTACTAATTATAGAGCAAAGGGGTGACTCTTTTATTCAGGTTTCATTCACAACACGGAAACGAAGATATTAGATACTCGCGAGTATTACGACAAGTAGGTTTTATTTATATATATTCAAATATTTAACAAATATTATTATAAATTAGAATTGTAAATATACACACAATACTGCTACTTTACGTATGCTAAATACGTATTATAATACCAAAACATATATTATAGATAAATACTACAATTCTACCCATCACGTGGATACAATTGAAACATCGATACGTAACTGGTCAGCCGAAGAAAGGAAGATCCATCAGCGTGTAAAAGAGAAATGAAAAGTAGAAAAGGGTCCTGAAAGAGAAGAAGAGAAAAGAACCGACGACGAAGACGAGCATGGCTGTCGGAGGCATATGTACACGATTACTCTAACTCGGAAGGAGTGGTGATGAAAAGATCCGCTGCTAGGCCGGAAACCAAGGCTCACGCGAGAACTCGACCATAAGGATGGAGAGAGAGAGAGGAATCAAGTGACGCGTTAGCAAAAGGAAGAGGAACCAACGGAAAGGACGAGGAGAACCGTGAGGGACGGAAGTCGGAAGAACGAGATTAAAAGGATAGAAAAAGACGCACGTACATACAGCTCCATGGACGGTGGAGCAAATTGAATGGAAGAAAAGAACGAAAAGGAAAAATGAAATGGAGACGCGGTACTAAAGAAGCCAGAGTAATAGATGAAACAGGTATTAAATACTTTTTTTTTTTTTTTTTTTCTTAGAAAGAAACGATAAATTTTACGATAAAGTTCTTCTCTGTAGATTCTCCGGATGAAAGTTGGAGAGGAATTATTGAGAATTCAAGGACCTGAAAATAATTTCCAACAGAATTTGCCACGAACTCTTGCGATAAAATATACGAACAGGAGAGAAGACGATGGAAATCATGCTGGACGAATAGTCGAAAGAACGATTAAAGAGGTAGAAAAAAATGTGCATATATACGTTGGACTCGATGAAGGGCGGGATGAGGCAGAAAGGAAGTACGAAAGAACGAAAAAGGAAAAATGGAGAAGTAGAGACACCGCTGTTGAGAAGAATCGGAGTAATAGCGAGAAAGAGGAAGTGGAAAAGGGAGCGGAGATAAAAGAGAACGGGACAGACCGACGGGATTTTTACGCTAGAGAGCACGAGAAAGAGAGAGAGAGAGGAGAGAAAAGGGCAGATGGAAAGAGACATATCCACGCGCGGGGGCAGTATTGATCTGTTCGCGCAAACTCCTGACTCTTACGTTCGCTCCACGGCCAGAATCGTGTCTCCCCACTTCCTCTTCTGCTCCGCTCCGCCCCTGTTCCCGACGTACGAATGCCCCCGTCGACGCCGAAAGTGCTCCATTGGCATCGACTATGACCCTGGTCATTCTCCTCCACGCGTCGCCTAATCGAGAACTTTCGGCGCGCGTGTTTCAAGTATTTTTATGAAACGATAACGATACGATCCACTAAGTGATCCACGTCAAAGGAAGTCGTTAGTTGAACTATTTCTCACGATCCTAACACAGAAGCGAAAGTGTCCGGAGGGGACTGCTACTCGTCCTTCCGTTGGTAATTGCACTGATTGCTTCGTCCACAGAGTTAGGACAACTTGTCTCCTTCTTTCTCTCTCTTTCTCTCTCTCTCTCTCTCTTTTGTTTCTTTTTGTTGAATGGAAATTGGCTCGGAGATGGAACGGTTGGCGTTTGAGATTGGATTAAGTTAAACGCTTTTAAACAAGATATACAGTTTACCTTGTATAGTAGTTTAACGATGGAGTATAGTAGTTTGAAAGGTGGAGCGTCAATTTCTCAAACGAAGAGATGATGTACTCTTAAAATAATAATTAAATCGGTGACTTATGTTCCTTGCTGTTATTATTCTGTGCGCTATTATTACGGCACTATCATACTAAATATTTACACCTTTCATTCTTTTAGAGCAATCAATAATAAGAACAATAAATCAGTCAATGTTAATTCACGCGATAACGATGACTTTTCAGGCATGGAACAACGTCCAGATGATTATAATGCATCACGGTTGGACACATTGATAATATCATGACGCGGTTTATTAACCGCTCAACGGAGAGACGTAGCGTCATGTTGAGCGTAAGTCTGTAGGGATATGTTTGTCAAGAGGTTCTACGAACAGGCTGCTGAATGCTTGATTTAATAGGACGTGTGAATGTCGTGCAGAATATCCCATTTCCTTTGCGTTCTAATCCATAACTTTTAGAACTGTACATCTTATTATCATTCTATTTAACTAGGAAAAATTATAATTTTTGTCTATCAACTTAGAAACTCTACATTTTTCTTCTTGCTCGTATCCTTACTCGTATAAACATATTTTTAGATCTTTCTTTAACGTACCTTAAACTTCTATAAAGTATCTACTATATATACTAACATACAAAAGGAACGAGACTAATCATAGCGATTACGTTGCATTCAGATTGAACCAATTTTCATCGCCCACGAGTACGATTTAAATCAGATCCATCAGCGAAGATCATTTGCCAATTAGAAGAATAACCTTGCTGGAAACACGGATCATAGATTCCTAAACATATTCATTCAAGTATTTCGAGCAAAGTCACCGTAAATTTTCCACGGTTTTAAAATTTTCCTTTCAAGCTTAAAAATCATCTGTCGAATGATCCAAGATAAAATAAGATTGTTCTAGCCAACTAAGTTTCAATACTCATGAGTCCTAGGACATTCTGTAAAATGTAAAATCTTCAAAAATGTAACACTCGTTACAAAATCTACGCTTAGTTTCCACGTTTTTATACGAGTTAAATATCTGCAGTCCAGCCATCAGATTCCTCCGAACACGCGCTATAACTTTGAAATAAGAAAAAAAAGAAAGAAAGGATATGTATGTGTGTGTGTATCAGCTTGAACATCGTCGTCGTACAGTTTCGAGCAGAATTTCACGGGCAACCCGCAAAGCGGATTTTTTTTTCAGCGAGCCGGTAATTGGTGGCACGGCGGTATCGCTTGTTTAAAGTTAACGAGCTTTTTTCATTTCGAAGAGCAGACAGCAGTTTGGATCGGAGAGCCAATTAAATACTGATGGGAGATCGAGCAGGAACAAGTGCTCGAGAAAAATTCGCGGAAAATGTTGCACCGAAGAGCGACTATCGAAAAGAAAGACAGAATAGGAGAGAGAGAGAGAGGGGAGAAAACAGAAAGAAAAGGAAAAGAAACAGGAACATAAAACTGATCAAGAGGAAGTTGCACGACCGAGAAATTGAAGAGGAACGATGCACGCTTTAGCGTTGGAGCGTTGAAGAGGAAAAGAAGATATCCGTTTCGATAAATAATTCTGCTTCTAGAAGTTATTCCAATGCAAGGAAGATCGGTAGGAAATACCTACATATATGTATTTTAATAAAATGAAACGAATCTCGATAAACTTTCAAACTTTGTTATGGTAGCATTATCATTTTTATTTCCATTTTTTGACATAAGATAGGAGAGACCGTTTTGGTTTTTCTAAACGTGCATTTTTATTGAATACATTTATATAAAATAGACGATACAAATTTGGTCAGAATTTCATATAAATAATATACTATTTATTAACATGAGATTATTCCTTTTTAGAAGTACAGACACATATGTGTGAGTACACTTCATTTCAAAGGATACAAACATATACACGTATGGATGTAAATATAATTGTAAGGATGCAAAACTCCATCTGTACCATTCATTTGTCATGAGAAGGTCGAATCACGAATAATACTATGAATTCCGTTAACATAAATTGGCAGCTTAATAAAAGAAAATTAAGTGATTAGTAGAATCGTAAGTCACGGCAAGAGAATTAAGTTATTCACGCGTGCGTGCTTATCACAATGAAACGACCTACGATTAAAGTCTGTGTAAAATCAGTTAATCACTCAAGGCCAATACGTTCAAACACTGCCCCTACGGGCAGAGAGGTGAGTGTTTAAACTTCCTCTTTTCTGTTCCACTGAGCAAAAATTTTCATCACTTTTCTGGTACACATTAATTACACTAACGTTGAAAGACTATTTTGATTATTTTTGAAAGATCATTCGTTCAAAAACAGACTGTTACCATTCTACGATGTATGTTTTGGCATGAAATATAGATCTCTGGTCAGTGTTGAACTAAAGGTGGGCATTTGCTTCGTCCCACTTATACGTACATTTGCATGCGTAGCCGTGAATTCGAAACCGACTTTTCGCGATGTCATTGTTAACATTTTTAATAGATCGGTAGTCCTCCAGTGTTCGTTGATCACCTCGCATAGAGTCTGAATGTAGCAGCTACCTTCTTTGGCACGAAACGAGTAATAACCTGCGAACAAAATAAGTATAATATAGTAGTTCTTTCCTCGATCGAGAAATGATCGACGATCTATCGATTGCAAATAATATTTCTTGCAACCAGTAAACGATATTAACACTATATTTTCACGAGAGATCCAGAAAGAATTCACAAAATGTGATTTTTATATCACAAAGACAAGTTTACTTAAACTTATTACTAAACTAATTCACTTTTCAGTGGTAAACTAACTAAATTTTATTTAATTTCACGTACAACATGTACAGATGCGTTAAGTGATAAAAATGATTGTCTGCGATCTTTTTTATCATTCTTAAGCGCTATATATTTAGACTTGAGCACTATATATAAAGAATGACGTTATTTTGATTGAAACTCTACCTTCCACAGTGCTATAGCCGTACAGGAAGTCTGCATGAGTGGGAATTGTGTAACTCGCGTCGGCTAAATCCGTAGCAGACCTTCCTTGTGCATGAATGCCGTGCATGGTTGAATATCCTTTGCAAGCCTGCGAGGAATGACAATTATCAAACGATGGATTACTTGTTACAATGTTGGTTTAATCGATTGATTTCTTCTCTCCTTTAAAATCAAGACATTCACCTGTATAAAAAATAGCTTCGGTTTACCGGCCAATGTTCGACAGTTGTCCGAGGTGAATTTCTCCCAGATATCGGATAGTCGATAGCGATAATCCCTCGCGTACACATAATCACCGCTAGTGCCATGGGTTAATATAAAAATGCAGATGCAGTCACAGTCTTCGTAATTTTCTTTAGATACTGAAAAACAATGGAGCATGTGTACTCGTCCTTTTATATCAAATTCTAAAACGTACTAAAGACGTACGATTTCCAATCTCTTCCATAACATCTTCGTAATTCAGATCCGGATGAGTTGTCACTTCGAAATCCAAATTGTTAAAGGTATACTCGATCGCTTTCTGATCGTACTCGGTCCCCTCTCGAGTCCTCTGATTGTCAAAAATTTTATGATTGAATATCACGCATTTGCCGCGCTTTTCCAGGTTCATCGGATAAATCTCCAGATCTTTATGCGTTGAGATAGTATGAACGATGTCGTTCGTATACGACATACCACGCATTATTCGAGCGTCGGGTACATCATCATTTCTCGTGAGAACGCTCTGAAAATAATGAACTTCGTTTTATGAACTTTTTCATTTCTGGTTTTCTGGGAAAAACCTAATTTAATCGTATCGAAATGGCTCGTATATTGAACTCTGCTTGCTCCGTTCGATAAGAACTTTGCTTTTTAAAACAAAGACAGAAAGAAACGTGTGACGCGATCATCGAAAATTCGCTATTTTTCATTCATTGATCCTCGCTATTGATTAACGTGGATTCTCTTTGTTCCCGTATCTCTTATCACGGCTGATGTTCAGCAACTGCATGCATCCGGTGTTTTTCATAATTCGAAAGATAACAAAGAAAATTCGACTCCTAGGGAGTGCGAAAAGAAATATAACATTCTTCTTTCAACATCCAATTTTCAAGGAACAATTTACCAAACATAATCATTGTGATCACTGGCAGTGCTCTGTTACAGATAACATTTCATACAGCGTACCGGACAAAAATAAGAAGAAATCTTAAAAATCAAATTTAGGATCGAAAGAAATATCATTGATTCAAAAACCACCAATACCACATATCTCGATCAGTATCTCGGGCCCCATTATCAGAGCCATGAGATATTTATGGCCCCATGTCACCAAAACGAAAAATACTACAAACAATGATAAAATGAAATAGCGACAGTGTATATCATATATAATATTATACATAATTCTCATATAATCGTCAATTACACGATGAACATAAAAACTGACTATGCAATGTGTTTTGGAAGTTTCTGCAAAATGAAAAAATATGATTCGATACCGTGATTACGTATCTCATTTACCTCTTCTGCTTCCGAATTTGGCTCGCTGCCTGGAGAAGAAATCGCCAGATGTTTTTCCAAAATATATTTCATAACGGCACGACCGAAGCTGATCAAATGGAACATTAAGACAAACATTTTGTAGGCACGTTGTTGTCTTCCCAGTTGATCTTTGACTGATGGATTCTCACGTTACTTTATCCTTATCAATAGTCGATCGTTATCGGATGTGTTTTACGAACGGTGACCACTCACGGCAGGAATTAATTTCCAAACATAGGATGCTCTATGCAGATTTTATAGAAATATCTGATTAAATATGCATTTCCTCTTTCAAAACGAAGACCAAAACTATTTTAAAATATTCATAGATATATTTTCTTGAAATATATATACAATTAGATATATTAGATCTCAAATTTTTATTAGATTGATATTAAATTGGTGTTGATATTTTTATCAAATAAGTTTGCATATTTTAAGTTAAGAATCCCGCTTAATACTTTCATGAAACGGATATTGATAGTATCAATATAAAGTTTTCATGAAACGGATATTGATAGTATCAATATAGTTAAAGTTAATATAGTTTATAAAATAACAAAATCTCCATTCTGATTATTCTATAATATAATTCATACGATAAATTAATAAATAAAGAAATTATTAAAAATATTCCGTATAATTTATTATCTTTTCCTCTATGTCAAATTCCATGTAGGTATATATGGTACAGTAACTTTAAGATGCAGATAAGATCCGGGCGGAAATTTGTTTTGCTCTGATTATTATAATATATAATATTTACTACATTCCAATCATTTTATATGTTTCTGTATATTACGTGCATTTTCACATCTTTCAATTTTTCATAAATGCATAAACGTCCAACAATTCAAGTACAACAGTACAACGATACTTGTGTTAAGATTTTTTTTATAGATATCAAACTTCAACTAGTTATCAATAGTTGTAATTAACTGTTGTTTATCTTCATGTACTTGTAGAAATATCTGTGAAAAGATTAAGATTTTACATTATTCAAGACATGATTCAGAATCATTGATGACCAGTGGTATCGTCTGTATCAATATTAAATACCGATGATGACAAATCCTGTATTATTTCTGATTGATTTTCATACTGTCCTTGACAGATATGGTTCAATATAATTTATATCTTAACTGTATGATTATATTTTATTCAACCTTATACCTGATAACATATTTTCTAGTAGTCTATGAAATTCCTTTGTTAAATCAAACAAAACTTAGGAAATTTCCAGTTTTTCTTCGAGGAGAGTAAATCGCATGCTACAGATTATGCGGTAATCCGTAGAGAATCGCAATTCCCGGAAGTACAGAATGAAAAGTATCATCCTACGTCCAATAAATATCGAGTATATAAATTGACAACAAATAATAACTGGATAAAATTTCAGTGAAATTTTTGAAAAAAATAAACTGTTACTTTCGTACAGAAAACACTTTCTCTATATTGTAATATTGTAATTTACATAGATTAGAGACATTGCTTGCGAATGATGATATTTCGAAAAAAAGAAAGGAATTAATATTAATAGCGAAAATGACTGTCTTTATTTATACTTTGATAATATATGTACAATGCACATTGCATATATATTTATCGTATCTATTGAAATATCAAACGCAAAATACATAAATCGCAACTGCGTATTCGTATTTAGCCTATCTATATATGTACATATATATATATCTATGCAAGTGACGTGTTTTCACTAAACTATTAAAAAGTAAGAGAAATCTACCATATTTTCCTGTATCTGCTAATATTGTGAGTAGAGCAACTTTTGAGAAGCAATTTTTGTTTACTTCATTTCATAGCAAAATTATGGTTTTGCAATTATATACTTACCATCCGTTTCGATACTATCTCTCTACGTAACCCATGTATCTTTAAGTGCAAGAATATTTCGCCCACTACGCAGTGCATTGTATGTGTTTGTATGATTGTTTTTGTTAATTACGACGCATTATATGTTTGATAACGCGTTTCGATTTAATTCACATATCATCATTTATTGGTAAACGTTCATTTGTATTTGACCGCGTGTAGTCAACGATGTTTCGTTAACCTCAGTTTCTGCAATGAAAGGAGAAAGTCATGCATTTCGTTTGCAAAAATGCGTTTCCAATTTGCGCCAAAATAGATTTGTAAATGCGTGAATTGATTGTTTTGGGACAAATTATACAAATCAAAGTATATATTACTTTGAAAAATTCATTTAACATTAAAATTGTTTTTTAACGGGACTAATAATTTGATGATGATTCGTTTTAATATCGTTATGTATTTGATTTCAGATATGATTCCATACACTTTACATGGGATAAATTAAACGAGAATTTGTAAAAATACCATTTCCCATTTGCAGATGTGATCATTTCAAGTATTTATTTTAAAATGATAGATGCCACTTTGAATCCTTGTATTAATTCAAATGCTTCGCTCGGGATAGACCAAGCATGTTTGAGCATTTTGAATTTGTATCTTAATCCTGTCATCTTTTATGCAATAGCATGGGAAGCTTATACGGTATGCGTTCATTTCATTTTTTGAGATTAAGATGTATGATTTTAGACAATTGATAAATTATGTGTAAATCATTGATTTGTAGGGTACTGGTTTCCCAATAACCACTTTAAATCCAGAGAGTAACACAAGTTTAGTAATAGACACAAAATATCCATTACACATATACTACAAAAGTGTTGAACCAAACAGGACTTACGAGTATTGTCAGTAAGTATTCTTTCTGCTATATATCACTGACAAGTATTTTTGTATATATGTATATTCATTCCCAATCATCTTTATAGCTCAACATACACCTTCAAAGAACATGGCAGTTATGGATGGAATATATCAGCTGCTCATCTATGTTCTGATATTTATGTGATACATGAACCAGGGAATCCCTACTTTCGTAAGTAATTTTGTGATACATTATCATAATTGTAATCCATCATAAAATATTAATAAATTTCTTTTTGCAGCAATTTTGATAGCATTTGCAATATACATGTTATTAGCAGTTGTATGGATAACATCTAAAATTATTATGCAAATAATAAGGAGAAAATTATCGTCTAATAACGTACACGATGTAAATATAGTTTGTATTGTATATAGTTAGTATCTTATTATACATCTCCAGTCCCTTTTGTTTGATTATATTTTATTCTAGGATTTAGATAGGCTTCAGGAAGAAAATCTGACACATCCAGTAATAAGAACTACAAAATTCAGCAGCAGAGTACAATCAGTAGATGCATTCAGAGGGTAATTTTATATTTTTAATTTGTTTTTCACTTCTTTGCCAATTTAAATATCGCATTTATTTTAGAATTGCAATATTATTGATGATATTTGTCAATAATGGAGGAGGAAAATATGTTTTCTTCAATCATAGTGCATGGTTTGGACTTTTTGTAGCTGATTTAGTACTTCCTTGGTAAATAATCATTTATAATTATTACAATTATTTAATCTTTCAAGCATTACAATGAATAATTTACAGGTTCGCATGGATTATGGGTCTGACTATAACAATTTCAAAACGTACAGAACTTCGTTTGACAACATCACGTGTAAAAATAGCTTTATGCGGTCTTCAACGATCAGCAAAATTGATTCTTCTTGGATTAATGTTAAATTCGATACATAGTACATCCTTAAACGATCTTCGTTTTCCTGGTATTCTTCAGTTATTGGCTGTATCATATTTCGTATGCGCCGTATTGGAAACAATCTTCATGAAACCTCATTCCCTGGTTTGAATATAATTATTTTTATTACGCATAATTCTTACATTTATCTAATTGGTATCTACAAAAATTACTCATTAGGATATCTTACTCCAGTTCGGCCGTTTCGTTGTTATCAGAGATATCTTAGATAGTTGGCCTCAGTGGTTAATTATGGCAGGCATTGTAACTACGCATACATTAATTACCTTCCTTCTTCCGGTACCGAATTGCCCGACGGGCTACTTTGGACCAGGTGGAAAATATCATTATCGTGAACATTATATGAATTGTACTGCTGGCGCAGCTGGTTACATAGATAGATTGATTTTTGGAAATCACTTGTATAATAAAACAAATAATTCTATTTATGGTAAAATTTTACCATATGACCCTGAAGGTAATGAATTATAAAACTGTTACTTCAAATTTTTAATAAAAAAATTTCATATATAATTTGATATCCATAATTAGGATTGATGAACACTATATCCGCTATATTTATTGTTTATTTGGGAGTTCATGCTGGCAAAATTTTGTTGTTGTATTACCAGCCAAATGCTAGAGTGATCAGGTGGTTTGTATGGGCGATATTTACGGTGAGTAATTGAAACTGAAGCTTTTGAAAGATTTTTTGATTTCCACTACTGGAAGTGTTATTTTTTTAAGGGTATTATTGCTGGAATCTTATGCAATTTTGAAACTCAAGGAGGAGTGATTCCAGTTAGTAAAAGAATGATGACACTATCGTATGTTTTGGCTAGTTCTAGTTTAGCTTTCTTATTGTATGCACTTTTGTACGTTCTTATTGATTATAAACAGTTATGGAATGGAGCTCCATTTATTTATGCTGGTATGTATTAACGCATAAAAGAATTGTTATGTAAACAAGTATGATTTTCTGCATGAAATTTGTATGAAATGTATTTATTATTTTTTTATAGGGATAAATCCAATTTTTCTTTATGTGGGTCATATTTTGACAAAAGATTTATTCCCATGGGCGTGGAATATTGCTCATCCTTCCCACGCATCTGTTCTAGCTATGAACTTGTGGACAACAACTTTATGGGCAATAATTGCGTATCTTCTTTATCGAAATGATATTATTATAACTGTTTAAAAATATTCAAGTTATTATAATGTTTTGATATGAATGAAACATTTTTAAAAAATTTTTTTTTATTAAAACAAAAAAAAACATAAAATAACATTGTGATAAGGCCTAATAAGGCGACTATAAATTAAGAAGAGAATGAATGACATATTTGCATTTGATATTATTAACACTGATTAACAAATAAGAAGCATAATTATTTTAGCTTTAAATAGTTTAATTGCTGTATTTAATTTTTATAAATAAAGATAATAAATAAATCTTTGTTTTATTATTTTAAATACATTTTTAATAATTCACTTGTTAGATAATCAAAATATATAAATAACCAACGTATAATTCTTCTTCTATGATATATATTACTGCTTATGAATTTCGGTCTTTTGGCTCCTTATATGGCAATCGTAAAATTTGGAAAATATCTTCTTCACAAGTGATTTTTTCTGCCTCTCCTGGAGTTCCTATATCATATGTAACACAGATATGTATACAAATGTTCATATAAAATTTTGTAAGATCATATAAAATCTGTAAAATCTTTTATAGATTATATATGTACCTTCAGGTGTTAGACGTTTTAACGTGTATTCATTCAAAGTATAGTTTTTTTCCAAAGCATGTGCTCTTATATTTTTATTGAAAAGATCATTCCCAGTAAAATAAAGTACACCACAATAATATTGATCATAAGGTATAAGTCTGATATCGAGTCTTCTAAATGGTTTTTCGCTATTAGTGGATACTTTACAGACACCCTAAAATTAAATTAAAAACGTTTTTAAACATAATTCCTTTAGTTAAATTTAATTGGTAAATAGTAAAATAAGTTACCATGAATTTTGTTGATCCAAGTGATATTGTATCTACAATCAATTTCTTTCTCTCAAGACATTCTACAACGTCTTTTAAGAGTGAAATTTTTTTCTTTGATTCTTTTTCTTTAGATGTATATGTAGGATGTGTTAATAGAACATCAATATCTCCACTTTCTTTCTTCCCACGTCTGTAACTTCCACATATAGTTACAATATATTCTTCATTCAAATTTGCAATAGAATTTTTTATAATTTTTTCAATCTTTTCAATCTCCTTTCTGGGAATGCTTTTCTCAAAATCTTCAAAATATCTAAAAAAAAGTTACAATTATTACAGAAAGAAGTATGTAACAAGTTCCATATATCTGATTATTTTACTTCAGGCCAATTTTTTGATGACGATTTAGTTTATCTTGATGCTTCTTCAAATCTTCTAAAGTCTTAATTCCTTTATCTACTAATTCTTTGGCTTTTGCAGGTCCAATACCGGACACACGAGTTAACAAATTAATTGCAACATTGCTTTCATCCTTTTTAATCTGTATAAACATCAAATTTCAATATCAATGCAAAATAAGTGAAATATATTTTGTTATTAAACAAATAAATTAAAATAAGTACATCTTCCAACTTTTGTAACTTTCCAGTACTAAGAAATTCATCAATTTTTTTAGCAATTTTTTCTCCGATTCCTGGTAATTTTCTTGCTTCTTGACCATTTTTTACTCTTTCTGGTAATCCACTTAAAGTGGCTGCTGCTTTGCGATAGGCATTGTATTTGTAAATATTTTTGCTAACATTTCGTTCATAATTTGCTAAGTCTGTAATTTCATTGTACAATTACTAATTACACGAGTTATAACATTTAAATATTTCATGTAATTTTAAAGTTTATATTTTATTGGGTGATCTTTTTTACAACAGTTTCGTTAATAAAATGATGTATATAGAGTATATAATAAATAACTTACCTATAAGAAAATCACATAAATCTTGATTTGGATTTCCTGCATTATCAGTGGCCTTTCTCTTTCCCATTGTACAAAATAAAAAAATATAAATTATATATACAAACGAGTCTAATTTATCAACTTTTTCACCGAGTAATTTTTTTTCAAAAACCAACGCAAAACAGAACCGGCATGTGCGCTATTTGTCGTTTGATACATGCGCGACCTTACATGTTTTGCGCATGCTGACAATGATTGGACGATTTATTTTACATTTCCATTTCAAATATTTTGGCGGTTTTTTAAAAGACCGATCAAAGATTCAAGAAATATAACATTGAACATTTTATCTCATAATTAATAAATTTTTTTTATATCATAATTACATGAACTAGGCATAATTAACATACAAAATGATAAATCAAAATTTAATATACTATATTTATTTTAGGCAAACGTATATACATTTTCACACACAAATATAAACCGTCTCTTCTAAAAAAATTAACAATGTCACGCTATGTCAATATAGCGATTATAATCTCTTTCAATTTATTTGAACAGGAGAAATATAGATGACTTTCAATATAGATGATATTTCTGCGTTCATTTTATATACATTTAGTACTATACTTAGTACATACTTAGTACTATGCTATTGAATATTACAGATAAAAAAAAATTCATATATGCTATAAAACTACATTACTTCAGCCTTGTAATTAACAATTACGAGCTTATTTTAATAAAAAACAAATAAATATAGCATCGTGTTAGAATAATATTTAAAATAAAATTAAGTAATTAATTTATATAAGTCATGAATGAATGAAGTTGTTTATCTTTAAGTGTCAATCATATTAAGTCATTTAGGAACATGTTCTAAGAATTATACCACTTATGTTTGATAATAAGTAAATTTCCTTGCGAAGCGTCTAATTACTATCACATTATTCTTTTTCCATTCGAAACTTGACACAGAATCACTTACAGTGGACGGATCTTTATACCTTACTTCTGATGTCAAGTTGTCATATTTCAGATCTTATTTAATATCTAAGTATTTTTTGTGTACTTTTGATTATATGTTGCCTTATATTGAGGACATACGATTATATGCTGCATGGCCTTTTATGCAATAACTGGAGATACACGTGCAAATACTAAAAGCTAAAATAAATATTCCAACGAAAACGTAAAGCCATAATTGAGGAAATCTTCCTGGGAGCCATAAAATTGTAAATTCTACCACTTTCTCTTGTGTATCTAAAAATGAAAAAGAAAAAATATAATTAAAAGGAAAAAGAAACTGACAATTTCATAAATGAACACGATGTTATATTTTCTCTACCGATATAAACAAGTCCGTAACCCGTATGCGGAGTACCCATTCTGTATGAACATGTGGGTATTTGTAACTCGTGAATATCACCTACGTCCATTCTTAATCGATATAACGGAGTTTCGTAGGGAGGTAAAACCCAAATTTCACTTAATTGGTCTGTTGCTGTATCTAAACTGATATGCATGGCCTTATGTTTGTGTGCAGTAAAAATAATTTGGGGAGATAATTCTTTCAGTACCTAATATTACAATATAGTTATTAACAGAAACTAAAAATAATATCACTCTCTAATAAATGAATAAATATCACATACATTTTGGACGAAGGTACCAGGCATAAATAATAAAGGCATATGACTAAGTACTACATTTGTTGTGTTTCTTTCTGCATAATCATTAAGGAAGGCATCTTTTGGTGCTTCTGGCATTGTATGTGTTAATCTGTTCACCTAGAAAATATATATATATATTAATATAATATTATATTGTAATATATTAATATATTTTTTTTTTATTACCTTGAAAAATGTTACTGTCTTATAAACTAAAGTATCTGGCTGACTATATGCAAAATTAAATCTATTATTAATATTGGATGAAACTGCATCCTCTTCACCTCCAATGTCATTATCTCCTGGTATATAAATTTTCTGTTAAAACAAAAGTATATTTAAATTTATCATGAACAATATTATTTATTTGATTAATTGTATATAATAATACCATTATATGGTCAGGCATTTGAAAGATAGAATCTAATCTTCTTTTATAAGATTTAAAACTTTCTGCACCAGCAACATGTCCTTCGTCCATAAGATCTCCAAGAAATACAACAACATGAGGATCAGAGTGGTCTAAGGCTCTGGAAAATGTTTTCTCCAAGTACCTGCAAATAAGATACTGTGGAACAAAATTCACATCAATATTTATATTTGATAATAACAAAGCGATAGAAGACTGATCTGATAAACAAGTTAATTATTATTCGTACTTGTCACTATCCCATTGTGCTAACCAAGAGCCAAAATAATTTTCATTCTTTTCACCTAATATCTGAGGGTCAGCAACAATTAGCACTTTGACACATTCTGAACATTCTTGTACTGACCACTTTAATTTTTGTATATCGTACACTGAAAACTCATTGTAAATTACAGCAGCCAGCACCAGCAAGGCAATTGCGATGGCTTTGTTTTTTAATCTGTATAGTACAATTTGTTAAACAAATGTTTTATTAATATTCTTAAAAACAAGCAAAAGAAATGACAGTAATAAGATAGTAATGTTTAATCAGAAAGTCAGTTAAACGTAGTGTAAAGTGTCAACTGCACAATGAATACACTTTACCTGTTTCGTCGTAACATTTCTAAGATTTTTAATATTTGATAGCATTGGTAATCTTAAGACCAATAAGTAGATTCGTACATTTTCTACTGTAAAGTGTAAAAAACCCTTGTCATGATCTTGTTTTTCTGCGATACACAATAATCTAATTAACTAAAAGGTTATATAATCACAGAAAAAAAAACAATCTATTAGCGTTTCACGCGTACCTCGTTAAATAGTATGGATAATCGTGCAATGGTCAACTATTCGATCGCGAAATTGATTTGACCATACAAAAATTGGAAGGATACAGATAAATTCTGTTTGGATCATCCTTATTTCGAATAAAAATCGATATTTACAAAGCACTGCATAATTCACTATAGATGGAAGCAGTTATGATGGAATGGGCATTATGTTCTTTCTGTGCGCGCCATTTATAGTTTCAAATCAATCACGTTTTTTTATCTCGATCGTTCTCATTGGATGTATTCTATTCTGGTACAATTTCAAATACTGAAAATGTTAAATACGATAAAAAAAATTAAATTATTGACTATTATATTATTAAAGTTATTTATTATTGTTTTTGTATCAAATACTAGTGAAAAATTAATTCGTAATAGACTTTACATGCTATACGTTTCCAATGAGGAATTAAAAAACAAACAATTAAAAAACTTGGCGACGAAATTTTTTACGAATACTATGAGAATATGATGTTAGTTTATTAAGTTACTAAATCTGATATGTATGTATCTGATTTTTTGTTACAGTATTTTCCCCTAGATTTTGATCACATGGTTTTATTTACCTCTTCTTGACTCAATTCGTCGAATGAAACGTATATAGTTACTTTTGCACATATATGTATGTACAAACGTATTGCATACGTATATACGTAACATGGTGCGGAGAATTTCATGGCCGTATTGGTCGCGTTGCATCAGCGAGTGCAATGTTCATCTATTTTCGATTATTTCGCAGCGGCACGCACTATTTCAACAATTAGTGATTTCCCGTTCGGAAAATGGCTGAGTCGGAACAAAGGAACAAAGAAAACTGCATCGTAGGACCGAAGGAAATGATGGTGAAGCAAGAAAAGCGTGAGAACACGTTGACGAATGGCGGGAAGGGCTCTGGCGATGACGCGGATAGTCTTGAAGAATTGCCACTCGATATAGGCGAACACTATCTCGTTCGCAGATCCGACGAATCTTGGCGTAAATATATTATCACGTGATTGTGATCTTTTTTATCGACGATCATGCGTGAAGAATTATCTACTCTTTATAGACGATTATCCGCATGCATTTTTCGCCGCTTTGTGTTTATGTTTGTATTACCGGTTTCGATGACCGTCACTCGTTTTGAAAACATCACAAACGATGTCATATGATCTCTTTCTTTTACAAAAAAGAAACACGATAAGCGTATTATTTTGATATTATCTTGTGATCGAGGAGCAGTATTTTGATATAAAATTGTTAAAACTAGAAAGATTTGAAGATACATTTGATGAATTTTGAAAGATCAATATTTCTATATCAAGAGCAATATCTTTAAAATTATGAAAAGTGATGATGCGAAACTGTTACTCTGTAAAAAAGGATAGAAAATGTGACTTGTTATATTTTCTTCTTGAAAGTTTTTATATGATTCAGTATTATTTTATATATCCTTCTTATAAACTTCTTTTGTTTTATTATTGTTTTACTTGGAAGTGCATGAACAGAAGAAATACATATGATATTAAATAAAAAATTCTTTTATTGCATTTAGATCCGGCAGAGATTATTCAGACTCGATATAATGAGAGCGAAAGTCACTACGAATATTATGTACATTACGAAGGTCATAACAGAAGATTGGATGAATGGGTGCCCAGAGATAGAATCATGTCAAGCAGATTTGATATGAGCGATAGAAGTTGGAAAACTGGAGATAGAAACTCTGGTACTGACTTGTTGGCAGATTCTTCAGATCGTAAAATTACAAGAAATCAAAAAAGGAGGCATGATGAAATTAATCATATTCAAAAGGTATACATTTGTGAATGTGTTTATCAAGTTACAAATATGTCTACTAAAAGTTATTTTTTAATTACAGACATATGCTGAAATGGATCCTACAACTGCTGCTTTAGAAAAGGAACATGAAGCAATAACAAAGGTCAAGTACATTGACAAAATTCAAATCGGTAATCATCAATATGTATCTTGTAATAACTGAACCCTATGTGTGAAAAGGGTCTCATTATTTTCAAAAGTTCACTTCCAGGAAAGTATGAAATTGATACCTGGTATTTTAGTCCATATCCAGAAGAATATGGGAAACAACCAAAGCTGTGGATTTGTGAATATTGTCTTAAATACATGCGCCTTGAAAAAACTTACAGATATCACATGGTAAAGAAACGGTGTTATTTAATTTCTTGTAAAAGTAGTTGGAATAAAATTTGACTTGTTTTTAATTTTCAGAGTGAATGTACACATAGACAACCAGTTGGAAAAGAAATATATCGTAAAGGCACACTAAGCATTTGGGAAGTCGATGGTAGAGAGCATAAAATTTATTGTCAAAATTTATGCTTACTCGCAAAATTATTTTTAGACCATAAAACACTTTACTTTGATGTAGAACCATTCCTTTTTTATATTCTTTGTGAGGTTGACAAACATGGAGCTCATTTAGTTGGTTATTTTTCAAAGGTATTTTTTTTTCTGTTCTTAATCGCATTTGTGATTTGCAAATTATACTTTTTTTTTCTATCAATCAATTATGCTTTTTATCATGTTTAATTTGCTTTCAGGAAAAAGAATCACCTGATGGTAACAATGTTGCTTGTATTTTAACTTTACCACCGTTTCAAAGACAAGGATATGGAAAACTGCTAATCGCGTTTAGTTATGAATTAAGTAGAATAGAACAAACTGTTGGTAGTCCTGAGAAACCATTGAGTGACCTAGGAAAATTATCATATAGAAGTTATTGGAGTTGGATACTTTTAGAAATTCTGCGAGATTTCCGGGGTACTCTTAGTATTAAAGATCTGAGGTAATTTTTCATTGAAATAGATAAAATTTTAATTAAATTATATAATAACATTAAATATATATCTTTGTAATTTGCAGTCAAATGACAAGTATATCACAAACAGATATCATATCAACACTTCAAAGTATGAATATGGTAAAATACTGGAAGGGACAACACGTAATCTGCGTAACACCTAAGTTAGTCGAAGAACATATTAAAAGTAGTCAGTATAAGAGACCACGTTTAACAGTGGACAGTAGTGCACTTAGATGGGGTGCTCCCCCACGAAAAAATGTAAAGTCTGGCAAAAAGTAGCAGAAAGCAAATGGGAATCCAATGATTTTTATCATCACGATTTAATGTGTTTAGCAAACACTTGACGAAGCACTTGTAAAAGTGATAGTTTTTAACGATCCTTGCAAGTTGAATAACTTTTTTATGATGCATTACAGTCTCCATTAATATGCATTGTAAGTACGTATGGTCTCTTGATTAGAAGACAACACAGATGAATACGTTGATTTGTAGAACTTCGCTAGTTTTTCGAAGCGTACAGAAGTTTAAGATGTTTAAGATAAATATCCTTTATATAATTCTGCTTCCTTTGGCAGTACATTACAAAAAGAGAAATGATAGCGATCCGAAATACATGTTGATAATGAAAGAACCACTTTATTTTCGTTTGAGATTTATCAGTTTCATGATGCGTAAATACAATCTGAAGATACAAGTATATTATGTTGCGCGTAAAACGAAAGAAAGGAAAAGATTACCACGCAGTATTAGCCCGTATTAACGATTTTCTTCTGTAAATTCGTTAATAAACTGTATATTCGTGAGCAATTGTTGTAAAATTTCTATAAATATAACTAGATTAATATCTCATTAATATAAATTAAAACAATATTAATCTTTCATAATTTTGCAGTAGATTTGTGCATCTCTTTTGCTAATTGAACAGCATACTTAGCAGTTCCAGGTGCTGTACATACTCCGTAACCTCCATGTCCGTAATTATGCACTAGCTGTAATACAGTATTTTATCAATGACAACAAAATGCATTCACTGAAATAAGTAATGTTTCATTGAAACTAACAATAGCTTTAGAAAACCCATTTACGATATGTTCAACTTCCACTCTGACGTTGTTTTCTCTGTGTGGTCTCAAGCCAACCTCTTCTTTTACAAGTTCTGCTTTCTTGAGACTTGGGAGTAAATTTTCGCATCTCTCGCGAATCGCTTTAGATTCATACGGACAGAGTTTCTTGTTTTCAGAACCAAAATATCTTGAACCACCCAGAGTAACTACACCATTAAAACCGGGTATAATGTAAGTATCTATCTCGCCATAAAAGAATGTTTTCATCCATGGTGCCTTTACCTATTTTTTTTTTTTTAACATTTACAAATTTAATTTTGTTCTTTCACAAAATAAACTTTACATCAAGGGCAACATACTTTGAATACTTGACCACGCATAGGAACAAGATATCTATCATTACATAAATATCGTGCACCAAGACCTGTACAATTTATGATTAAATCCCAATCGGATACAAGTTCCCTTAGAGAATCTACCTTCTTTACAATTAATTTGGTACCATTTTCTTCTAATCTAGAATATAAATATTTCTTTAATAATAATTATAAAGATGATGCGTTATCAATAGATCAGATTCGTTACTTCTTGCGTGCCCATGGCAGATGTAGTTTGCATTCGGTGAGGAGAGTACTAAAAAATGACCCATATTTCCAGTTACCTTCCACTAATTGAAATTCTTCATCCGTAACTCTTCTATATATTGGTACCAAATCTTTCATCCAATGACTCTATTTTAAAGAACAAATGCCAGTTTTTTCTCAACTAATTCTATTTTTAATTATCATTATTTGTAATGAAATGTAATCGCAATAAGAAAGGAATTTCTGGAAGTATAAATAAAATAAACCTTTACGGTTTCCGGAGAAGAATTTGCGAACATGTAACCGGAAATAGCAGTTACACCAGCGGAAGAAGCTTCGTGAGATTTTCGAATATTATCATAATATGCATACGAATCTCGCAGCCAATCTCTAAAAAGAAAAATTCAATTATAAGATGGAAAGATTTATGTAAAAATAGATACAAGATTTGCTTTTGCACATGAACCTTGTTATTTCTTCGGTTGGTCCAGAATATGATGAACCAACTCTAAATAATCCAGCAGCCACATGACTGACAGTATCATTAAAGTCAGAAGCGAAAACAGTGACTTCAGCGTTACGTAATTCACGATTTAATTGTGAGGCTGTAGTTAAACCAATTATTCCACCTCCAACTATGGCTACTTTCATTTTTGTCTTTTCTAAATGTTACAAATTTTTCCTCTTTAAAAACTCCAGTGGAAAACACTTCAATATGTTATTGATCGTCGAAGAACTTACCACGAGTATCAGTGTACTTTAAGTGCTAAAAATTCTATAACTCTTATCTGTTGTTGAACAAATTTTTCTCACCACGTATACCATTTATAAAACTATTATGACTACAATCGATACGTGCTTCGTACTTTGAAATGAACGCACAAGCCTTATTAAAAGAATTACGTTTATTTAATACAAATCGATACTTCTCAAAAAGTTATCGTGATAATTCAGATATTATGGGCAGTTAACGTTTCTATTATAGATAAGATTTAACATCACCATATTACAGATAAGAAAGTTCGGTGCAAAAGAAGAAAGTTTGTTCGCGGTAGTTCAAAAAGAAATTACAATATTCACACATTAAAATGATCAATCAAGATATGTACACCATATGTTAAAAATTTAGAGAAAATTATTTGATCAAGCTTAATTTCATTTTCTTGTTTATTTGCCTTATTCATTAATTAATATGAAATTTGGGCTAATCATATATATTTCCCCACGTATATACAAATTTCAATCTCATCAGTAAAATGAGTTTGAATAATTAAAAAAAGACCAAAGAAAAAAAAAAGAATGAATTACATTAAGACCCTTTTTTGCATTAAAATCTAAATAAAACATAATCGATAAATTACAGAAGTAAAATATACAATGATAAACTCATTTGTTTTACGGGTATGTTACATTATCAACAATATAGTTGTTAACAATCGATTCTTCAAATTTTTTAGATAAATTACACTCGTAATGCATTATAATTTTCCATTGTATCCTCTCCCTCTGTTTTCCTTCGCTGTTTCTTTCTTCGTATCGAAAAATATATAAACGCAACGCGAATTTGCAGAGACGTGGACGCAATAGAACACTATTCGTACACGAATTCTCTTCATTCCAAGAGCGATCAATCAATTAATATCACGAAGAATGAAGTTATTTACAAAAAGCGAACAGTCGATGAATTTACTAACAATAATACATTTGTTTTGCGTCTAAGTTCTACGAAGAAATTTCAACGATCTCACAAAGCCTTTATATCAAGGCCACGCTCTTTGTTTCTTCAGAGAGAAATAAGTGTTCATGTCGTTCATTTTACAAGCTTAACGTCTACGATTGTTACATTTTATCATAGAATAACGTCAACTAAAATACAAAAAATTTTTACGCCTTACTGCAAGGTTGTATCGTATAATTCAAAGGAGGAGGAGGAACTAAAAGAGGCAGCGGAGTAGGTGGTGGAGGAGTTTGAACAGTGCTCGAAACTGTAGCCGTTGATTGAGCTTCATTAGTACGACTGGTAGCGTTGTAAGCGGAAAGATAACTCGGCCAAAGGTGCGGTGGCGGAGGTGACCCTGGAGGTGGTGGTGGCGGAGAACGATCATCTAGTTCATCCGAATCATCCATCATCATTGCTGTTAATGGAGTGACTCGGGGCTTCTTTAGTTTTATGATCTTCACCTAATGAACAATTAATTAGTAAAACATTGATTTGACATATTATAACAAAAAGTTTGCGTTCTTATTCTTCCTTTCTCCCTTAAAAAGCAATAATGAAAATAACGAAATTAAATTTATAAACAGACCGACCTTCACTTTTTTCTTTGCTTTTGGAGGTCGTGTTCTTTTCTCTTGTTTTCTACTCTTTCTGGAACTGGATCTTCGAACGTCACGAGCTCCACTCCGAGCAACAGATATTGGTGGTGGAGGAGAAGGCATATCTCCTTCACCACCACTAGGACTAGTACCTTCCCCAGGTTTAATTCCATCCGCGAATTGCACAGATTTTTTACTCCTTTGTTTTCGTTTACTTTGCTTCATCAATTTCGTTTTCTTCGTTTGATTCTTCAATTTGCTTGGCTTGTTCTCACCAGTTTCATCTTTATTCGATTCATTTTTATCTATTTCAGTACTTTCTTTATCCGTATTGTCTCCGCTATCATTTTCGGGAGTAGATAGGTCATCCAAATTGCCATTAGGAACCGACGTCCTTCTAAATAAATATATTTACATTTAGAAAATAAAACATGATTGATGAATTTCTTTCGTCAAATATAAATACGAACAATCGCATACCTGAAACCTGATGCGACTAAAATTCCTTTCAAAGGCGGTGGGAGTAATTCCGGCCATCCTTTGGACTCCGTTTCAATTTGGATTTTATTTGTTTCGTCCATCGGTGTTGTTGCAACAGCTTCATCAACTTCGTTTTTTGATTTATTTAACCGTGATTTTTCATCGTCCTCTTCTTCTTCCTCTTCGTCATCCTCTGCTTCTTCCTCTTCTTCTTCATCATCTTCAACTTCAGCCTCTTCCTCCTCCTCTTCTTCCTCGTCCTCTTCAACGGGTACTTCTTCCTCTTCCGTGGGAGCAGAAGACGCGACTACCGGCGTTATTTCTTCTTCCTTTTCAAAAACAGTAGCAGAAGTTTGCTGTTCCTCCGTGTCACATTGCTCTTCACTTTCTCGAAGAGCTTTCAAAACCGACGGATCCAAGGCTGAACTTTTCTGCTGATTCGTGCTTTCTGACTGGCGCATGTTGTTCTTTTCTAACAATTGAAGAGCACGCCGATTAATCCTTTCGATTCGCCTACGTTCTTTTTCCTTTCTTTTAATCTCGCGCAATCGTTTACGCTCCTCCCGTTCTTTCTTGCGAGTTTCTAAGATAACATCGTAATTATAGACCGGTAGAACAGGCACCCCTACAAATCAATCGATTGTTTGAATAAACATTTACATAAGCATTTTCAACAATGCAATATAAAAAAAAGAGTATACTCTTGTTGACTTACTCTGCGGTGTTACTTCGGTTCTGGAGAACGTTGTTTGTGTTACAGGAAGTGGAACAGGACCAGGGACAGGGACAGGAACGGACAGGGGCAATGGGGATAAAGTAGAAACTGGTGTCGATGAATTCACGGCGGATGGAACGGCCGGTACAGGCATGGGGACAGGAACTGGAACAGGTACAGACATAGGGACTGAAGAAACTGGAGAAGATTGAGGGACTGTAGTTGAATATATCATCCCTCCTGATTGGTCGACTGACGAAGGCTGTCCACTACCACTCCAGTCCAATGACGTTGGTACAACTTGAAGAACATTACCTACGCGAACTACTTGGCTGGATCCCCGTACAACCGATGTTGACGAGGAATTGGTCGGTTCTCTGTGTGTTGCTGGAACTCCATTAAAATCTGCAGGTACCACTTGCAACACATTGCCCACCTGTTCAACATTTTACATGAAAATATGCTGCCTATTTTTTTTTTTTTTTTAATATCTTTGTAACATTAAATAAAATGTAGTGTGAACAAGAAAAAATAAAATAAGCTACGATTATTATGTCAAATATGATGATCCTTTGATTAATTTAAATATGGCGTACTTGTAAAACGGTAGGTTGTTGACGATAAAGCATTTGCTGCTGTTGCTGAGGCGATGATGGGTAACATACGTTCGAATTAAAGCTTTCTCCATAATCATTCGACACTGCTGTTCCATCCTGTTGCTTCTTAATTCCTAACTCAAGTTCGAGTCTAAAATTAACCAGAAGATATAAACATAAGCATAATATTTAAAGTTAGATGTATATTTTATTAATATTGAGATCTTATAATGGTTCAGGAAACAGTGGAAAGGAAGGGTAGTTAGGGCTAGGATTCCGAACACGATTTTTATCTATTATATTACCTATCATCGAGGGACAAACGTTTCGGAGAACTCGCCGTCGAGTCATCAATGCACGGTGGATAAGTCAAGTTATTCTCTGTATAATAATATTCATTTCCAACTTCGTTTTCAGCTGAATATTGGAAACCTGCTGCAATCGTCTCCATATTGTCACCGATGTGCATTTCCGAATCTAACACGGTCGAGTCCCTAGGTAGTCCAGATACGGACTGCACGATCGTCTCTATTCGTCTACCTCTTTCGATATAGCTATCTAGTTTCATATTATCGTGTTCATCCTTCCTTTCCCTTGAACTTTCGCTGATTCTACCACGTCCCATAGAAGGTGATCTGAATTGACAGTAAGATAGACTTACTGATTATCCAACACGAACGATTAATTTACATGAATTATTCTCAAAAAAATTCACCTGGAAGATCGCAATCGTTCCGTCATTCGAAAATGATCCGGAGTTCTCATTCTGGATCCCGAAGTAGATCTAGTCCTTGATCGAGACCCAGATCTGGATCTTGATCTTGAACGCATTATTGACCGGGATCTGGAGGTTGATCGAGATCTAGATCGTGATCTCGATCTTGACCACGACTTCGACCGCGACCTAGATTCGTGTCTAAAACGCTCGTGCGACGATCTACGAGGTGATCTTCGTGATCGTGGTGGAGAACGACCTCTAGACGGGAGCAACTTTTCTGTTCTTCGAACGTGCCCATGTCTGTCTAGATCCAAAGGTTCTTTTTCTTTCTCCCATTGTCTGTTTCTCTTTGCAGCGGGCCTACTTTTTCTTTTGAAATGATATAATTTTTTTTAATATTTATTACTAGTATCAATACTTGTTTCATTAACAATTAATGTATTAATAATACCTATGTTTGAATTTTGATGAGGGACGAAAAGGGCCTTCCATAATATCCCTTTCAATATTGTCATCTCTGTAATACGATTTTTCTTCATAATCAAGATCTAAATCTTGGCTATTAGGGTAGGAATCTAAGGACTCATTTCCATCTTGAAGCATGTTCTCTGCCTCGTACGGCCATAATGATCGATCCCCTTCATCTTCGCGAAATCTACTCTCCCTGTGTTTGTCAAAATCCACGTTTCTTTCTCTTAGTACTTCTATTGGCTCGTATGATCTACTTTCCTTTTCTCTTTCCATAAAATCGTATTTCCTTCTATTCCACTCATCTCGGTCTCCTTTAGTTCCATGCTTCTTAAAATGCTCTGTAGACAATTATTATCAATAATATTGATAAAAACTGAAGGTTAAAAACAAAAGAAGAAAAAAAAAGAAATAAGATTTATTTAAATAATATTTAAGAAATATTACCTTTGCCATATGGGACAGTATTAGATCGATGAGGACTTCTTACAGGTCGTTCTCTCCTATCATCTATTCTAGATCTACTACATCTATCTTCATCGATTCTACTTAATCGTTTTTCTTTACTAGAGCCTGCAAACAACTCTTCCTTTCTTTTTGGACTTTTGCTTCTACTTCTGCTCCAACTACGACTATGACTTTCGCTACGACTTCCTTCTCGTTCCCAAGAAATGCTTTTCTTATTGCGGCTGGATCCAGAAGGGCTGGATCTCCTTCTGCTTTCGTTGTACTCCTGTTTCAAACCCCTATTGTCTCTCCTATCTCCTCTTTCTCTATCATCGAATTTCTTGTCTCTTTTTTCTTTATTGCGATCGCTAATTCGTTTATCTTCCCTATTCTCCTTCCTACTGGGACTTTTCTTTTTCTGTTCTCCGCCTGGCGATCTTATCCGACATTCTATGTCACTAACATCTTTACTACTACGCGGTCTAGACTTTTTAAGTTCTTCCAGTTTGATTCCTTTATTCCCAGACTTGTACTCATTGAAATCAAGCTTTACAGCGCTTGGCGATTCCGATTTTGTGGTGATCGAGGTTTTCACTGTTATTGACAAGTCTTTCGAGTCCACTTTAACGTCCGTAATAGTGGTCTGTTCCGTGGGAATAACTTCAGCCGCAGTTGGCGCATGTATATTACTTGTTTTTTCACATTCAATCTTAAATTCAGCAGAAGGCTCCTCGCAAGATGTATCTTTTATGTCGTTCTTTGCAGCATGCGATTCTCGAAGTTTCTTCTGGATAGTCAAGAGAGCTGCGGCGTGTTGCATGGGATCATCTGAAATTAATTTTGTTTTCACACGTTCGTTGTTTCGTCGGACTAACAGCTGTTTGGGAATTAGTTTGAGCGCTGCTTTCCCCTCATTCGTCTCTTCTGTTCCTTTTGTACTGGCAGATGAAGATGCTGTCTCCGAACTTTTATTAATTAATTTTCCACGCAATTCATCGGATTCATACCCTGTAAATATATCCATTCGTAATGATTTATAACTCATGTCTGAATATGGTTCTTTGATTTGAAGTTCAGGTGAATTCTCAGATGCTTTCATGTCGAATTTTGCTCGGAGAATCTGATCCTCTGTCTTCTTTATTCCTAGAATCTCTTCAAACTCTTCCTTTATTGCTGATGTCGCATACTTACCATCGCAATACTTTATTTGAAGAGGTATGTTAGGAACTGATTCATCATCAGACTTAACCACAGTTTCATTCTTTGGTTTATCATGTAAGAAATTTTCCTTAAGGCTCAAAGAATTTGTATGATTATTTTTGAAAACTTCCATATCCTCGGACTTTTGAGAGCCTGCTGGAGAACTGGGGCTATACAGTTCCGTATTTTTTTTCGTTAGTTTCACATCCATTTCAAAGATGTCCTTTAATTGTTCTTTCGAAGGAGTCAACTCCTTCGTTTTGTCAAAGAACACATCTTCCTGTGAACTATTCAAACTTTTTATTCGCGATTTGCTTCTAGTGTGCTCTTCTGGAGTCCAGGATGATTCTAACAAATCTATATCCTGAGATTTTCTAGGAAATAAATCAATAATATCCGAACCTGTCGAATTTTTGGCTGTAGACTTTCTCAATTGTTGTTCAATTATACAAACATCTTCATCTCTTATCTTCGTATTAGGTAATATCGAATCACAATGTTCCAAAGACACTCTCTCAATGTTGTGATCAAATTTATTTCCTTTGGTCCATTCTGTACACTCTTCTTCCCACATAACAGGAGCTTTGAGTTCTATTTTTTCTTCAGATTGTGACGCCATGTCCCAACGACTTTTCTTGCCCTTTTTTCTAGTAATAACGTCATGTTTCATAGATGCATCTGCAGTTTTACTAACTATATTTACTTCCTTATGAATGTTATCGATTATAGCAATATTATCTTCTATGCTTTCTTTCCTCTCACTTTTTTCTCTTAAGTATGATTCCTCTTCAATATCCCAATCATCTCTTTTTCTCTTATTCTTCTGTTCTAGAAGCATCATAGCTTCTTTCTCCCCTTCTTCTTGCTCTTCCTCCCAAATTCTCATTGCAGACAATCTATCTTGTCTCTTTTTACACTCCTTTAAAGTTTCCTTTTCTATGGTAATATACATATCTGTTTTCTTATCATATCGAACCTCTTTTTCTAATTTCTTTGAAGTGCGAGAAGTTCTCCTTTTATTAATCATTAAATCAGGCACAGCTTCCAAACTATCAACTTCCCATTCGTCAGCCAATAATTGTCTACTGCTTACTTCCCTTTCAAGTTGTGTCAATGATGGAACATTGAGAGTATCAAACTCAGTTTCTCCCCATTTTTCCTTTTTTTGTTTATCTAACTTCTTAGAGAGCTTCATTTCGTCTTGCATTATTTGCTGAGATATGCGCTCGCTTTCTTTCTCCCATTCAGTTAGAAATTCACTGCTCTTTTTTTCTTTATCTCTTTTCCTCTTTTTCTTTCCATCAATGTCTTCTTCTATTTTCAAACTTCCCGGGATAATCTCCTTGCTAATACTTGAACATTTCTCTTTAAAATGTTCGTCACTTTTGCTTTTGTCATCCTTTTTAGTTCGTTCGTCCTTTCCCTCTATCTTCCGAATGTTTTCTACGTTAGTATTTTCTACTTTTTCAACATTACTTTTTGATAATTTTTCTCCTTTCTGTGGTATGATCACAGGATCCATTTCCCATTCTTCTAAGTATCGTTCTTCAACTTTGTTTCGTTTTTCTTCATCTTTGCGAGTTTTGTTGCGAATATCGTTATCAGAAATCACCTTTCTAACCATATCCTGTTCTTTGCTCCAAACATCATGCTTATCGGCAGATCTTTTTCTATTTTCGATTTTCACTTCCTCTTTAATTTTCTTTAATGGAACTTGCGAACGTATTAGCTTTGCATTTTCCAACGAGGACGATTCCAATGGTGATTTTTGTATCGTTTTTACTATATCTTCTCTGTTATCTTGTTTATTGCTTGATTCTTTCTTCTGTTTAGACTTTTTTGTTACTACCCTTTTTTTCTTCCGATCTTGAGACGAATCACTACTGCTAGAATCAGAACTGATTTTTCTTCTTCTTTTCTTCTTCGTCTTTGCTATTCGTTTTGCTTTTTTCTTTTTTTTCTCAGCTTTTCGTTTCTTCTTCTTCCTTTTCTTCCGCTTATCGTCAGAACTAGAAGAATCGCTACTACTAGTGCTACTATCGCTACTGTCTGAATCCGACAAAGAGTCCGAATCGTTCGATATTTTCCGTTTCCTCTTTTTCCTTTTTATTTCTTCTTCGGAGTCAGAGGAACTTGATGAACTAGATGACTCACTGCTGCTAGAAGTTGTCTTTTTCAGTCTTTTTTTCTTTCTTGTTTCTTTAGAGTCAGAATTTTCGTCGCTCATACGTTCTACTTTGATTCGAACATTTTCCCAATCGCTGGGTATTGATTTAGAATCTTCTGATTCATTTTTATCACGTATATTTTTATTATCAGCTGTTGCAGATTTTTGCGCCTGAATATGAGAACTGCTTGACGATACTTGATCATCCTCGATTTTCGAAACTTTCTCCAAATTCTGTCGATTTTCATTAGCTTTGAATTTCTCCTCAATTTTATTTGAATCACTCTCATCCAACTTTCCAGATATATCATGCTCTACAAATGAGAAATTATTGTCATTCGGCGAATTAGTTTCTATGTTAAACTCATGATAACTTAACGTCGAGGCAGAAGGTTTGTTCAGTTTTGGAGAGAACTCTTTCGATATTGGAATGTCATTGCAAACCATTTTCATGAATTGTTCATACTCCGACGCTAATTTTTCGTTGCCTGCTGACTGTAACAAAGGAGATGGTTGCCTATTGTCATCTATTTTTTTAACACTGGAAGCCTCATCTTCGTTGATTATTTCCTTGTCTTTATTAATGTCTTCCTCTATTGTATTTAATCTTGGAGAAAATTCTTCAGGTTCTAAAATAAACTTAGTGCGTACATATTCGTTTACTTTCTAAATGTAACAAATAAAAAATATTTACCTTGTTCCGAAGCAATATTCTTTGATATCACTTCATTTTCTTGTTGTTTCTCGGTATCAGATAACTTATCTTCATCTTCACTATCCCATTTTGATCTTGGCAGTTGTACATTAATTGGTACATGCCACTTGGTATTTTCACCGGATTTACATATGCCTGTCTTTGGATACCAGTTACGTACATGTTGAGAGTTTTCCGTTTCTTCCATGTCATTTCTAGAATTGTTAAGATCTGAATAGGTAAAAGAAAATTATCGTGACAAGAAATATTTTGGTATACCGTATATAATCTCCCTCATATATATTCCGCATCTTTTCACGATGATCGGTGGTGACTATTTGAAGAATTTGTTGATGGTCCATAAAAAGAGACATACGGGGATTTTCAGAATAAAATAATTGAGGCCTTCCTCGTTTAGTTATTCTTATCGATTCAGGAGGATATTCTTTAGGACCTTCAAGTCCTTCGGCAATAAAAGCGTAACGTTTTAAACGATAATCGTTCATCATTAACATTTGCTCCAAGTGACGTAAGTAATCTTCGGCTGTTCTGTAATATATGTATTTATTGAGTATTTGTTTAATACATAAAAAAATATAAATAATACAAATATACTTTAAGAATTCAAACAAACCTGTTTTTTGTTGTTCGTTCCGAATGATCGTATCTTCTAGTCTCGATGATATCATCTATTGTTATACCACACTTTTTTAACTCCACCCATGAGGAAGAATTCATTATGTCTCTCTCTTTCCCTTTCTCTTTCTCTTTTTCTTTTCTCTCTTTGATTTCAGAAAGTTTTTCTTGCGACTCATTTCTCTTTTCTTTAAAACTCTCTCTTTTTTCTTTTATTCCCTTCTTTTCTCGTACATCTTCCCATTTATCACTATTCTTTTTATCTCTTTCTTCATCCCTCCTATCTCGGTTCTCTTCATACCTATTACTATCCTCTCGCTTATCTTTATCAACTTTTCTACCTTTATCTTTTCTACGTTGTTCTTTATTGCGCGAGACTTTATAATATCGTTCTTTGCTATTATTGTAATCTTTTGACTCTCTATTCGTGTTATCCCTTCGTTCTTCCCTTCCATAACGTCTTCTTAAAATAGTTTTTGGACATTATTTATACATATAAAAATGCAAGAATTAACTGTTTATCATATAAAAACGATAAATGTTCTTATACCTTCCTGAATATTTATTTTCTATTGTAGATTTTGAAGCACTTTTATAAGAAACATTAACATCATCTTGTCTATTTCTTTCTCTGATAATCTTTTCATTTTCTAATAAATTTTGTCCATTTCTATTTGCATAAGTTTCCTCTTCTAAACTAGCTATAAGATAAGTCAATCAGTGTCAACAATTTAGTTCAGTTTAAAATATATTATTAAATACCTGCAGCCATAGCCTCAGCTAATAACATTTTACTTTTCGATTCTTCTCTTCTAATTTCTTCAATAGCCAGTATCTTCTCCTCTGCACAATGGAAATGTTTCCATATTAAAAAAAAAAAAAAAGAAATTTCACATAAGCAATGACTATAAATTGTACTTTGTTTGTACATTACCTGTTTTCTTTTTTGATTTACCACCACTTGAATGACGATTATGATATTGTACAGAATTATCTGGGTTAACATTCACGACTGAGTCATTTTTTGAAGACTTTCCATTATCACTTGACATACTTTTAGATTTAGAAATTTTGGTAGAGTGCACTTGAAGCAGATTGGACTTATTTTGGATTTTTGATGGCACATTAAATTTATTGGCAAATGCCATTAATCTTTTTTTAGCTTTTAATTTTCCTAAAACAGGCTTGAGTATCTTAGGACTCTCTAATCTAGATGTATCTCCATCACTAGTTTGGCCTTTTGTACTATCTGGTGTTTCTGGCATTTGTATATCAAGCAAAGATATTGGAATGTCTGGTGTTGGTTCCTCCGGAGCATAAGCATCTTCTAACTGTGACATTGTGTTAATACTTTTCCTTTAGGATTTTTCTACATACAAAATGACATCATAATAAGAGAATATAGTACAACCTAATTAATTTGTTGTAGAAATAAACAGAGAGGTATAAAAATTTACCTTCTAGAAAATTGATTACATTTGTCTGTCATTGACAATGATTGATTTTATCATGCATATGATTATTCTTTAAATTAGTATTACAAGCATCAACAAAAGTTTTACTTTTCATGCTTAATGTATATCAGATTCTAAAATAAAATAGAACATATATAATTTATACTTATGTAAAAAAAATTATAACTCTCTTATATAAAACAATTATAACTCTGCTATTTGTATATATTCTTTTAAATGAAAAATATTATTAACACTTTTTCTATTCTAATGCATTACAGAAAAAAAGGATTTAACACTTTGTGAATTGGTACCCACCGATAAGAAAAGAAATATGTAGTCAAATAATCAAAAAGAACAAAAATTTATTGTCTCTGATCCTTTTCTTTTATAATATTTTATAATACGCCTTATGAGAAAAGAATCCACTTTCATATATAATACAATCAAATGTTTAAATACAAACATTCACATATACATACAGAAAAATTTTATTGCCGCAATTGTATTCTGTACATTATCGTACCGAATAATAATTTCAGTTTGATAATTTTCGAAATAAAAAACTAATTACGAAACCGATTCGACAGACAGATAAAACGTTAAAACATCAATTGGTTCTAATCACAGAAAATCTCAAGTAAAGTGAAGGAGGTTCAATTTTCTAACGTATTTTAAAAGGTTATGGCGATTACATTTACTTTCTGCCCAAATTTACAACGCTATCACTATCCAATTAAACATATAGAAATCCGAGGAGAAAAGGTTAATAGAGGACTAAATATCAGTAAGTATAGTTATTATTGGTTGTTATGAGAACTTACTTCATCTTGAATGCTAAGTAACCAGCGGATACATGTTGCTGACGATAAAAACGACAAGATATCAACGTTGTACGCTCGATTATTTAATTCCACGAATGTTTTTAATTTTATTAATCTATTCCTGTGTTCATCCAAATTAAACGGAGCCACAGCGAGGAAAGCGTCAGACATTTTAGTCAAACGACAGGCCGGCAACTATAAACGCTCGCTGATTCAGCGAAAACAAGGCATACCAATGTTCCAGAAATAAACGAGTAACAACGAACAACCACTAAATACAGTAGTGCCACGTTAACTAGTTGGGATTTTCGATTTGCTAGCTGACCATTTTTATCTCCACTAATTCTTAAAATTCACTGAGTGAACCTTTGATGTTCAGACTTCAAATTAAATGTAAAACTCTATATTCGAAATAGAACACTCGTTATAAGATTTAGATAATAAACTAAATCTCTGTTCAGTCTACTTTTTTAAATTATGTTTACAAAAACATGAATTTACATCTACAATCTATTTTTACACACACATATATAAGATAAATAAATATATGTATTTGCATTCAAAGGCAGAAAGAGATGTGTATTCAGAATTTCTTAAAATACTTTCCTTGATTACTGGATAAAGTCCGTGATCAGTTAGCAAAGCATTACTGTACATTTCATTCGGTCCGATGTTTGAAAAAGATTATAACTTTATAATTTCAGACTTATGCACAGATTCTTACCTATAAATAACAACTGCACATTAACGTTTGACCTGAAATAATGTATTTTTATATTGTACTTAATTTAACTGCGTCCATGATGAAGCTATACAAAGTTCCGATGAAAATATTTATATAAAAAGAAATCATTTAAAATAATAACTTCGACGATATTTTACTACAGAATATTTGCATGTTTAACTGTACTCTTTATGCATGCAATACTATGTCTTTTAATTTTATGCTTTATTGCAATTTAACGTTGTTGCGTTACGTCCGATTTTTATTTAAACAACTTTGAATATTTCATAATTAACTGTCATGAGAACTTTCTTGCTGCTCTTTACTTAAAAATTAATACATCAAAAATATCAAAGTTCCAATATGAATTCGTATGCATTACACGATTAATATACGAATTAATCTTCCATTTCTGATGGATCACCACCCATTGCTTTCCAGAAAGCAGTGACTAATTGTTCAGCTGCTATTCGTCTTTGATTAGTCGGCAACATTGCTGCATGTTCTTTCATAGCTCTCAATTGACTAAATAATTCTCCAAAATCTGCATTTTCTTCACCCATAATTCCATCTGAAAAAAATAGTGTACATAAGCTGGAATAAAATCTCATAACAAATATTTCTTCAACTGACCTAACATGTTCTCTACTGGCAATGTTTCTGTAGAATCTCGACTTAACTCAATGTTTTCAAACTGCTCTTCAACCTCATTCATATCAGGAATTTGTTCTTCCACATTCGATGATTTTCCTATAACGTTACAACGAATTACAAATACTTATGAAACAGTATTTTAGCCAATTTAGTTCAAGCAAATAATCCAGCTTTTTATTGAGAACCTTTAAGTATCATATTTGGCCACATATGAGCGTGTAAAGCTTCAATAATCCTCTCAATACCATATTTGTTATTTTCTGAATCAGCTTCTGAAGCATCTACATCAGGTCTATTTAATTCAATCAGCTCAAATTTGTTTTGTAGACACCACTTTATCACTGAAATACACTAAGTACATGTTTAATGTTCCATAATTTAATATGACAATTGTTACTTGCATGTACCTTTGTTCCTAATAATAGTATCTGTTATAAAATTACAAGAAAACAGTAGCACATCAGCTTCTGCCAAAGAAGCAATCAAAGATGTCCATTTTTTTAAATTCTGATCTGCATTTTCCTAAGAAAATCGGTGCTGAAGATCATTTGCTTTGACAAAAGTTCTACTTAGAAGTTAAATATCTTACTGCCTGTGGATCATGATGTACAATCAATGCTTCTATATCATCAACCGGAATATCTTGGGAAGGATTTTCTGTAACACATATTAACACCTGCGTTTTGTAATATTTGTTTTGAATATTCCATAAATGATATTCAAAATGGTCTTGGTTAGATAACTTTTCTCCACCAATATCTATAAAATAAAATGACATATAAAAATAAGTTCATTGAACAATTCTCATTTAAATATTTATCTATTTATTTAAAAAAATTAATTTATTAGACTTTTAATATCGTACATACAAATATAGTTTCAACTTACTCATAGCAATTTCATTAGCTTTTCCTTCTTCGGTGCTTATTATTAATATTCGTGGTAAATTCATTTTGTAGTAGAATTTTAATTAAGGAAATTAATAATAATCTGGAAATGTTCGACAATTTGGAAATATGATACAAAATTTAAAAGATAGTAGCAGTTGCTGACGTTTAGGTTAGAATTACGACCGTCGTATTAGTTGACATAAAAATAATATAATATTAAACAAATAAAATAAACCACTTTTATTCAATATATAGCGATATTTTTTTCAATGTATTTTCTAAGCAATGAATTAATTGAATTATTTTAAACATTGATGCAGATCCATGTCATATTTCATGATGGACGCTCACAATGACATTTGTCATTATTTCGTCGTAAAAAAAAAACTAGTATAATTTTTACTCATTTTATACATTTTAATGAATTTAATTTCAATGAATTTTAATAAAACGAAAACATAGTTATTTGATTTGACAAATTTTGATAAATTTAGAAAATCAATTAATATCGTAATGATTTATTTTATGATTTTAAATAAATTAATTATGTATACGGAACAAATTTTTTTAAAATACCATTCTCAAATATCTATAAACAATCATTAATAATTCGTAAACTGGTGAATGTAACTAACAATATGTGCAATTGATAAAACAAAAATTGTATAAACGTATATTGATTATTAGATTTATAGCAATACATAAATCTTCAAATACATATATAATCGTAAGATGTAAGTGGCGCATAGTAATACATTCTCTCCCTAATTACTTATAGAATTCATGTTCAGATTCATCTTTTTTAATATTATTTTTGTAACCCTTCTCGAAATCTTTTGCTAGGACTATATATCGATTTTCACGAACAGCATGCATTCCTGCTTCTTGGCAAATTGCGTTAATATCTGCACCAGAAATTCTGTCTGGTCGTGCCACGTAATCTTCAAGATCCACTTCTTCGCTCAAATTCATTTTCGCAGTGATTGTCGAAAAAATCAAACGTTTCTGACGGCGATCAGGTAAAGGAAATTCTATTTTTCGATCTAATCTGCCAGGACGCAATAATGCAGGATCTAATGTATCAGCCCTAAAAAGAAAATATCATTGTACTTATGCGAATTATTTCTCATAACAATAACAACGAAGATCAAAATCATACCTATTTGTAGCCATTATAACTTTAACGTTAGTAGTTTGATCAAAACCATCCATTTGGTTAAGCAATTCCAAAAGAATACGTTGAACTTCGCGATCAGCACCAGTCTGAGCGTCGAACCTTTTTGTAGCTATAGCATCGATTTCGTCAACGAAAATTATAGCTGGCGAATTTTCTTTCGCTAAACGGAAGACATCTCTGACCATTCTTGGCCCTTCACCTAAGTATTTCTGTACAAATTCTGACCCTACTACGCGAATAAATGCAGCTAAAAAAATATTGAACGTATCAAGTTAGAAAAACTTGAGTACCGTTTACTCGAGTATTTTTAAAATATATAATATTGAAAATAATTCATACCAGTAGTATGTCTAGCTACAGCTTTTGCAAGCATAGTTTTACCACATCCAGGAGGACCATACATTAACACACCTCTTGGTGGGTCAATTCCAATTTGTTTATATAATTCAAAATGAGTTAAAGGTAGTTCTACTGCTTCTCTAATTTCTTGCTTTTGCATGTCCATACCTCCAATGTCGCTATATTGGATATCAGGTTTTTCATCTGTAGGATAAAATATATGTGAAATAATAATTCTTTTTAATCTTCTAGATTGACAACAATAACAAATAAGCACCTGCTTGTAACATTGAAATACTTGAATCAGCTTCTGGTGGTAGTACATCTACTAAAGCATTACTATGTTTATGAAGAGCTACACTGGCAGAAGGCTTTAATAGTTCTCTGTCAATTGTAGATAAAATGCGCACATAATAATTAGAGCCTGTAGTTGAACCTACAATACCAGTATTTTGATCTACAGCTTCTAAAAATTGCCCAATAACCAAAGGCACACTTTGTATGCGCTTTACTTCTTCCTGAGCATGTAAATATTCTTTTTTCAAATTACGTTGTTCATCTTTAATGTATTCTTCTTGAACTTCAAGAAATTCTAACATTCTTTGTAGTTTCTACAAGTACAAAATTCTTATATAGGAAGAATGTAAAAGGAACATCAAATTTTTTTACCTTGTACTTTGTATAAAGATCTTCAACATCCAGTTCATCGCCAGCACCAGTATAGTGTCCAATTACAGGTTTACAATCTATTTCTCCAATATCCTAAAATTTAATTACAAAATTTCACGTTACAATAGATATTAACAATTTCTGTATATAAGCATCAATATAAAGAAATGAAAAAGAATAAAAATTGAGGTTATAATGAATAATTTTTAATTCGATCATGACTTTTGAAATTATTTTTGAAATATTAAAAGAAAATACGAAAAAAATATATACCTTATCAGGCAGGATAATACCCATTTCATCCATTATTTTAAATAGAGTTTCTTTGATTAATTTCAACCAAACATACGAATCAATGAATGACTTGAGATTCTTGAACAATTCACTTCAGTGATTACACATACACAGAGGTGACAACCATTAACTATTGAATCGACTAAAGAAAGAAACTCAACAAAAAAGATATTTTCTAAAACATACAGAATTTTATTTTTACATATAGATAATTAAACATTTGTTGAAAATTCTATTTCAAAATGTATCTACTAATTTACTTTTAATAGATATATATACATATATACAGACATTTGTTAATAACTGTAATGTTCAAAAATTAAAGTTTTAGTGATCCCTAAAATAACGAAATAAATTCCCTATAGATTTGTGATTTTTACATTTTTGAAATATTCCTATATATTTCTTTAGATGATCTAACTGTTACTTTTTTTATGATTTCGGACTATATGTTTACAAGATTCTTCAACCGGAAAACCTTTACAGTTTGGATTGATGTGTAAGAAATTTTATCCTTATGAGTGTATATATATAAGTGTATATATATATATTGTTACAGTAATTATTCTAACTTTAACAAATACACCTATTAAATTTGGTTAAGGTTCAGATTTACATACCTATTGAAAATGCATTTACAGATACTTAGAGACAGAAAAGAAACAGAAGATACATAGTCCTCCAACGTTAATATAAATCTTGGAATAACAATGGTGATGGAAGAACAACAGTCGGATATGGAGCTAGATTCGGAAAGAGTTCCTGTACCACAAGTGCAAAAATCAGTAGAGGATTCACACGTAGAAACAGTTAATAAAGTTACAAGCATCTCTAGAGGAAAACCCAGACTTAGAAAAAAGGCATTACATGCTGCTATACTCAAACAAATGGAATTTTACTTTGGTGATGCGAATCTAAGTAAAGATAGATTTTTAAGTAATTTAATTAAGGAAGATCCATGTAAGAATTATTAAAATTACTACAATATTAATTAATTACTGTCATTTGACATTTTAAATATCTATCTTTAAATGTTTCAGATGTAGATCTCAATGTTTTTCTAAGATTTAATAAAATAAAAGAATTGACTACAGATATAAACAGGATAGCTAAAGCTGTGCAAGTATCAACAATGTTATCTTTATCTGAAGATGGAATGAAAGTTCGACGTGTGACACCAATAATAATAAAAGAAAACACTGATGAATGTACAGTTTATGTACAAAATCTACCTCCAGATGCAGACCATGAAACATTAAGTTCAGTATTTTCTCAATATGGTCAAGTTGTATATGTTTCTATTCCGCGATTTAAAATTAATAGAAAGATAAAGGGATTTGCATTTGTAGAGTTTGATACAGTTGAGAATGCTAAGAAATGTTTGAAGGTAAGAGAAACATACATAACAATAAAAAAATTTTAATTATTTCATACTTAATCTTGAATTGATATATTCTAGGCATTTGAAAAAAAGGGTTGTGTTTTACCATCATACACAACTCCTAATAAACTTCTAAGCATTACCACATTTGATGATACGGAAAAGAACATGTTAGAAAATGAAACAAATGAAATCATTGTCTGTACTGAAAATATTATTGATAATGAAAAATTACAAGACACTGAAATGAATAAAAGTAATGAAGAGCAAGTACATACAAATACTAGTACTACTTTAGAAAATCATGAAAATAATAATAAAAAGAAAACAAAAAAGAGAAAACACTCAGATACAGAAACTGCAGAACTAACTGAAACAAAAGAAAAATCGAATAATGAATTGATAAAAAGTAAAAAGAAAAAGGTGAAAGGTTCAAGTGATGTACACAATGAGACAGTAGAATCAAGTAATGAGAAACAAAGTGATTCTTCTTTTGAAGGTACATCAAAAAAATTGAAACGTGAAAAAAATGTATCTATGAAGAAAGAACAGGTATCAGACAATTGTGATGAAAATGAACAAATGAAAACTGATGATAATATTACTCTGACTAATGAGGAACAAGAAAGTACAAATACAAATGAAAAGAAAAAGAAAAGAAAAAAACGCAAAAAGCGAAGTAAACTGGAAGATTTTAGTTATAGCATAGGGTTACAGGTAATGGCTAAGAAAGATTGGAAACATCTTAGGAATAAATACTTAGAATTACAAAGGAGTAAGATGAAACAACTCAAACAACATTTGAGAAAAACAAGATGGAACCAATGGTCAAATTATGAAAAAAATAAATCTGAAAGGGAAGAAAATGATGAAAAAGATAAAATGAGTGCTATGACTGGATGCCGTTTTTCGTTTACACCAGGCGTTATAATTAAAATTGAAATGAATAAACCATGTACAGATTCAAAAGCTTTAAAGGTACATACTATGAAAATATAAGAAAAAAGTAAGTAAATTAGTAAAAGTAAGTATATATTTTAAATCTTTTCAGATGGAATTAAAAAATAATAGTTCTATAAAGTACACGGATGTTGAAGATGGCTCTTGTGTTGCTTATGTAAGGTGTGATACAGCTGAAGCTGCACAGATATTTGTACAAAAATCTGATGAGGAAAGACATATGAGATTATTAGAAGGTAAAAGAACCTTGTGAATACTTTAATATATAGGTAATAATTTTGTTTATATATTTGTATTACTACACAGGTGAAGAAGAAAAGATGTATTGGGATAAAATTTTGCACGATAGGGAACAAAAATTGAGTAAGAAAGTAAAAACTAAACAAAGAGGGAGAAATAAATTATTAAAAAAAGCAGAAAAAGAACTTGGAAAGCATATCAAATTTGATGAAGTGTAAACTTATAAAACTCTTACATTTAATTGTATATAAAAGGTAGTTTTATATTATACATTTAATTATAAAAACAGAAGTAATAAATAATATTTAGCAGTGCTGTTATATAAATTATATTTGTATATGTTTTCAGCATATATATTCAGGTGCATATGTTACAAATTATCTATATTTTAATTTTTTTAAAGAATTCTTGTCATTTTATACATCCTTATATAAAATTTAATTATCAGATTTTACTCTTCTACCATTTTCCTTTTCCACGTCCTCTGCTAAAGCTATTACGTCCGAATCCTCCTCCCCCTCCTCCTCCACCACCAGCTCCACCACGTCCTTTAAAACCACCACTGCCACCACCTCCTCTTCCAAAACCACCACCACCTCGTCCAAATGATGGTCTACCACCACCTCGACCAGCAAGTCTTTTTATTCCTCTGCCACCTCCACCACCACCTCTTTTTTGTACTGATCCAGGAGGTTTAGGCAAAAATCTTTGTAAAGGTAACAATTTATTTGGATCTATAAATAACTGTAATAAAACATAATGATATTAATAGAATTTGTAAGTAATTTCATATATATTAAAAATATATATACATATACCTGTGTATCCTTTTGAAAACTGGATGCTTTTATATTTTCTGATAATTTTATAGACACATAATAATCTCTAATATTACCAAAAATTTCATCTATTTTCCCAATTTGTTGTTTATTTTCTGTATAAATTGGAGCATTAAAAAAAGGTACTTGTTCTATGTCGACTTTAGCAACTAAGTCATCTTGAACTGTCCATGTAAAATGTCCTAATGGAGTCACATGCTCTGGTGGGCCTTGATCAAATCTGTAATATATGAATTATTACTTTATATTTAGTGAAAAATTATCAAATATAGTAATTACCCTTTTCCACCCCTGTCACCACGTCCTCTGAATCCTCCTCCACCTCTTCCACCACGAAATCCGCCACCGCCTCCTCCTCTACCAAATCCACCACCACGTCCTCGGAATGACATTTTTTTTTTATTTTATAAAAATACTGAAAAAAAAATTCATTCTATAAATTTCAAAATACAAATATCATAAGGTTAGGTATAAATACAAAGCAAAACCACGTGCCTAACCTGTACAAGTGCCAGTCAATAAATTGTTAATATCTTTATTTCTATGCAATTATGAAACAATTTTCATAATTAAAATTACTAATTATATAATGTCAGGCCTAATTTTATATATATATATATATATACACAAATGTTATTACAATCAGTTATCACGAAATATCGGCACTTTCTTCTTCGAGTTAAATACTATGTGTAGTATATGTACACTATAAACCAGTTACACATATGATGTACTCTGCGCATGTGCAGTATGTTATGAACATGTAACGAATGAAATGATTTAAAAATTTAATTTTGAAGTATTAATCATGAATATAATATTGCGAAATTTATATATAAATGGGGTTAATCATCATTTTTTAAAATAAAATTAACATAATTATATTTTATATTTTTAAACTGAAATTTGAAATCAATTTATATCAATATACCTAATTTTTCTCAAGTTATATCAATATACCTAATTTTTCTCAATAGTTTTTTTTAGAGCGCACTATTATTTTATTTAAAAGACCTATCAATAAATAATGGTTTAATTTTTTTGTATCATAACATACTTGTAATTTATTAAAATGATACTAATGACAATGCTTATCAGATAAAGATAACCTGAAAACTAAGAGCAATTACGATATCATTAATTAATAACATTTTAATATTCAGATATTCAATATATTAAACTTCTTATTAGTATTTGTGATTTGTTACAATTATAATTCAATAACCAGTCGAACTACCAGACTATCTTCCATCTCTGTCGGACAACTCTATTGAACGCATCGCGCCAATTTAATAACATCACTGAAATGATATCAAGCATATTTTATTTTTATCTCATGTGATCATGATTATCATTTAATAATTAGTAAATGTACCACCATTAATATTGGAAACTTTCATCATCTAATATTCTAACTTCTCTGCAATGTAACTAGCAGTAAAAATTGTACACTGTTCAAACGTTAATTACATGTAGCATAAATTTGAATATATCGTTTCGATAAGACGGAAATAGTCATTAAGAATAGACTATATCGGAATTATATCTCGCTGGTAAAGTAGTTAACAACGAACTTAATAAAGTAACTAGGCGATTCATGTAATTTGGCGGCTGGCAAGATGTGTTTTAGTATTCCTTGCTGACAGAAGGGTGCGTATGTCATTCGGTGTAAGCAGGTGCACGTGAGGAGACCGTCTGCTAGACGGATTAGTGGCTAGGTGTACGAGTTTCCTCGTGGCCGTTCCCCGGGTAGTTTTGAAAGATTTTTATTTTAACATTAAAATCACATTTAGTTCCGCATGATTATGTTCCATAGACCAAACGATTACCGGACGTTATAATGTTCACTGTATTTCGCATGTTACTCATGCTGATCCACCTTTCATGTGACTTATTTGCCGCGTTTTATAATTATTGTATGATCCTTCATCGTAAGTGCATCGATATTTGGTATAATGATAATTTAAGGACAGAGACTGACATGTTAACGCGTGTTGCGAAGAAAATGAAAAATCTACCGAGGCACGTAGTGATCATTTTCGGCGCGAAGGAGGACACTATCTGTGACTGCGTGCGAATTATTGGATGGTGTATTACCCTTGGTATACCTTACATCAGTTTCTTTGACATCAGTGGTAACGTTCATTTTTGTTTATTGCTTTATAACGTCATTGTTCTTATCATTATCCTTCCACTTTTTTTCGAATATATTCAACTATTCGAATATATTCTTTATGCCAATCATTCTGTTCGAATTTTGAAAGACAAACATTTTGCTAGTCATTTTAGATTTGTCATTTGCATATCAATTTACGGAATAATTTATACGCGAAGAAAGATACTTCTTTTTGTTAAAAGAATGTAGAAACAATGATCCTATCAACAAAATTTGGAGCATTTCATAACTTACATTTTATTTTAAATCTAACTATTATTTAAATATTTAGTATAGTTAATTATTATTTAGAAAATCTTGTAAATTTTTTATAATATTAACGTAATGTTACATTGTGTAACCATATCCTTGTGTCATTAATATTTCTCTCCATATTTATTTCATGGATTTTATTCTAACCTCAAAAGTCGAAACATTACTTGGCATTAACTTAATATTAAAGTACTCTTTTTAAAATTTTTTGTTTGTTTTTATGTAATGCTTTATTTTCTTCTTATATTAATTTTTTGTTCGAAAATGTATTGTTAATAATATATATTGTAAATTGTTTTGTAATAATGATGTAACATTCTGATAAACTTTATCATATAACTTAAATAATTCATTTAAATAATTTTGTACAAACATTATGTTTTATAAAAGAAATGTTTATATGAAAATCTCAGATTTTTGTAATTTAATATTTACTATATTTACACATTTATATCAGGAAATGAAATAATATGATAATAATTATAATGCATTAAACGTATTTAGTTTTCTAAAATTTTGAGTATAAATTGTAAGGTAAAAATGTAAATATTAAAAATAAAATGTAGTAGGTTTATAAAAAAAAAAAAAGATTTTTGCGTATATAAAGTTTAGTTAATCTTATCTAGCAAGGACAAATGAAACGCGCGTGCGATGTTACTATGATGTACTCGATCTCAATTAATATTTATTATTTAAAAAATACAATAATTTGGCTATTGATTTGTTACTAAATCGATGGAAAAATTTATAAAATGTTTTAAAATTGTCAAATTTATATAATTTATATATAGTGTTTCTAACTAATATTCTACTAAATTATAAATTATATTTATTGTCATTTTTCTGATTATAGGTTTTTTAGTCCAAAATGAGAATTTATTAAAATACGAACTCGCAAAAAGACGGCCTGATTTAGTGGAGCATATCAATTGGAGTAAACCAAATGCAGGGTTCACACAAAATGGAATAACTGGTATGTTTTCTTTATAAACAGTGTTTTCTAGTTCATGATATATGTATCTTTAATTTTATAATGTTGATAAACATGTTAATATATTGCTTTTTTTAAATTTCTAGTTTCCAAGCTGAAAACGCGAATATCTTTGTTGTGTCCATTAGATGGGAAACAGGAAATAGTATCGTTAACAAAGACATTAGCTGAAGCTGTCGTCACTGGAACGATTAAGCCAGAAGAAATAAATATCGATTTACTTAATGAAAAATTAAATTCACGGAGAATCCCAGACCCTGACATGGGAGTAATTTATGGCCGCTTTTGTTCCACGTATGGTGTTTTGCCATGGCAAACACGAATAACAGAATTCTAGTAAGTTTATCTCAATTGTCGTAGTTTTTATATCTTTTAACATTTTTGCATTAAAAATGTATTATTTCTTGTTTCTTTTAGCACGTTACCTTTACACAATACTTTATCTGCGAAGGATTTCACGTATCTGTTGGAAAAGTACAGTAAATGTGAGCAACGATACGGCAAATAACTGGAATTGTTGTTGTTCATTTGTATAATGTTTTTGTATCCAAAAATAAGAAGAAGAAAATGTGAAACAAGAAATAGCTCTTAAGGAGATTTTTTACAAAGACTGAACATAAAATAATTTACAGATACTATTTTATAAGTGGTTGCGTGCTAAATAAACTTATAATGGCCACATGTGTGACATAAATGTCGTTCCGTGAGCCGATTTTAACGTGTACCAATAAAGAAGAATTTAGGTAGCTTAACTTGAAGAGATTCTCATGAATGTAAAGAGAAGATTCCACAGAATGTTGCAAAAATGAAAGATTTCAATTGTATTTTTAATTATGCGAAATACAATAATTGTCCTGCCATAAGATAATATTATAAAGAAAGAAGAGAAAAATTAAGGAGGTGATATTTTCGTTTTTTTCTTAATTAAAGATTTTCATTAATAAAAGATATTGGTTTATTTAGTTTTAATATACTAGAAATAGTATATTCATATTATTTAAAGAATAATTTTGAAGAATACAAGAAAGAGTGTTAGATAGCGTATTAAATGATAATATTAAATGACAGGGATAAAATTTTAAAAAAGGAAATACGTTGATTTGAATTCAGGTACAAATAAATTAAGGTTGCTAAGATAAAATTTTAGTGCACCATTTAATGTTTAATTAATACATTATTCCTCTTTAACTTCTTTTTCAACTTTATTTATATTTCCTACGGAATAAAAGTCAGGAGCATTCGCGTTTTCACAAATAAAACTAAATTCTTGGCAACTATTGCATTTCATTTAGAAACACAGTAACATTCCATGTATATAATAATATTCAATCGTTTATTCTTAATCTTCTACATGATCGTACACACAGATATTTTGATATTAAAGTGAAAATGAAATTTTTACTTTGGTCTGTGGTATATTTCTCGTGAAAAATCGCCTATTGTGGAATCAAATTCCTAAAATACAAAATATAGTTCGTTTTTGCACAAACTTATGTTGCTTACTTGACGATCCTTTCTATTCCTTGGTGCTTTTAGAAATTAATTGAATCGTAAAGAACATTAATTTAATTTTTTACTAAATATTTTATTTTTTTTTTTTAGAGTCAGAGAGTTCAATTCCTTGGAATTTAAGAAATCGAAATGATTAATTGAATAATAAGTATTAAAATCATTCTTTCAACTGATTTTTATGGTTTATCATCGACGTCATGCACAGATATGAGATTTTCAGTAGACAGTTCATGACCCCTTCTTCGTCAATTCGACTTAACATCGGATTATATACTTTCAGAGTCAGTCCGCCTTTTTCATACGTATAGCAAGCACAATGGTTGCAGGTGAGCGAGGAAACAAACATTTTTCAAGATAAGGCGCGCTATATTGCACTTAGATACGTTGCGCACCTACAGGGGAGAGAGAAGGAATAAAGAGGACAATAAGAAAGAACGACGAGAATAAAAATCGGTTAACTTTTCTGAAGGTACAATCACGTCGCTGAGAATTACGTCTGAATACTTTAAAGTTTAACCTCGAGTCGAGTTGGACAATACTTGCGCATTACTGAAAGTTACGGCGTCGCGTCGTTGTACTTATGCCTCCAAAAAGAGCTAGAAGTTACGTCAATGATGCGTAAAGTTTATGCAAATTAATTTCATCAAATGTCAACATTGATACAATTTGTAAGAGTTTAATTTATTTTCCAAATATTTTTCTTCTACGCCCATTTTCCATTCTATGGCCATTTATTTATATGTTACGTTAGAGTTATTTTCACCGAAGATAGTAGAGAAATCGATTTTGCGGAAATAATGCTCAATTTAATACACAAATTTAAAATAAAAAGCATAGTGTTAGAATTTTGTTTCCTTTTCTGAAATATGCATCTATCCTTTTTTTTAGAAAAAGGATTTTTTAACTTTTCAAAATGAATTTCTATTACCGTAGATTTATTATTCTACAGTTTATATAAGGAAAAAAATTTATGGTTAATTGAAATTAAATGCGTCCTTGTTATGTTTTCCATCTTCACAACTGGGAAGCGACTAAAAACATTTAACAGACACGTACATATATCGAACACGGAGGAAATATTTGCACCTGTGTCACGATTGTTGTACGATGGGAAACAAGTGACCCAGATTCGCCTTCACAAAACAAATATCTCTACCTGTTGCACTTCATTTTCGATTCGTAAAAGACTCCATTTCATCTGGTAAAAAATATATATATACGTATATATATATTTTTAAGATACGTACTATAATATTCCTTTTTTTTGGTTTATTTCCTATTTTTCTTCCATCTTCATCTTTTTCTTCCATTTGAGAATTATAGTAAAAAGAATTATAGTAAACGAATGTTCTTTCAACAAGAAGATCGAAAAATTGTTTAAAAAAAGAAATAAAGAGAAAGAAATGCTTTTTCGCAAACAAAAACTTTGGAAAAAAAAGGAACTGATGAAATTAGTTACTTAGAATTTTACTAATTTTAACTTTTTTGACTTTTATCGGTGAAAAGAATTCTTAAAATTAATAGTAAGTAAAACCAAAGTATATTTTAAAAAAAGAATTTTAGGTGTTACATCATAAAATTTTAGGTGTTACATTAAGATATTGTAGAAGTAGTGATAATCGATAAAAAGCGTGGTACGAATGAAAAACAAATACGAAACAAATGATGAAAAGTAAATAAGCTTGTGAGAGAAAGGAAAAGAGAGAGAAAAAGAGAATATTTTCTTTTTTTAAATGTGAATATTCATTTAAATCTTTATTGAACTTCCTGTAATTTTTCATACAATCATCCACTATACAAGAAGCATAAATTACGATTATTTTAACTGAATATGAAATGAATAAAAGACAATTATATAATGAAATAAATAAAAGATATTACTACAATGTTTTACTATAATATTACTACAATGTTTTAATAAAATTGAAATTTTATCCGTGCAATGTAAATATTTAATCAAATTTCCAATATTTCTCTGAAGATTCAACTATCAAATAAATTAAATACGATCTACATATCTAGACCAAATAAGGTAAAATTATTTAAAAATAATATAATTCTTGACTAAATATTTTTATTTTACTTAATTTTTTTACACATAAAACGATATCTTTTTTTTACAGTTTACTAGAAAATGGAGTAAAAAAAAATTAATATCTTCATACTAAATTAAAAACAAAAATTATATAAATTCGCAAATAAGAAAAAACAGTAACATTTTGTGCACTGAACCCACTATTCACCGTGTACATATATCAGAAGAGTATGGAGTATTTGTACAAAATGAGTATTCATAATTTTCTTCATGGCCGCTTTCGTCATTCAGAATAATATCTTCATCACCTTCATCACCTTCATCACTTGAACTTTCACTTACGCATTTCCTTTTAATGGGATTTTCAATTATTACTATTCTTTTGTTCTTCATTACTTTGATTTTACTTACTTTAGTCAAGCTTTCTTTTATTATCTTTGTAGGATGATGAAGTTGTTACAGATTCGTCATTGCTTATTATATTCCCTAATGGAAATTTGGTAATTTCGATTTCTTGGCTTTCTACCAAGAAGCTTTGACATCAATTCTTCAAGAGGAACGTCGGTATTTTTTTTTACGTAACATTCTAGAATCCCTTAAGGAATATTGAAAAATTTTGTCGTTTTTTTAATATTATTTTCTCAAACTACTTTCATTATCTGACAATATCCAATTTTTAGCAGAATCCTCGCCTAAAATGAACATAATTGCGTACCTTATATGAGACTTGTTTCATAATGATCTCATATCAGGAAATTATAATGATAACTATTCAATAACTTTAAAGATTAATCTTTTATTATTTTACAACAGATAATCAGTAAATCTCAGTAACAACTTTGTTGTTTGTGCTATGTAATAGTACTTAAAAAAAATGACCAAACGCTAAAACCACGTTGAAGATATTTATAATTATAAATCTTTTAATTATTAATTAATTATAAATCTTTCGAAAACTTTTTGCGATGCAATTCACAAACATGTGCGATTGATCACGTTCGACAGTTTCATAACGAAGATAAGCTAAGGACTCATATTGAAGAGATCCCATATTAAACGGCCATATGAGCGAAGGACAATTCTAGAATAAAATATTAGAATATAAATCACTTGGAGGATATTTTTAAATACAAGTAAACACAAATGGAAAGATGCGATTACAAATTGATCGGTGTAATTCATTTCATTACTCTTGTTCCACTAAATCACTCGAACAGAATCTCAAGCCATTATTTCGTACAATCGTGAAGATCATCGTGTCACTACGGGGAAAGAAGCGGTTAACATGATCTATCTCTGAAATCGTGGGTACCAAGATTATCATTCTTGGCCTGTGATGATTATCATTTGTTAAGACTCATAAATAAAGGAGATTACGTAGGTCGGTAGCCGATGGTGTAATTGAATCAAAATATAGAGGTATCGTGTTATACGCCTCGGGCAATCATAACTCAGGCTATCTCGTCTCTATGTCGGTCCGTATCCATGGCGGCTACGGGGGATGCGCCGAGATGCCTCTATATAAAGGGTGACATCTCTAACCCCGGACACTTGTTCCACAGCAGCAACAGGCCGCGAACGTCGCGTATCCTTCCTGCGAACGCAATCGTCTCCCTTCTGTTTCCCTATCTATCTTTCTTCTGTTTCTTCGTCTTGTGCAACGAATTAACTTGCCGGAAACTACAGGATCAAGAGGAGCAACTTGACACGTTCGAAGACCATCGAGGAAGATCTTCGATAGTCATAGTAATAGCGAGATTTACAACATGGTGAGTGTTTCAATGTTCTTCTTGTGAATCTTTGGTGCACCAGTGGATCTTTGTCGTTCTGGTTCCTTCTTTTTCGTTTCACTTTCTGTTTTTCTATCTTTCTATCTTCTTTGGCTTTCGATTTATTTATTTTATTCTTCTTTTCTTGGGATAAGTTTAGATTTAGTAAATAATGCACTGCGCGCTGTGATCATGATTTTCGCATTTTTATGCAATTTAAAGATCGTGATTCGACCTTTGATAATTTTTTTTTTTTTTTTTTTTGTTTGAAATATAGTATCCGTGCAAAATTTTTCTTTCCAATTTATATTTTCAAGGGTATTTCGAGACACTGGAAACGAAAATAATGATTTTTCAAGGCTTTGAAAATTCAGTCTGATGAACTGTAGTAGCCGGGCTGCAAAAGTTTCATCTGAGGAGTATCTTAGATTGTTAAATGATAGTCATTTGTGACAGAAATAAATATTTTTAAAATAACGACCAGTAAAAAACCTTTCTCTTAAAAAGAAGTATGGATTAGGTTTGGACTAAGTATATCCCCGGCCGGCGGAAGCCAGCTGGTTATTATCACCTTATAAAATTAACAGCAACGGTAGTAGCCAGGCTGCAAATAAAGAATTATCTATGAGACCGAATTTTCAAAAGCCTTTATGTATGTCAAAAATAATTTTCATTTCTTTAACGACCTAAGGTAACCACCATCAAAACAGATATTCAAATGAAACTTTTGCAATCTGGCTATCACAGTTTTTGAATTTTTAAAACCATTGTTTCCCTAAAAAATGACCATCATTTTTGTCTCTAGCAACCTAAAAGAAACTTCCGAAAGTACAAATTTGAGAAAAAAATTTTACAGCCTTACATACCATAGTGTACCACTTTATAACATTAAAATGATTGCGTCGCTCACTGCCGATTAATAGTAATCATACCTAAGATTTTTCTTAAGTATTAGCATTTAAATTCCTCGATATGAAATCTATTGAAGATTTTGCTCCCATATTGTCATAAACGCTTTTCATTGTTATCCTTTGATCTTCTACGGTGAAATTCTCATTATCTCATACACCATATATTCTAATAATACACTTCACTCCATGGTGTTGGCACTTTTGCATCATCTTTAACAGTTGATTCATTAATCCTACTTTTTTTCACTTCAATTTTCCTTATTTACTTAATCATCGTTCAATATTGATAATAAATAGAACGAGAACTTCGTTGTTGCTCTTTGCACTCGCCATTCCCCCAAATACTATTTATCTTATGCTCCTTCGTCTTCATTTTCTTTCTGATAAGAATAAAAAATAAGCGAAAGTCGATAGAAAATAATGAGAAAATAACAGAAGCAATATTAAAAGCACTCGAATATTTTCATTGCCCTTCTGCTCTGATTACTACGATATTATGACTATGTTCTTAATTATTTTGCATCTGTTTTTCCGTTCTGGCGATTCATTATCATCGATACTTCAATCAAAACAGTAAATAAAACATTATTTATAAACCATGTGAATTAATTTCACTTGTTCTCGTTAACTCGAATATTGACATTTTTTTTTGTTAAATTTTAAATAATTTAAATATTGCATTTCAAATGCAAAGTTACACCTTCCTACTTAGTTTCTTACTCTTTTCTTCTTATTTCTTTTTTACTTTTTTTTTCAGTAAAAAAAAAGGAATACGCGAATCAATTTATGAAGAAGAGAAAAACTTTGTGAGAAAGGTAATTTCAAAATGTGTAAGAAGTATTCCAGAACTTTCGAAACAACTTACTTATAGCACTGTGATACACACTGTTCGAAATCATTTAACGAATCGAACGTACCGAAGCAACGAATGTTACTGGTAAAACAAATCACAGTAGAACTTCATTTCCACGGGCAAACAATTATAATTGATATTCGTATACAGCAGATGTTCATTTATTGGAATGGAATTTTATTTAGTACGTGATTGAATTTATCTGAGATCGAGAAGGAACGTGAATTCTTATCATTTGAATGAAAATGTTTAGATAACAAGAATTCTTCATTGAGAAATCTAATCGAACCATCTGTGATTAAATTCGTATACATTGTTTGATTGAGAAATATTGTCACAGTAGCATTGTCCACTTATCTAAACTCTATTTATTAGAAATTTCAATTAATATTTGGCTAATTGAATCACTGATTTTTATGAAATGTGAATCCCTATCATTCAAATGAAAAAGTTGAACACCAGTTGTATGAACACAATTTGTTCTTTCAATATTCGATAAATGAAATCTCAGTTAGAGTTCACCGATCATTTATACAAATCAATCTACGTATTTCGATGATTATCTGTAATATCAAGTCATCAATTATCGAAGCTAAGTGAAACAACAACAGAAGTTTAACGATTTTCTTTTCACTCCTTCGATTTCTAATAAAATTACATTCTTGTCAAAAATGAGCAAGTGTCCATTATAAAATTCATAAATCTGTGTAATTTCCTTAATTTAACTTTGTATAATACGTAATTTAACAAATTAATAGAGTCATGTAACAATGTAACAACCACGGAGAACATACAATTTAAATATGACTCGGCTATTTGCCGTCCCCTGTGTTCTTCGAAAGTTAATTGCATTTCTTTCGACGAAGTTGCAAGAGGACGTTCCTTTTGCCAGTGGCATACGTTTAAAATTCCTTGCGGCTGTACTTATCTTGTTTCGCCACTTTTCTTACGACTTGTTCGACGTATAAATTGCTATTAAAAGAGCAGTAGATGTATCGAGGACGAGGGATAACATAATTTACGAAGTCGGGCTTCTTCCGTCGCGGGCAACGAATACGATATCAGATGAAGGGTGAATTTTAATTTTACATAACTCGTCCGCCTTCTTTCTCCTCGTTTCTAATTTTTCTTCACAGCATTCCGACAGGTTTTGTGCGACTGTAAACTTGAAACTTACTAACGAAGACTGGAAGACCGGAATTCATAACTTATCCTGTGATTGTAAAAGAATTGTTCATAGCGAAAACAATGTTCGTTGTTGACTGTTAGTATTCATTCAACGATAATGCTCTTTTATTTTCTTTTCTTCATCTTATATCTAAATACATTTTGTCATAAAAAAAAATTCTTCCCTTCCTTCCAGCATCTGCGCACGATTATCCATCTTTTCTCATCTTTCTCTATCAAGCTCAATCCTTTGAATATTCAATATACAATATTCTCTATCGTCATTTTCCCCAAAAGAGATCTCATCTCCCACAAGAGAAAGCCTGCGTTTTTCCGCTTTTTCCACAAATCTTCCTTCTTCATCGTCGTTGCAATCCCCTTCTTTGTATCCTTTCCCTTTGATTATGTGGCTCTGATTCATATTGCACTCCTCTGAACTCGTCGTTGAAGAAGGATAGAAGCTAGCTGGAAATGAAAAATAGTAATAATTCGGTAAAGTATATCAATATTGTTTTCAACCGTGGTTTATGTCGGTTCTTCTTGCGAGCTGGCCTCGTAAATCCGTAGCTTTTCAGCAGATAATGTAGGCGACGCGGTCATTACGAGGGATGACCGTGTACCGGGTTAATTAAGGTAACGTAAGGCGTCGTATTAATCTGGCTCCGTATACCACGTTATTACTAAACATCCTGTTAAGACACCTAATAACAAGCCGATATTATTTATCATCGGCCCCCGGTTCTGTCTGGCTAACATATATCTCGAATAATCTCGAGGAATCTGTAACAGAATCTTTTGACCCATGCTCCTCTGTCTTCTGTCCTCTGGTATCTCGTGACTGCGACACGAGATATTTCGTGAGCTGAAAGTTGCAACAGTGTGGGCGATAGCTATGAGAAAACTTCGATCTATATCCTCATTTCCTATATTATATTTCTACAGTTTTATAATTCTTTTAACTGGTTGTGTTTTCAAAGCTTTCTCACTAATCACGCTGTTTCGAACAAAGTCGCCTAATCTCTCCTCTAATACGAGACTCTGGCATATCTTTGTATAAATAGAATTGTCGAACTTGCAATTGTTTCTTTGCTCGTAAGTGAAAGTGTTGCTGAAATTGCACCGCAAGAAGTTTTTGAAAGATTTTCAATCAATTATGAATCTTTATTATGGTGTTCGATTATTTTCTTAGGTATTATTATATAGGGCAAAATTTTAAGTTAATCTTAAGTTTAAGTTTAATTAAAGTTCAAGTTTTATTGATTATATGTTGTAGCTCCCTTTTTCAATCGTTCGGAAACATTGAAAAAAAGGAGAAGACAAAGAATAAGTGAAATTTCATATTAGGAATCCTGCGAATTTGTGCAATTCTTAATTTTTAATTTATGATTTTTCCAATAGATTGTAAAAGAAAAGATATCCTAGTTTTAATATATGTAAAAATGTTCGATGAAAGTGCTTTCAGTTTTAAAAAAAAATGAATTCTATATACTAGGCGATTTCACTCCACGTGCGAACAACGGGAAAATTGGAAGAATATCTGTGAAATTATACAAAGAAACATTGTTGAGCGATTCTTGCATTCTTAGGACCCTAATAACTACTTCCTATTGTGCGTCCTGTTCAATAGAAGGCTTCAGTGTTCTCAAAAGTTACGTAAACAATGTTACCATTTGTTCACCTTATTACGTAGAATATATAATAAGTTCTTTCCCATAGGTGTTCTTACATGTTCCCTATTCTTTTTTTTCTTTTTATCCTTTTCTTCAATCACAAATAACGATCTCATTCGTTGTGTGATAAAACCTTCTAGTTAAACACAATGCATGTGTGTGTGTGTGTGTGTGTGTATAACTTGCTCAGTCGTAACTTAGAATTTTCAGATTTCAATTGTCTCACAAGTTCGCCAGCAAACATTTAATAAATATTTCCATCTGATGGTCAAGGGATATCAATTCTTCTTTTCAGAAGAGCTCGCTGCTGTACGTGCTGCCCTTCATCTGCAACTGCGTTTCCGTCTCTCCATCCATACTAACTAACGATGGAGGCCTGAGGATCTTCAAGAACACGCCTGACGAATTTCAGTACATACTGGGGAGAAACTCGGACGAGGCTGACTCGAAGGAACGGCGAAGCAACATGGGCTCCTCCTTCATCAGGTACGGCCGCAGCGATCCCGTTGGAAACGTGGAGAAAGTTTTCAGCAGCGACAACGACGGCAGCTCAAAAGTGAACAGGTATCCTCGCTGGAAGTCGCCGGATATCGTAATTAGATTTGGCCGATCGGACTTCAAGAATGGCGATAGGGATTACAAGCGGGGGAAGAGTTATTTGAATTTTATCAGGTGAGTGTGACGAATCGAACACACGTGCGTGCATTTGAACTAAAATCACAGTTAATCCGTGTGTTGAACTCGTTGAAATTTCAATCGTTGGATCGTTTCGTTATAAAAACTGCCTCGTTATAAAATCTGACAACTTTTCGTTATAAAATCTGACAACTTTATTTCCTTGGGGAAAACGCAAAGTAAAGGAATTAGGATTATTGATAGTCTGTTACTTTTGAATTTTTGATAACACTCGTTTTTTTCTCTAGTTCCGTTAAGAGCAAATGGCAACAGAATTTTATTCCTTTGTGAAAAAAAAGCTTAAAGTGTGAGTGAAGTAGAAGGACAAGTTTGTGAATTTCTTTAAATTTCTTGATCATCTGCAATCGTCTCTTATAAGTATCGCTTTCTTCCTAATTCCATGTATGATTTATATTATTATATTATATTTATATTATTATATTATTATATCTGTATCATATTTATTATATTATTCTATTATTATATTACATATATATTATATTTACATTTATTATATTATTATTATGAGATATAATATCATTATAATAATATTCATAATTCTTGTAATGTCCATTCTTTTTCATCAGATACGGCCGAAACGTGCACGTCTATCCAGTGGAGGTCGACATGACGGCATTATGCTCCGATCTACTGTCAAACGAGATCAAGGAACTTCAGCCGTACGATGCGAAGTTACTTCACTTGTGTGACATTTTGAACAACATTGATGTCGAGCATAGGAACAATCTGGACTTCTTGGAGAATCGATTCGACTCGAAACACGACTAAAAGATGCTCTCGTAATTTGGGATTTTTGTGCCGACCCGTCGTCAACAGCTCATTTTTCGGGACGCCGCATCGCACTCGATCCAGAAATTCCGATGGAACAACGTTATTATCGGTCGATCCATACTCTCTGTTACGACTTCACGAAGACTTATTACATCTTCCCTCGTGCTTTTAGCTATTAAGGTATATAAATGATTTTATGGAGCTGGCTGATGCTTTCGTCGTGGCCCTTCAGGTAAAACAGGCGCTTAATAGGAATCAAATGAAATTCCGAATTGTATCGTCTTGTATCAGAAATCAAATTTTAGAATTTCAACGAAAGCTGTTTGAGTTTCGTGACGACTCGGTGGATCGTTGAGTGATCACGTGCAAGTTGATGTTGTTCGAGTTAGCGTTTTCGTCAATACGTTATTATTTAATTAGGCTGTGAATGCGTTGAGTTCTCAAAGTACTTTGATAACTTGTATATATACTTTAATCCTCCTTAATTTCTTTAGTAGCTGAACGTTAACACTGATACGTTGTCTTACATTAATTTTCTATCATACATGTTTCACACCGATGACACTCCCTTTTTACAACACTTTTCGCAAATGTCTTTTATTTATACAGCGTTTGTGAAAGATGCATGTAATTTAATTTTATTTAAAAGACAAATTGGAGGATCGAATTTGCGGATCAGGACCAAGGGATGGAGAGTACTTTCTCAGTTAAAGATGGTTGACAAGAAATAAAATATTCATAGATGATAAATACGGCGCGAAATGATATTTTAATAATAATTTGAAGAACGAGAAACAGAAAGGTACAATCGAAGCTAAATTTTATTCACTTTGATCAAATTTATGATCTCTGCCAGGAATGTGACTTGATGTTACAAGTGATTAATTAGTTGATTTAACTGTGCTCGTTGTTCGTTCGATGATTTTCTACGTATTTGAAAGCACTGATCTATTTTAAGCAACAAACGTATCTCACTATTTAGAGAAATAGTTGTAATAACAAACAAAGTACTACTAATTGTACGAACCGCTACAGTGGAAGTTTGTGTCAATTTTTACCATAGTCTGTAACGATCTACCTCACTAATTACTTTCTCTTTTAAATTAATTTTTACTTTAACAGTAATAAGAAAATATTTCTTAAGGAGCTCTTTTAAATTTTACATCGTCGTTGATTATTCTAATCATTTATTTATGTATCTTCAAGCGATGTATCACAATGCGTAGGTGGTCATTTTTTCATAAAGATCTGTTTGTCCGATTAACAAACTGGCCGACAAAATAACGTTGTACCATAACGTCGCTTCCGGGTACTCTAATGTGCATCCACCTGCGTCTTCAGTGTAAATAAAGGAAATTTCATTGGCTTTGATATCAATCACGTGAATCGAATATCTACGGTTCAAAGTATACAAAAAAGAAGAAGTAAAAATCTAAGCGTTTTATGCAACGTGTCAACAATCGTCGTCATTGTCGATGACAAAACTAAGTTGAGAAGATTTTCGCCAAGTCTATAAGAACCTAGGAGAATAAAATATTTTAAATTATCTGTATATCTCGCTAACTTTAAAACACATCAGGCAATTCCATAAAGTAATGTAGGGTAAAAGAAATTAGAAGACAACTATTTCAAAACCTCGAGAAAATCACCGATGAATTAGGTCGCAAATGTTGGTTTAATACGTGGAAAATTGAAGAAGAAATACATACCAGTTAAATATCCTCGTTCGTTTTAACATAACTACATATCTCGTTATTTTTCGAGTTCGATCGGCCAATTGCAGTGTCAATGTTTTTTATTGGAAATGAAAATAAATAATTTTAATTTATGGCAAAATTTATATTCATTTGTATCCTAAATGACGCGAACAATTTGCCCGGAATAACAAAAATTGTACAATGTTCTATTCAAAAACTGGTCGAAATTCTTTAATATAATTGAATCAATTCAATTTTGTTATGTTACACCATTGAATCAATCGAATTCTTTCATTGTCAAATAGATAAAATTCTTTAAATAGGAAAGTTCTATCTGACGAAATTAAAAATGAGATATATTTTTATTAAGGGAGATATAGCTTTGGCGTTCTCTTTTTTATAAACTTGGCTGTTATTTTCTCCAAGTATCCTACAATTATAATAGGAGCTAGTATTACAGTACTGCACATTATCTGTAGCCTGAACGTTATTCTTAAAGTGAATATAAATTTAATACGCATGTATAATTAAATGATTAAAGGGACAAAAGAAAGTGGCTAGAAAATGTGGTTTTCGTTTATGATTCACTCACCCCTCTCCATAACACGTGTCGCCTCCTTCTTTTAGGGTGACCTGGGCCAAATCGGTATTTACCACTACCATCTCTTCAAATTTATACGATTCGCAAAAGCACTCAAACAAAGTAGAACACTTACTGTAGAAAATTCTACGAATGACACTGCACGTTATGGAAAACTTTTCAAAATTTCATCGTCACTGGAATAAGACACCAAGCAAGTGTCTACACTTTAATTTGAAATTGATTCTCCTGAATTTTTAATGCATGTAAGTACTGAATAACCATGACACATATTCTCCCGAGCCGATTAAATATCATAGCCAGTCGTAATCGATCGATATCATCGTAACTTTTTCTAGATTTCGCAGTTGTCATAAATAAACATCGTTGAGGGAGGAGAGAATACCGTTATTAAAAAAAAGGTGTTTCGTCCCTGACCATTCAAGCCCCCCGAGCTAATTACCAACACAACGCTCGCTTCGTTTATGCAAAACATAAAACTTGAAATACCTCGGACGAAAGTGTCCCCGATCCCCGAGGGTACCTTAATCCAAACATTCAGCCTCTTGCATAAGTTACGGTAAGTAACATTGAAACAACAACAACGACGATAAATAAAATCGAGTTATCCACGCCGTAAAGAAGAAGTCATGATGGAAAGAAACTCATCTGCTTCTGGAACAAGAAATAACCCCGGAACGAAATTCTCGTAGGGAACAAAGGCAAGCACTAAACTTTCTTAAATGTCGCTATTTCTCCCAATCAGTACCGAGGAAATTCGTTCGAGCTATTTTCACAGACAGGTTTAGTTCTCTTTCGCCATATTGTCCTCAGGTGTCCAGGGACAAACGAAGAGGAACGATCGAGGCTGAGCCTCCTCTTCAAGCATCCCCACACCCGTCTCTCCCTCTCTCTCTCTCATTGTCGTGATCCATTAATCCGAAGAATTATGACAGACTCGCGAGATTCTCCGTGGATCTCGTGCACGTGGATGTGCACGCAGGGATGTGATCACGAGGTGTTCCTCTTTCGATGCGAACCACGTGTTTGTGCTTAATCCATGCCCCAGCTGACCGACGTCCTATGGCTTCGAGCAACTATGTCGAGCTCTGGTGAACGCACCGCTGGCTTTATTCCACCGTCGGCTGCGACCAAGTTTCTCAACGGCTGAGATCGAGCCGAGTGCAAGACTAGAGAGCGGAACAGAGGAGTCTGTCGAGGGTTGATCTGACGAGTTGACTGAGGATCAGGATGATTGGTTCACGTTGATCTACGTGATACGTACGAGGTACGATGTATGTTCACACCACTGTGTATGTGTACGCGTGGCGTGTGCATTTGTAGAGAATTACTATTTATCTACTTGTCGTGCTAGTGGTGGTAAATCGAGACAAGTCTGTGAAAATTGTTGGATCATTCTACTTGCAATAGATCAGAAGTTAGATAGTTTTCTAACGCGAGGTAATGTACTCTTTTGTGATCGAGGTACAATTGTGGGATGTGTTTACAGATAGAATTTCGTAGGCTTCAAATATAATAGACTTTCATGGACGCTGATAACTTCAAATATCGATGGTGTGATACAAGACTGAAATACCACACTTAAGAGTAGCAGATGTTGGATTAGAGACAAATAGAAAACTACTGTACTGGCAATAGAAAATCTACTGTAACTGCAAAGCGTCGAAACTTTGAAGAAAGTGACATTTAGGTTGATCTAGCTAACTAGACGAAATTGTTTCACTGATGTGGTCGTATTTCGTGTAACCAGAGACGTAATTTCACGCGTTTTCGTCGTGAAGACGAAACTTGAATCTCTGTTGGATTAACTACACGTCAGTTAAAGCAAACTTGATGCTCTTAATCTATGTCGGGAAAGATTCAAAGAGAAACAAACCAAAAAAAAATAAAAATAGATTCTTTTTCTTCCATTAATTTATCTTTTCCGTGTTTTCCGAATTTCCGTGGAATTTTGAACACAGAAGACAGGTCGCGACAGAGAGGGAAAGTAGAATCGCGGATCCGTGTGTGGAGAATGCAGGATTCATTTGTAACGATCCGAAGATAATCTTATGATCGCGGATACGTCATACCTATCGATTGCTCCGCATTCCCTCCGTGAAAATCATAATTCAATTTCGATATTCAGTCCTGAGGAAACTTAATTTGAGCAACGCGATGTTGTCGAAGTTCATTCCCCGATTCTCTCTCCATTGTCTTTCACATTCAGAATCTTAATGTGTTGCCGCGAATTAGATGAATATTTTCTTATCAGGCATCGTATTCAATTTCTAGTCACAGACAACTGCAATCGTTTTGCGTTTTATTCACGCAATATTCAACGTACTGCTACTCTCTAATTATCGTTCTACAATTTGTAACGTACAACCGTCGTTTCTACGGTTGTTTTTGAATAAATTTTACATCTTTCTACTCACATTTTTTTTTTTTTTTTTTTCTAAAATACGCGACTTCAAAGTGAAAATCGAGTCCAAACCGAATCACCTTGAAATTCCTAAAACGGACGCAAGAACGAATCTTTTCACTCACATTTTTCTAAATACGCGGCTTCAAAGGGAAAACCGATTTCAAACTCAAATCACCTTAAAATTCCAGCCCTCAAATTTTATTCCCGAATAACGTGATCGAATGTTCCGATCAGACCTTGTATTTAATTCATAGTTCTCTCATTCTCCTCTGAATGTCAAGAGAAACGCAGAATATTCATCTTTTTCCCTTTTACTTTAGCCAGTCCTCCAGTCTCCAATCCCTGAAACAACGAAAAAACGTTCAAAAATGCAAATGTTCCTCAGCGGCGCCTGTTCGCAGGTTGTTCCTGTGGAAATCGATGATCGAGTTTGAGTGAATGTAACACGAGAGTCTCCCAGGATGAATCCGTCCGAGTCGCAGCAGAATCTTCTCGCGAACGAAGCAACGGGGAGAGCGCCGTCGATGCAATCTTTAAGTCCGCCCACGGACTACATTCTTGGCCCAGTTGAGAAGCACTTCCTGCTCAGCGCGGAACGAGGTGATTGTGCCACTGTCAAAAGGTAATCCTTCGAAGATAAATCGACGGGGGGGGTTGGTGTAGCGTAACAGACACTCCTGAGGAAGGGATCGATCTGTGGAAACTGGAAGAACCGCAGGATTATAGAGCGAGGATCGTTTCTCGATTCCTTGTTTCGTCAATTGTTGGTTCTGGCACTCGACGCTTAAACGACGGGTATTCGAGACGGAAAAGGGCAAGAGAAATATGTATATCGCGGTTTTGAACTGAAATACATAAACTACATGTAGCGTATGAAACGTGTGTTATATATTGCGGATATAATATTATATTATATTATACTAAATACTATACAGTAATATAATATAAATATTATAGTATATAGTATAGTATAATATTATAATATTATTATACTATTAAATGTAACGTTATATTATAATAGTATTTATTTAATTTAGTGGTATTTAGTATTTATTATTAATATCATTATTATTTAGTATTTATTATATTATTTATTATTACAATAGTATATAATATAATATTGTTATATATAATAATATATATAGTATAATTATACTAAATACTATACTGTAATATAATATAAATATTATAGTATATAGTATAGTATAATATTATAACATTATTATACTACTAAATGTAACGTTATATTATAATAGTATTTAATTTAGTAGTATTTAGTATTTAATTTAGTAGTATTTAGTATTTATTATTAATATTATTATTATTTAGTATTTATTATATTATTTATTATTATAATAGTATATAATATAATATTGTATTATATATTGTTATATATAATAATATATATAGTATAATTATACTAAATACTATACTGTAATATAATATAATATTATAGTGTATAGTATAGTATAATATTATAATATTATTATAATATAATATTATAGTGTATAGTATAGTATAATATTATAATATTATTATAATATAATATTATAGTATATAGTATAATAATAATATTATAACACAATATATAATATAATATTGCAGTAAATAATATAGTATAATATTATAATATTATTATACTACAATATTATAATATAATAAATTCGTCCTAAGACTTTTGTATAGGAATGTATAATATATTAGACACACGTGAATGCATTTGGTGGGAATACAATACAGCTGATGATCTGAAACTGGAGAGATTCGTAATTTATGCTTAAGCATCTAAAGTTAAGAAGTCTATTTTACGATTTTTTGTAAATACATGGGAAAAATCACGCGAGAGAAATGAAACACTGTATCTTGCATTAGATTGCTGGAAGAGAACAAGGATCACCCGGAGATCCTCAACATTAATTGCGTGGATCCTCTCAACCGGTCTGCTCTGATCGCCGCCATCGAGAACGAGAATGTTGAACTGATCAGGCTGCTTCTCGAATTAGGCATTCAAGTGAAGGTAATTGACAATACGATTAACGATCAAACTCGACAGAGACTTTCGTCGGTCTCGTGGATTGTCTCTTAATAAATCGTTGATTCTCTCAAGATACGTTCTTTCGATTTAGTATGCAGCAGTATAATATATCACACTCCCTCGTGATATTATACGACTAAATTGGCTGTGTCGTAGCAAACGATGGAATAAAAGTGGTAGCGTACAATGTATGCAGACCACCGATAAAATTCCTTCTGCTGCGACACGAAAAGACCACGCGTTTAAAAGCATGCCGCAAACATAATTTCTGCTACTTTCAGGATGCACTCTTACACGCCATAAAGGAAGAGTATGTGGAAGCTGTGGAGATCCTACTCGAATGGGAGGAAAGAATACACCAGTCTGGTCAACCTTACGTAAGCTCGTCCCTTTGATAAAATATTCTTGCTTTTGAAAGTTCTTCGTTGCCCGTCACTTTCATACTTTAATTTTCTTTCGTTTGTCGTCAATTTCGTCGCTTTCGCCATTTTTTCTGTGGATTTTTATCATCTCATCATCGAAAGTCTCAAGGAACGAACATTCTTTGTTGCCCATCACTTTCCCATACTTTGCTCGTTTAATTTTCTTTCGTCATTTTTCTGTGGATTTTTTATCATTTCTCTGCAGAGTTGGGAAGCTGTCGACAGGTCGTCATCGAACTTTACACCGGACATAACGCCGCTGGTCTTGGCAGCGCATAAGAACAATTACGAAATTTTGAAAATCCTGCTGGATCGTGGCGCCACGCTTCCCACACCTCACGACGCCAGGTATACTTTCGCAATGCTAAATTAATCTATTATCAATTTGTTTTCTCTTCTTTCGTGCATGATCATTAATTTCGCACGAACGTGCTCAAAACGCGGCTTTCCTCTGCTCATTCGCGTTTCAATGTACATTAAATGGAAATTCAATTGAATTTCGTCATCCATCCACGAACAATTGTCTAAAGTTGTCTGGAAACAGTGTTAATTCGAGTATCGGTAAGTACCTACTCGAACTAGACCAGTTCCGCTTTATTTTTTGGCTTCACGCCAATACTCGCCTGCCGCTTATGATGCAGTTATTCGATTAAGCGGGCTAATTATGTTATTGAAAAGAAAAAAAAAGTGGCACGTGCCGATTTCAAAACGTGTCGCGTGCAGCAACGCGTGTTCGCGTTCGATTCTATTAAAAAATATGACACCTCCTGGAGCTTCACATCAAGTTTCCATCACTCGAGCCGTAATCCTAAATAGCATTGATCTCTTACTTTCCCCTCGTGATTTAAAAGAATTTTTTCAAATTAAAAATCAATGTAAAAAAAAAGAAGAAGAACTTGGAATCTTTTTACATCTCTTTTTTATCATTCTTTTTAAAAATCTTTTTTATTTATTTATTTTTTGTTTCGCCACTGTTACTCGTTAGTTTTTTTCAAGAACACCCCTTGAATCAATAATTCTTGAACCAATCAATGTAAAAATCAATGTAAAAAAAAAAGAAGAAGAACTTGGAACCTTTTTACATCTCTTTTTTATCATTCTTTTTAGAAATCTTTTTTATTTATTTATTTTTTGTTTCGCCACTGTTGCTCGTTAGTTTTTTCAAGAACATCCCTTGAATCAATAATTCTTGAACCAATCAATGTAAAAATCAATGTAAAAAAAAGAAGAAGAACTTGGAACCTTTTTACATCTCTTTTTTATCATTCTTTTTAGAAATCTTTTTTATTTATTTATTTTTTGTTTCGCCACTGTTGCTCGTTAGTTTTTTCAAGAACATCCCTTGAATCAATAATTCTTGAACCAATCAATGTAAAAATCAATGTAAAAAAAAGAAGAAGAACTTGGAACCTTTTTACATCTCTTTTTTATCATTCTTTTTAGAAATCTTTTTTATTTATTTATTTTTTGTTTCGCCACTGTTACTCGTTAGTTTTTTCAAGAACACCCCTTGAATCAATAATTCTTGAACCAGATGCGGTTGCGACGAGTGCGTGACATCCAGCGAACAGGATTCCCTGAGGCATTCGCAGGCACGGATAAACGCGTATCGCGCGCTCACGTCGCCGTCTTTGATCGCCTTGTCATCGAGGGATCCCCTTCTGACCGCTTTCGAACTTTCCTGGGAACTACGTCGGCTGAGCCAAATGGAGCAGGAGTTTCGCTTCGAGTACAACGTAATCACAATTTCTCACTAACGTCTTTCTCACAAACAGTCGTACATCCGAGAACTGTCCATCAATTTCTCTATTGAATTTCCTGTCCCGTAGGAGATGCGAGAGCAGACGCAAATTTTTTCACAGTCGTTGCTGGACCACGCTCGCACGTCTCTGGAGTTGGAGATAATGCTGAATTACAATCCCACCGGCGACAATTGGGAGCCTGGCGAGCGGCAAACCTTGGATCGGCTCAAGCTTGCCATCAAGTACAAGCAGAAACAGGTGAGGCAGACACGTTGCCGTTTTCTACGATCTTCTTCTCGAAGTTACTCGTCTAGGTATAATATTTTTGACGAGACGACGTTTCATCTTTTTCTTTTTTTTTTTGATTTTCTGCCTGCAGTTCGTGGCTCATCCAAACGTTCAACAATTACTGGCTGCTATCTGGTACGACGGTTTGCCTGGCTTTCGAAGGAAAAGCATGATCGGACAGTTTATCGAGATCGGGAAGCTCGGAGCGATGTTCCCGGTGTACAGCACGATCTACATGCTCTCGCCGACGTCGCCGATGGGCCTGTTCATGAAGAAACCTTTCGTCAAATTCATCTGCCACTCCTCCTCCTACGCGTTCTTCTTGAGTAAGTCTTCCTGACTTCTGACCGACTTGTCAGAAACAACTTGTTCGACTTGGTCGAATTTTCAACACCCTAAATTCACGATAATTGAATTTGGCGACTGAACAGTCATTAAATGATTAAATAAATAATTCGAATGAAACGAGTGAAACTTGATAACACATTCCTACGTAACTCGAATCGTTTACACGTCTCTTTTCCTCTGGTCAACTGAATTCAATGGACTCTAAATAATAAAATAATAAAACAGCAAGTTCTAACAAACCTCGTTCTAAAAGTAAAAAAAAAAAGAAAAAGTCAGAATTAGCTTTCGACTTTTGATCAAGCAAGTTGTAAAAGAATTAAGTTTTCACTCAGCTACCTCGGCGAGCCTCTCGCGGCTCCTAAAAGAATTAATTGTCGGAAATTTAATTATAACGAGTGACGAGAACTCAAACCGATTGGTTTAGTATCTGGTATACTGACTGAAATTTCCATCAGTGCTTCTCGGAATGGCGTCGCAACGTATCGAGTACTTGGCAATCGAATTATTCGGCAATGCTTGGATGCTGGAGATACTGGCTGGGTGGAAGAGGCGGGAACGTGGGTGCATCCCAGGCTTCGTCGAATCCGGTGTCATCATCTACGTAATCAGTAAACAGATCTTGATGAATGCCTATTTAGAAAAATGAAAGAAGAAGACAACAAGAGCGTCTCTTCACTCTTCGTTTATTTTATTTTACTTTGTTTCGTGCCATCTTCTTTATTGTTGTATTATGTTATATCATTCGACAGAGGTAACTTTATTTTATCTTCTGTTCTGATCGTTGAACACGCGTGGTTTGTATTGTGATTTATTTTAGAGTGATCACTTGCTCTCGCATCTTGATGAATGACTCTTTAGAAAAATGAAAGAAGAAGACAACAAGAGCGTCTCTTCATTTATTTTATTTTACTTTGTTTCGTACCATCTTCTTTATTGTTATATTATATTATATTCGACAAAAGGTAACTTTATTTTATTTTATTTTAATCTTCTATTCTGATCATTGAACATGCGTGATTTGTATTCTGATTTATTTCAGAGTGATCGCTTGAACAGCAGAGTAATTAGCTCTGAATGTTTTAGGCTTGGTTGTCGGGGAAATAAGATCACTGTGGTCGGATGGATTGCTAGAGTACATATCGGACCTTTGGAACATAGTGGACTTCATTCAAAATATGTTTTATGTGATTTGGATAATGCTGAGGGTGACCGCGTGGATTGTTGTTCAGGTATATACTTTTCTGAGCATTAATAATAATTATTATTAATTAATAAATACTTTTAATAACAATTATTTAATAGTTATTTAATTAATTATTATATACTTTAATAATAAAATATATACTGAGTTTTAATAATAATTATTTAATAATTATTTTATACTTTAATAATAAAGTATATACTGAGTTTTAATAATAACTATTATTAATTATTATATACTTTAATAATAAAATATATACTGAGTTTTAATAATAATTATTTAATAATTATTATATACTTTAATAATAAAGTATATACTGAGTTTTAATAATAATTATTTAATAATTATTATATACTTTAATAATAAAGTATATACTGAGTTTTAATAATAATTATTATTAATTATTATATACTTTAATAATAAAATATATATTGAGTTTTAATAATAATAATTATTAATTATTATATACTTTCCTGAGTTTTAATAATAATTATCAACGTATCTACATTCCAAAAAATATGAAAGAAATTTACATTATTATTATAATAAATTATATAATTTTAATAATAATTATTTAATTATTATTATATACTTTAATAATAAAGTATATACTGAGTTTTAATAATAATAATTATTAATTATTATATACTTTAATAATAAAGTATATACTGAGTTTTAATAATAATTATTATTAATTATTTTATACTTTAATAATAAAATATATACTGAGTTTTAATAATAATTATTACTAATTAATATATAATTTTAATAATAATTATTTAATTATTATCATATACTTTAATAATAAAGTATATACTGAGTTTTAATAATAATTATTATTAATTATTATATACTTTAATAATAAAATATATATTGAGTTTTAATAATTATTAATTATTATATACTTTTCTGAGTTTTAATAATAATTATCAACGTATCTACATTCCAAAAAATATGAAAGAAATTTATATTATTATTATAATAAATTATATATTATATATTATTATAACAAAAAAATTTATATTATTTATATTATTATTTGTTTCGTAGAGGGAATACTGGAGTGGCGTAGATCCTTGGTATCCCAGAGATCAATGGCATGCCTTCGATCCTATGCTTCTTTCGGAGGGTGCCTTTGCTGCTGGTATGATCTTCAGGTAAACGCAAAATTATCAAAATTTATTCATTCCGCTATGGAAAATTGAAAAGTTAATTAAAGTTAATTTAAAAAAACACTCGTTTCAACAGTTCGACTTCAATCTGTAACTAAGAACTGTTTCGTATCTGTCCAGAGAAGGCTCTCCTTTTTTCACTTACTTTCAGTTAAAGTTGCAATCTGAATAATAAAAATAACACTTGATCGAACGAAGGTAGACGGTGATTTTAATATGATCTGAGTGCTATGATCCATTCGCAGTTTCTTGAAGCTAGTCCACATATTCAGCGTGAACCCTCATCTCGGACCACTTCAAATTTCCCTGGGGAGGATGATAATAGACATTATCAAGTTCTTCTTTATCTATACTCTGGTGTTGTTCGCCTTCGGCTGCGGTGAGTAACTTGCTAACGTTCATTATTCAGCCTGTATATACAGCCTCAATTTATTTTCAAATCGGAAACATTCAAGTTCTAATATCTGAAACGAGGTGGAAAAATGGGAGAAAGATTTGAGAACCTTGAAATCTCTTTTTTTTTATTGATATAGGAATGAATCAGCTAATGTGGTACTACGCGGATTTGGAGAAGCAAAAGTGTTATCACATGAAGGACTTTCCGGATCTGCCTGATTTCGACAATCAGGAGAAGGCTTGCTCGATTTGGAGACGTTTCGCCAAGTACGTAAAAGTGTTGTCCCGCTTGTCGAAAGCTTGAAACTTGAAAACGAAAAATGAATCGCTTGAAAACTGGCTAAACTTCTTCCACATATTTCAAATTAACAACACGATAGGTTCGTTCAATTAATCATCGCTTTTAGCCTGTTCGAGACGTCGCAGTCGCTTTTCTGGGCCAGCTTCGGTATGATAGATTTGATGTCGTTCGATCTAACTGGGATAAAGAGCTTCACCAGATTCTGGGCTCTCCTCATGTTCGGCTCTTACTCCGTGATAAACGTCATCGTGCTGCTGAACATGCTCATTGCCATGATGTCTAATTCCTACCAAATCATCTCGGTACGACTAGTTTGTTTCCTGGATTTTCATCGACACGTGACGAGCGTAGAGATTTATAGTATAGTATAATATACTAACTATATATATAATACAATATATATAGTATAGTATAGTATATATATATATGTATACTATACTGTATTATAGTATATATACATGTATACTATACTGTACTAGATATTAACTATTATATAGTATAATTTGTTAGTATACTATACTATATATTAACTATTATATAGTATAACTTGTTAGTACAATATAGAACATATACATGTATACTATACTATATATTAACTGTTATATAGTATAACTTGTTAGTACAATATAGAATATATACATGTATACTATATTATACTAGATATTAACTGCTATATAGTATAATTTGTTAGTATACTATACTATATATTAACTGTTATATAGTATAATTTGTTAGTATACTATACTATATATTAACTATTATATAGTATAACTTGTTAGTACAATATAGAACATATACATGTATACTATACTATACTATATATTAACTGTTATATAGTATAACTTGTTAGTACAATATAATATATATACATGTGTACTATACTATACTATATATTAATTGTTATATAGTATAATTTGTTAGTATACTATACTATATATTAACTGTTATACAGTATAATTTGTTAGTATACTATACTATATATTAACTATTATATAGTATAACTTGTTAGTACAATATAGAATATATACATGTATACTATACTATACTAACTGTTATATAGTATAACTTGTTAGTACAATATAATATATATACATGTATACTATACTATACTATATATTAATTGTTATATAGTATAACTTGTTAGTACAGTATAATACACTATACTAACTATAGTTATATATATAGTATAGTTCAGTATATATATACATATATATACTATACTGTACTATATATTAATTATTATACAGTATAACTTGTTAGTACAGTATAATATACTATAGTTATATATATAGTTACTATAGTTATATATATAGTATATTACAGTGTATATATATACATATATATACTATACTGTGCTATATATTAATTGTTATGTTACGTTACGACGTGTCAAAGAACATTTTCATTGAAAGCGAACGATCGGTGAAGTGTTTCCTCTTAATTTGCAGGAAAGAGCCGACACCGAGTGGAAGTTCGCCAGGAGCCACTTGTGGATGAGTTACTTCGAGGACGGGGACACGGTGCCCCCGCCGTTCAATATGGTTCCAACTGGTAAAACGTTCGAGAAGATTATCAAGTGCGGGAAGAGCCAGCGGCAAACCAGATCTTTGATTGTACGTACTTTCGTTTGGTCGCTAGTTCTAAAGTAGATCGAGATCTAAGTAAGGCTCGATAGGGATTCGTAAATGCAATTAAACTTGCTGTCAAAGTTAGGGCTCGCGATAACGTAACATAAGGATTTGTGACATTAAATTTCGACCCTATTGAACTGAAAGAAAAAAAAAGAAAAAAAAAAAAAAAAACAAAAACGATACCTTTCAACGAACGACTCGCAGAAAAAGTCGAGGGAAAAGGCTCTGGCGAGACACGACACGGTGATGCGATTGCTCATAAGGCGTTACGTAACCGCGGAGCAAAGGAAACGGGACGAGTTCGGTATCACCGAGGACGACGTTATGGAAATCAGGCAGGATATTTCCACGTTGCGATACGAATTGATCGACATCCTACGACAGAATGGAATGAGAACGCCGACGATCGACAAACAAGACGCTGCGCGTAAGTTTCCAAGCCATCGTGACCTCCCCGTCGTCCCGCGTTTCGCTTTTGTCAAAGTTGTTCAAATCACACGTGAATATTAAGTAGAATTACATTTGAAAACTATGAATTTTTTTTGTTGACACGTTTTGAAATCAAAACGTGATGATGAATCCTCGGCATAATTATAATTACATGTATACTGTATGAATACATATTCAAATGACGAATAATACATGAAATACATACATAATAATAAACAAATACACATATAAATGATAAAATAGTTATAGTTATACATGTATACTGTATTTTCATTTCCAAAGGAAACGTTTCACGCTTGAACTCTGATTAATGTATTTCATCGTGTCGGTCGAGCAATTTCTTTTTCTTTTTTTTCAATGATCTGAACCGATAGTCCAGTTGATCGAGAATGTGGAATTAGTAGTAGTAGTATATTTTTATTTCAGCCTTCTTGGCCTTGAAATTCACTTTGGTTTTACATTGCACATTCACATTGCACTTATCTCCCTACTTTTACATATTATAATATTTACATAATATTTGTATCCTATTTGCTTTATCCTATACTTACATTTATCTTAACTATGCTATTCTTTTGTCTACTTAATAACTTAATCTAATTCTTTCATTGTATTTCATGTTTATTTGTTGCTCTTTTCTCTTTAGACCTTATCTCTTCTTTCTCTTCTCCTTGTCTCTCTTTATCTTTCTTTCTCCTTTCTCCTTATTCGCCTAAGCCATTTTACCGCTTCTTTCCCGCCTTCTTCACTCAGTATCTCTTCCAGACTTGCATATGTTTTCTCCATCTCTCTACAGTCTCTCCAATGCTCTAACGTTCCCTCCCCATCCTCGCATAATTGACATTTCCGTTCTTCTTCGCTCGCCCAAAATTTACTTCCATTTTCTAGGGTGTCGCATCTTGCTCTGGCTATCACCTTCTGCTCTCCATTTTTCCTTCTCTCTTTCAGATATTTTGGTAATTCTCTTGTTACCAGATACTTATACTTCCAATTGTATCTTGTCTTCTGAATTCTATTCCACTGTCTTTGTCTTTGTATTTCCGCTTCTCTTTTCCTTAGTATTTTCCCCTAGCTGGTTTCCCTTCTCTTCACAATTGTTCTACTCCTATCTGGCTAAAACCACACGTTTCGAGGTGATCTTGCCTTTCCCTTTTCCTGCTTTCCTTTCTTCTATGCATTCTTTTACTATTCCTCCCTCGTTTTCTCTTTCCTTCTTTATGCCAATCTAATCTTCAGTTTCTCCCTTTTCGTTTCCACCATGATTACATAGTCTGGCGTCCTGCCAAGCGTCCATTTAATATATTTTCTTTGTAGTCTCTCTAATTCCGCTTTTTCCGCCCATCCCTATACCTCTGCTCCATAGGCCAGAGATTCCCACGGCTAGACTGTCGAATGTCTTCATTCTCCTCCCATAATCGTCTCTAAACAGAGAGATGTGGAATTAATTTAACTTGTGTATAAAATAAAATTTTAGTTTCCGGTAAGAAGGGACGCGTGATGGAACGTCGGCTCCAAAAGGACTTCCAAATCGGCATAGTGGAGGGTATCGTGAACGCCGTGATTCAGAGTGAGAAAGAGCCCAAGGACGTGTTCAGCCAAATTGCAAAGGCCATCGGCCGCAAGAGCAGCGGAAGTAAGAAGAAAGATTGGAACGCTATGGTCCGGAAGAACACGACTAGCAAGGACCCGATTGGCAGCACGACCGAGGCCACGATGAAGCAAACGCGACGCAGTATACGCAGACACTTGCAACATAGTCCGAACTCGGACCTGGCCTCGTTGGATCCTAATCGTCTGGTCGATTACAATCCTAACTTGTCGGAGGTGTCGCCGACCACGAGGATCGCCTACGCGAAATTCATGATGGGTCGGTCGAGGCCCGTCAAGGCAGAAGATGGTGGTGAGCATATCTCGTTTTTTTCTTTTTTTTAATGCGTCTTAGTTCAGACGACTTGTATTAAAATTAATTAGTAAATTAATATCGAAAAGGAAATATAACGTTCCAGACACGTCAATAGTTTCTCTATCCCCGTTTTAAATTGGACGAAAGCTTGTTTTAAACTGGGATAAAAAGCTTTAGGAGGAAATAATGAAAATCTCTTCTAAACCTACAAAATGGCTAATCCGTAAGACTATAATTGAGTTATCCCTGTGTAAAGCCATAAAATTTCGTGGTGAACTAGTTCGTCTACGACGATTCATTTACATTGGCCATTCAGATAATTCCAGTCGTCAATCGCCAGACAATCTCGAACGACAAAGACCGCTGGTCTTTCGTTTTGTTTCCTCTCTGTAGAAGTCAAGAACGAGGGGGAGGGATCGCAGAAATCCGTGCGAATCGCAGGCGAGGTACCGAGCGGTCGCCCGGCGTTGAAGAAGAGTCTGTTGAAATCCATCAGCAGCGGTAGCGTGGACAAAGCTGGAGAGAAAGCTGGCGGGGCGGAAGTGAGGGCGCCGTCGCCGATCCCGGAGGACCCGAGGGAGGACAACGTCGAGAGGTCGCCTCCGGGCAAAGCTGCCCTGGCGAAGAAACCCTCGGTTGCGAAATCGTCGTCGCAGGAGCAAGGGGACAAGAAGGCGAGCACCGACGACGAGGAAAAGAAGAAGAAGGAGGAGGAGGAAGAGAGGAAGAAGAAGGAGGAGGAAGAGAAGAAGAATAAGGAGGAGGAAGAGAAGAAGAAGAAGGAGACACCGAAACCCGCGCCGCGGGAAGACAACGTTCCTGTAGCCACGACACAATTAAGAGGGAAGTCGAAGGCAACTGGCCAGATAATGGGCGGTTGGATTTAACATAAACGTTGATAATCTCGTCGAGGACTTACACGGTTTATAATTTTACAATAGATGATACATGAGAAAGAGGCATTTTGATTTTCACGTGTTTATTCACTTTTTCGTATCTGTCGCTTTCTTGATTGTAGACGAACTGTTATTCTGTCTTCAAGACAGAACAACCATCGATCACCGATGTGACAGTTGATTCCATTATTATTCGATGATAATTAATTTTGTCGAGAGATTTAGATTTAGATTTATTGATTACGATATCTTTAGATTTAGTATTTTCGGATTTTTATCTTTCATTTCTCTGTTTTTCCGTGCCGTTTATAACACATTACAACGTAAGAGCGAGATAAAAGAAACGAACAATATTGCGAGACAATTTTAGGAACAAACGGACATTCATTCGTTGATTGATTCGTGGTTTTTTTTTTTATTCGTATACACTTAGCATGCTGCCAACGCTTCGCGAGTACTTTCAATTCTTTTTTCGAGTTCCGTATGTCGGTTGGAAGGGGGCGATTTCTTTTGATAAATCTTGTACGTGATACTAATGATTCTTATTCGCATAGCAGTTTGTAATTAGCTCTACATGTACATTGGTATGAGAGGTATTAAATAAATTAACGTGATTCGATCGTCAATGAATTTATCTAACTATTCCCCCAATGGTGTCAAGTTATACACTTGAAACATAATACTGACAAAAATCTGCAAATAAAACGCTGCATTATTATCATACACAAAAGACACTTCGATGTCCAATTACAATTTATCATAAAGGAAAAAAACTTTTATCATACCTTCTCCGGCCATTCTTCGCTTCAACGGAGATTTCATTCTTTCTCCTTCTATTGTTTATTTTATCTTCCTGCAATATAAAGTAAATGTTTCAACAAATTGTAAAGTAAATATTTCATATTATAAAATACTATTTATTTTACATTACTTATTATTATATTTTATATTATATAATTATAAAGTAAATATTTCAACAAATTAGTGAAAGAAGTAAAGTAGTTTTACCTCCACTAATACACCAATAAGGAACTTCTTCAACATACGTTTCGCGTCTGAGGAATGTCCAAAATCATCGAATCCGCGCGTCGCATCTTGCCCTGCGTACTCGTCCACTAACTCTGCTCCGCCAGGATGCTGAAATTCGTTCGAAAAATTGTTTACGTTGCAAATCTGTCAATGCTCTCTAATTTCGTATAACGGTGGGGAAAAAGAAAATGTCACTTTCATCTCTCGTCTCCTCATTTCTTGCATTCCGCTCGAGTTTTTAGCTCGATTTATCTCAAAAATAAATTGGTTTATTTCAAATAAATAAAACTTCGTTCGATTCTCACACTCTTTTCTGGCCTACCTCGTGTCTGTAATTGGTCACATCGTACACCATATCGTGAATCACGATCCACACTCTTGCTTCCTCTTTTCCATCACGTCTTGCCACTTCTTTCAACGAATATTTTGGTAGTTCACTCATTTTTCTTTTTAAGCCGATCAATCGATTTCAACAAGAAACTTCAGCGAGAAATGTGTAATTTACATTTGTAAGATCTCGGAGAGATCAGTCCTCTGACCAACTCGACTGCTGAATACTGGGATTATGATTCGACGCGATTGAATTTAATGGGACGAGGGGGAAAAAAAAAAAAAATCACAGACGTGATCGACTTTGTGTATAACGATAAACAGAGATAATGCGCGTCACGTTTCATCGATTAGGGATTGGGAATTTCAAGAGGAAAATACGACGGCTATATATAGTCAGTTTTTATCTTCGTCATACATCGAGAAGTTCAATTAACCAATCTGACCTCTTCGTTGAATCTGCAACGTTTTTTCCTCTTGATTAATAGGGGATTTTCTCTGTTTATTCTTTCGTAATATTTTAATTTTTACTCGTCGCAACGTTCTCCGTATTTTATTGTAATACAATTCTACACGTACATCTACATAATTATTAATAATTATAATTATTTGTATTATTGAACGTTTCATTTTTCTTATTTACACAAATTTTAAAATTTTCATTGTTTGTATAGAAGAAGCTTCTCTCCTCAAGAGAATAAGATTTTCCAAATGCTTCGATAAAAATGTTGTCTTTCTTAAAAATTTAAATTGAAAAGTTAAGGTAATTAAACCTTTAAATTAAAAGTCGAGGTAATTAAAACAAGAAATATAGTTGTGTATCCAGGCTGCACCTGGATTTATTGAAATTAATCAAATTAATTAATTCAATGAAATCAATCATAATTGATTAAAATATTATCGACTCGAGATAATGGATTAACGTTATCGATAATTAAATTCAACCGAGTACAATTCTTCTTTCCTTTTTGTAATATTTGTCGTCGATTATTGGCTGATTGTGGGATGATTGTTCTGAAAAATAGGAAGTTATTGCGGGGAATTACCTTATTGGAATTTACGTACAATCTTTTCAGTCTGACGCGAAGCTATTTTTAAAGTGAATGCTATTTCTGAAACAAAAAATAAACAAACCGTGATAACAAACGCTGTTTAATAGCTATTAAATAGTTCTAATCCGTTTAACTCTTGATTAAATATCAAAAGAAACAAATATTGCTTTTGTTAACGATTATTTATACGAATGTTCAAGTCAAGATAATTGCTCGTGCAATTGAAACTCATACGTTACATCGTTACGTTATTTAATTTTATTTAAATGATTTTCAAATGATCGACACAAAAATACTCATTTGAAAATGCTAAAAGAAACGGATTATTTAGCATAATGCCTACAATCCGATTGAACGTGTAAGATTATAGGAAAATGTTAAAAATAACTTTAAAAAGGCAAGATTAGATAGCATTAACTGAGGATTAAACAAAGTTAAGTAATTAATTAAATCGTGTAGAGATCTAATTATAATTTCTGCAGTTTACATCGTATTATTTATAACACTGATCTCTGATAGCAGTTTCGACTTTGCAAAGCGAAGATTACGATTTGTTGATACTTCTGGAATGATTTGTCAAAAGTCAGAAAGAAATTCAAATCAAGTTATTTCATTTCAAATCAAATCAGACAGTGAAGTATCATTATAGAAGTCTTCTTAGTTATCTATTTGTTCACTACTGTTCACGTTGACAATGTCTCTTCTCACATTTTTTTTTTTTTTTTGTTTTCCTTCATTTCTATTCACATACTGCTTTCGGGCTTGTCGGTGTCACGGGTGTTACGAATTTTTTGAATCTCTCCAATGGGCACATTTTGTCACAATTGGGAAACTTGAGTGTACGAACGTTCCCCTTGTTTCTATAAAGCACCTGTATATATACAAAAGAATTATGTGAAACTTGAACAACCTCTTGGAGATGTTAAAAAAATTTCACTCGCGTTCTTACATTAGTAATTACGAAATCGATATTACAGAAGAATATTTAATAGAAAGATCATTTGCACCTGTACGTAATATTCGTCGTCATCTTCGTGCAATTCGAACATCAGGCAACCACCGTAGTGAGGAATCTCGTCGTCAAAATTATCCAACGCCACGAGTATGTAAGCAATGTTTAGGTCGTGCGACGCGTACATGAACGCTTTTCGTGTATCGTTCTTATTTAAATGATCGTCAATGTGGTTCAACCACTCGCGAATCCACATTCCTGTCAAGTAAAATCTTCTGTCGGACAGTCAAATATCTTCGAAAATCTCCGACAATGAGAAAAATCGAAAAAAAAAAAAAATGAATTGAGACGATTAAAAGTTTTTACCAGCCAGTAACTGCTTCATTCGCGGAGTACGCGTCCGAATGTAAATATCGTGTACGGCTAATTCATCTAGTTTCCCGCGCGGAAAGACGGATTTCGTCCATTTCGGTAATTTCAAACCAATGTCTTTCTGAAAGAATTTCAAACATCAACGCTAGAGAAGTGGTCAAAATGACTGATTCATAATTTTCTTTTATGTAATATTACAGATGTAAAATTACAGATCTGTAATATTAGAGATGTAAAATTACAGATCTGCAATATTACAGATGTAAAATTACAGATCTGCAATATTAGAGATGTAAAATTACAGATCTGTAATATTAGAGATGTAAAATTACAGATCTGCAATATTACAGATGTAAAATTACAGATCTGCAATATTAGAGATGTAAAATTACAGATCTGTAATATTAGAGATGTAAAATTACAGATCTGCAATATTACAGATGTAAAATTACAGATCTGCAATATTAGAGATGTAAAATTACAGATCTGTAATATTAGAGATGTAAAATTACAGATCTGGAATATTGGAGATGTAAAATTACAGATCTGCAATATTACAGATGTAAAATTACAGATCTGCAATATTACAGATGTAAAATTACAGATCTNGAGATGTAAAATTACAGATCTGCAATATTGGAGATGTAAAATTACAGATCTGCAATATTAGAGATGTAAAATTACAGATCTGCAATATTAGAGATGTCAAATTACAGATCTGTAATATTACAGATGTAAAACAGTAAAACGGTGTATTTTTAGTGGTTCAAACGATTTTTTTGATAAAATACATGAATAAAAGTTTGTGTATTCTATTGTATAAAAATTCTATGATTAGTCTTTGGTAGTTCTAGCGTCAGTATCGTTAACTATCCACGTCTGTAACCTTTGCTGGGGAAAATGTGATGTTATTTACCTGTGCAAACAAATACTGACGCAAATTGATCGTTCTGGATTGTGTAATATTACCACCAGTGTGTTTCGACAAGTATCTGTAAACGTCTGCATGCTCTTTCTCAAATTCAACCAGTGCCGCATCTGTCCTCTCCACGTCATTCCTCCATGCATGAAAATTTGTAGAAAATTGCCCATTATAGAGACAGTCGATCGATGCTGGCAATGTCCATACCGGTATGGGTTGCCAATTTAAATTTGGTTCCCATCTGTGAAGTTTATCATACTCTCGCAAGTCAGATTTGAGTATTTATTACTTGTCCAACAATTGAAATTTAATTTAGAACCTTTGCTGTCTGTTTGGCGGATATAGACCAGCTGCGACGAGTTGCCCGCTCATGATTACTCTCTCTACCTCGTCAGCACGGAACCAAACGTCTTTCGACATGTAAATCTCTCCTAACAATTGGCCGTACCTTTCGCGGAAATATTGGCCAAGTTTGTATAAAGCCAGTTTACCGGTCTAATCAGTATTTTTTAAAAAAAATATTAATTAGAATCTTTTTTAATTTTAATTATTCTCTTTAATGTTATTAATTATTAATTTTTTAATTAATTAATTGAAATTAAATGTTTTCTTCAATTCGTCCGTGTCATTGAAATTTAGCAGGCGTGAAATGTTAGCTGTGTTATGATTTATTAAAACCTATTAAAATATATTTTTATATTTTACAATATATATATAATATTTAATATTTATATTTTACAATATATATATTTTATAATTGAAACTCAAATATATATATAATATATATATTTAAATAAACTAAAATATATATATAATATATATAAAATATATTTTTATATTTTACAATATATATAATATATATATTTTATAATTGAAATTTTAAAATAAAACTAAAACTTATATATAATATATATAAAATATATTTTTATATTTTACAATATATATATATATAATATATATATAAATATATATATTTTATAATTGAAACTTTCACGACTAGAGAAATCTATTAAAAATCTATTGAAAGTGAATGACTTGACGTTGCTGAGCAATTTAAAGCTTTTTTCACACTTTTCCAAAAGCTTGAAAAATTTTCTTTTGAAAGTCCAGACAGGGACCGGATAAGCTTGCCCACGAAGAATTGACGTATTACTTTATCGTGTGCAATTTGAAGAGACTCAAGGAAACTTTAACACGTGCAAATTGTACAATTATATAGTCCATGCAATTTAATAATAATTGCAAAAGGGATGACGTACGTTAGTTAAACCTCCTGGTCCTGCTGGCTCGTAGGTGTAATTAACGTAAGGATCGTTCGGATAGTAATCGATCCCCGATGGCATTCTGTTTCCATGTCTGAATACTGTTTGCACCAGTTTTAGCTCGGCAAAAGACGCTTGGCAACAAAGGATGCAAACTACGATCCTAAAAATCCAAGCGACACCCATGTTTCTGAAATATATATTACACGTTACTTGAAAGACAAATTTTTCTTCAATTTCTTTCAATTTCTCAAATTTCCTTCAATTTACGTTTCCCGGTGAACATCAATGTTAAACTAGCTCTTTGATAACTACGAAATTTCCGTAACCTAATAAGAGATAGGAGTGAAAGGGACTGATAATGTAGTAAGTTGAAAATCTTCGACCAATGCAGCTCTGTGTATAATGCTCTTATCACTGAAGATAGTACATTGATAAAAACTAAATATTATCGATTTATTCGTGCACCATATTGAGTTCTTTTCTCATGGTTACGAAGTGAAATACAGACGAATATTTCACCCGGAACTCGATTAAAAGTGATTAATGAACACACAAAAATATTGCACGCTGTCTCGGTTTTTGGCAGATTTGGTTATCTCCTTAATTTTTGTCCACGTGTTTTCCATATCTGTTTCTTTTTTTTTTCCCCCTCCTGATGTTTTATGCGTGGCCACCGTTATCATTGCACATTTAAATTTCGATGATTTATTGTTCTAAAGCGCCTTACCTTATCGACACTTCGCGTTTGCTGTTTTAGCCATTATTATTTTTGCGACAATTTTAAGGTGTCATGTTGAAACATTGATCATGTATTTTAGTTAGTAAAAGTGTGAATTAAAATTGATTAAAAATATTCTAACTTTTAGTATAATTAATATACTCGTGTAACATACTTTTTATACGTTTCTGACTGCGAGTTGAAATTTCTCAGCTGAAGCTGACCGCTTTAATATTGCAAACGTAATGTATGAGCATGATGAAACACAATTATCTCTTTAGAGTTATCGCGATCACGTACGCGTAATATCATTATCATTATTACATTAAACAATTCTCGGAAACTTTGTCACTGTAAATTTATTTGTAAATTCGAGAAAGAAACGCATTTGTCAACCAGTCACAGCGAAGAACGATTTGAAGAATTTCGAAGCATTGTTAACATAGAATATATGAAAAAAAATTAGTTTCCAAAGGAACACCAGTCAGGCAATTTTTCTTGCATCTTTTTTTACGTTTTCCACCGACGTAACATTTTTTTCTTTCCACTAATTGTAAGTTCAATTATTCTTCGAATAATTATAGCATGCATTGTGTCATAAATCTTGCAAATCACCGAGGAATCTCTTATTTAGTAACAGTGTCATTGAAAGAATTAAAAGTGCAAAGTTTATCGCTTTCATTTAAACTTTCTACTTACTCGTGTATTGCGCTAAGTTGAAACAGCTGTTTAAAACTACTTAGGCGATGGATTTTCTGAGCATCGTCTGTTTTCTACAGAACGCTCTCCGACAGATAAATACTGTTACAGTAATTTCAAGTGTCAAGGTCTTACGAGATACGTAAGTACAGTTTCAGCTAAAGGAAAAGAAAAAAAAAAGAAAAAAGAAAAAGAACAGTTATGAATACGTGTGAATGTTGAATGATGCAGACTAAACTGAGCAAATCGTTTCGAGCTGTTGGTACCGGGAACAAAGAAAATTAACGTAGGTGGAAGTATATATGGATCTAAGACTCACTGGATCTTTTTTGCTTCGTCTAAAGTAAGTATCTAAAGTAAGTAATTGTATAAGATAGAAGAATTCTGAATGCATGTAAATAAATGAATATAAATGGATACAGAAATGTATCGCATTAATATTCGACTGAATATTGAAATTGTTATATTTTTGGAAAAGAAATTCCGTAATAATAAATTTCGGAATTTCTATCATCATACATTCGTTTTATACTGAAATGTTTCTACATCACGTTACGAATGGATAAATATATGTTTCTTCTTGAAAATGCTATAAATTGTCATAGTATGTAAACAAATTTTTTCACAACTGAATCTACAATGGAATTTGAAGATTGGAACCTCTCCTTTACAACGACTTTCGAAAATTTAATGATCCTTGAATATTAGACTTAGGTGAAAAAAATTCAAGAAATCGTTTTCGCCTGATATTCAAAGTTCAATAAATTGGTGAAGAAAAATCGTACATTAAATTTTCGGGAGAAGGCTTTGATTTTCAAACGATTGTAGATTCAGCCAGGAAAAAAATTTTTCAATGCTTTTGCATCCTGCAATTCATCCTTTTTTTGAAAAAGAATGCATTTTGAAAGCGATTTGACGCTAAATTCTAAAATGAATCCGTTTATTATTGTACGATTTATTTTTACAAAATTATAACAATTTCAATGTTTAGCGGCAGAATGTTATAATATTTGATTATTAACATAAATCGCTCTATATTTCTTATAATTTATTTTTATTTTACTGAAAATCAAATAATGCTACAGTACATATGTACGGGATACATAATGTATGCTACATAATGTGCCTACAGGAAAAATTCAACGAGATCTCAATAGAGAAAAGAAAATATTTTCGACATAAATAACTGATTTTAGATGAATTGATATGTTTAATAAATATAAATTGATTCGCTTAATAAATATATATTCAAAATGGAACGATGCTTCTTCACTGTGAATATATTTGATGATGCTTGACAAAATAAATAGTCTATTATAGTGTTGGGTGGTGTTTTGACAAAAAGAATAAATATTCTATTAAATTAATCACGCGATAAGTACTTTAATGAATTAAATACTAAATAATTAAATACTAAATTATAATACGTATAAATATCATTTCACATTTAAAGAAACTTAATTTCTCATTTCTTCTAGTAATACAAATAATTAAATTATAAAAATACCGGTGATATGCTTACGCATGAAACTTTATATATATATCATAATTAAAAATACATCCAATCTTTCCGCCAATCTATTAAAACCTATTCCAAATCCTAAAACCTAATTAAAACCTATTCTAAATTCATTTTCTTTGGTATCAAGGGAATGTAATTCACAGTTCAACAGTTCCGTTATTTACTCAATGACTCCTGCAGTCTTTATCAGATTGTATTTCAATAGATCTAATTCCTCGATTGTCATCTTATCTACGAATGCACTCGACAGGCCTTTGTCACAAATCATTTCCTCATTCGATGGCGTCACATCTTCGATTAATTGCAAAAACTTGTCGATAGGGCAGAGCACGTCACAGTTAGGTAGCTGAAGTTCATTTCCTTTGGATGGAATGCCCAAGTAGTAAACCACCTGATGAAACCACGTGTGAGGTAGACAAAATTTTAGAAAATAAATTACAAGAGGCGAGCGAAATTTTTTCGACCTTTTTTACGTACCTTCACGTAGTAACTGTTACCAATGTAATGAAGTTCCAGTATAACCGAGCTTGAATATTCAGGAACGTGCGGATAATAGACTCCGAGAGCGTATAAAACGGCGGCAACGTTGCTCTCGTGTCCGCTGAACAAATTTATTTTTTCTCCCTCATCTTTTATGCCGCTTATGTGATTCAACATGTGCCTTGTAACGAGCCGGAGAAACGGGCCTGAAATTGAAAAGAAAATAAACCAAACATTGAGATTGAAACATCGGAAATGGCAATTGAAGAGTGTAATTTTAAATTTGGCAAAATCTAAAATTATAATAATATGAGTATAATAGAATACATTAGAACGCATTACGAACTAGCATGCAAAATTCATACAATTACAAGAATAAAACAAATTCAATAGAAACGAAATGCGTAAGATTAATATTTGATTATATTGTCACTAATTTAATTGACTAAGATGTGACAATTAATAACTAACTTTGCGTGAATTAAAATTATGTTGTTACATTACCTCCGTATAGTCTTCTCAACAGAGGAGTCGAATTGGCGATATGGTACGAAAATATTGTTGCGTTCCATAATTCTCCGTATGGGAATATACCGTTTGTCCAATTTGGCAAGACGAAACCGTAAGAGGATTCGGCCATCAGTGTATGGTACAAGTAATACAAATCCCACGGCGTGGATATGTTTTTCCCAGTCCACTCTGTCAATTGTTTCATAAATCCGCTATAATGTTCCAGTTGCTGTTTCCCTTCCGGTGATTGCAACACTCTGTTGTATTCAACTAAAAATCTGAAATCGAAAAAAAATTGTAATTATCATCGTCAAGTCAATCACAGGCAGTGACTTTGACTGATTATTATTTATTAAACGATAATACAGTAAACTCTTCTATTTGTAATTTATAATCAGATTTTCATACAAATTTACATTTTCTATGAACGAAATCAAAGAAATCGACTCTAAATGGAATTAAATGCTGTAATATTTGCGTTATTATTTTACACAAATTTATATATTAAAATTATTATATAATTATTATATAATTTAATGTTTTACACAAATTTATATATTAAAATTATTATNGTAATTATTATATAATTTAGTGTTTTACATAAATTTATATATTATAATTTAATATTTTAAAATTTAATGTAACATCTCATTGTTTTCACATGTTACACGCGTTTGTCAGATATTTCTCGTAGATCGAATGAAAATCTGCTGTCTATACTTACAAGAGGCAATTCTCCGGTAGAAAGAAGTTGTCTTCGTAGCGTCGCAGGTATCTCGCGGGGATTGGTTGCCAATTCAGATTTTGATTCCAACGTTCCACAGTGTCATTCGGCGGGTAAAGTCCAGCGAGGACTAGTTGCAAAGACATTTTCGTTCGATCGTAGTCCGAGCTAAGAACTGAGACTTCATCAGGTATATAAAGCTCTCCCAAGAAATCTTCGTACCTCTCCCTCAAGAATAGTCCCAGTGTGTATTCTCGCATTTTACCCGTCTAAAAAAAAAAAAAAAAGAAAAAAATGCTACCATTAACGAGAGTCATTCAGAAACGAATGGAAATTTGAAAAAAGGGGGAGATACGTACGTTGGTCAGTTGGCCACGACCCATTGGATAATAAGAATAATTCAAGTAGGGATCGTTCGGATATTTTTCATCATCACTGGCATCAGGCGTTCTATCGCCATGTCGGAATATCTGGAATCATAAAATACGTATGAAAGTCTGTAGATTAAATTTTTTTTCAACTGGTTCCACGTCGCGAAAATTTCGTGTTTCTACTTTGGAATATTTCAATTTTCGAAGAGTGTCTTGTGACTGGGAAAACGTGCATAAATAATATCACATTTGCTTCTTACCACGTTCACTAGTTTGAGTTCCGCTCGAACAGCTGTAACGCCAATTATTGCAGCCAGAGCCAAGATTAGGGAGAAACTTCTGGGACTTAACATAAACGAAGTCATGCTGGCCGTGTTCAACCTGGAATCAATGTAAATCTTCCGTGAATGAAATTATTATAAATATTATCGTTCGATTTTGAATGAACGGCAATGACATTCAACAAATATTTTCAACCTGCGTGCTTTTCAAATCAGTGTATCTCGGTTGTCGACAAGAATCTTCAAGATGCATTTGTCGATCAAATAGACAGCCTTCTAAATTAAAATGTAAATGGCTATAAAGCACCAATGGATAGAACGAAATGTAACTTTCTGTCGCGTGTGTAGAATATAAATTTTCAAGTGTCTATCTTGCACGGAAATGAGACAATGATTTAACAGAAATCAGTATCTTATATAGATCTTGTAACAATGATAAAATATCTTAACGTAACGTTTTCTGCATGAAGAACAGTTGTAGTAATATTTTCTGTCGATAATGATTTTTAATGTACATGTATATATATATATATATATATATATATATATATATATATATATATATATATATATGTATATATATATATATATATATATACATATTTATTAATAATAGTATAGTGTATGCAATATTAAAATTTGTGCAATATAAAAATGTGATATTAAAATTGTAATAAATATAAATATAATAAATATTATTATTATAAATATAATAAATATAATTTTATTATTATAAATATTATAAATATAATTTTATTATTATAAATATTATAAATATAATTTTATTATTNATAAATATTATAAATATAATTTTATTATTATAAATATTATAAATATAATAAATATTATTATTATAAATATAATAAATACAATTTTATTATTACAAAGATTATAAATATAATAAATAATATTGAAATTTATGCACAATAATAATGTATATATAATAAATATATTATAATATATATAATAATATAATAATAATATATAATATGTAATATTAATATTAAAATTATAATATACATATATAATAATATAATAATAATATGTAATAAATATTGATGCATAATAATAATATATATTTATTTGCAACATTGCACAAGGGAAATTTGAGAAAAACGTTGAAAGAAGAGAATATATCAGACGCGTGATGCTTTCAGTTTCAGGCTATTTCCAATATTATCGTATTTTCGAATTTTTCTATACCTGTTCGAAGATGAACTGAAGTAAGCACACTTATGTCTCCACTGTTTGAATGCCTATCGTAACGGCACGATGTGACAAGCAATTAATAACGGTGAGGTACCGATTATGACACCAGTTAGCGAAACACTGGACATGTCGCCTATGCGCAAATGATATTTAAAGGAGGACAAACGCACGTCAAAGGGACATATCTTTCTCTGGAATTCGTTTCTCAATTCGATCTCGATGTCATTAGATACCGTATATGCACCGTAATTGTATGAAATGGAAGTCCCCGTTTCCATGCTGAATGTATTGTGTCTGCTATAGCTTTCATTATGTAGTTACACGCAGTATGATAAGGAAATCCATATTAGGGTTTTTTTTTTATAATTCTGACGCGCTTTGGAACGGCGATCCCGAAGAAGAAGAAGAACGTAAACGCACATCATGGGAATTAACAGGATCGTCACGTCACGATATAAAAGAACACAAATTTCCTATTAGGTCATTCCTCTCGACCACTTCCCTTAGGTCTGTTTCCTTCCAATTGTCATACGTGTGTATTACGTGTCTTTGTTGGCTCAGGAAAAATAGTACAAGCAAAATTTTGATCATCATTTTTACAAAGACGAAGTGCACATGTATGTTTTGTAAATACAATGGGATGAGACATTGTCTATGTTTTCACCTGAGTTTACATTGCACTTTAAGTTTAAATATTTAAAGTGCCTTTCTGAAGAAACTATATTTCATTATATTCTGCAGAATTGTGTTTCTATATTAATTAATCATAACCTGTTGTAATTCTGGCTTGTACTTCTTTGTCCATCCATCCAAAAATATGTCGTTGATATTTTCTTAATCGTTTGTTATTTGCTTGTTCAAAAATTTCCTTTTAGTAAATTTTTATTAAAACTTTACTTTTAGAAAATTTCCTTTAAGTTAATTTTTCATTGAAACTTTACTTTTTTAGTAAATTTACTTTTAGTAAACTTTTCTTACTCAAAATTTTACTTTTGGTAAAAGAACGATGCTTCGAGAGGAACGAAAAAATTTAATTCAACTTTTTTATCAGATAATGTGACATCTGATGATTCAGACATTTATATAAACGTTCTTACATGTAGATGATATTTGCGTCTTTTATTTATTTAATTTAGTGTAGTAACTATATAACTATGGTGTATACTGTATAATAATAACTTATCCATTTCACTGTGTCAAACTTTCACGATCGTTAACGTTTCAATCTTATCTCACGCTTCGTTTAATTCTTCAAAGGTAAAAGTAACTTATTTAATGTACATACGAATGAACATACGAAAAAGAAAGAAATGAACGAAAGTGTATGAAAGATTGTAAAATTTTGTTCAAAACAAGATCCTCACGAGATTATTCAGCAATTTTACGCGCGTTTTAAACACGGCGGATAACTTCTTCTTGGAAAATCGCATCGACTCTATTGAATTTTTACAGACATGATTCGTGTTACGTCTCAGCTGAACGGTGAACGATGGTTGCTACCCGCTTTGCTCGGATTCTCTCGTCTTGCCTTTTACAGCCGTCGGAGAGATGTTTTAACGATGGATTGCTTGTATCAATTAAATACTTATATTTAATTATGACTTACAAGTGTGTACGATGAGAATCTGGGAGATGTGCACGGTAGTTCTCTTCGTGTGAGATTGACTGTAACTGACTGAATGATTCTACGAGACTCCAAGAATATTTCTTCACAAGTGTCCTTTTACCTAGGTTTGACTTTGTTTTTATCCTACCGAGCCCTTCCACATCCTGTCTCTCTCCCTTCAAGGCAAGCGATTGAAATACGACAGGACATTTGGCAATTTGCAGCAGGGTCGAGGGATCTGACTAATCGTCTCGGAAGGTTCTGTTCCGCGTCAAAACAATTCGTTCAAATTGAATAAACTAGCATTGTAAACTAATATTGACATATAATAAACGAGAGTCTGACCCAAAAGTATCCTCTGCACATAACTTTATCCTTGTGTATCCAATTGTAAAAAGTAGATATAAAGCACTTAGGGGAGTCCTTTAGGAGTACCCTTACCGATTAACAGAAGCCTGTTTGTTTGAAGCCTTGAGTACCCATTGTAAAAAGCAGATATGGAACACTTAGGCGGGTCTTTGTACATTACCGTGATGGTATTATAATATAAATGTTCAAGAATAATTGTAAATAACAAATGATAAGACACGTCAGAGTCTTTAAGAAAATAACTCTATGACAGTCGTTATCTCTGCAAACAAAATTATCACTCGCTGAAATTATAATTTCAATTTCTTTGCGAAATAATGATTATTTTTGTGCGTGTTGAATTACGAATATCACGAATATTAGAATATCTTTTTAAAAGTATAATATTTCAATTACAATGTATTTAAAGTTCATTAAGTATGATAATCAAATTTGTAATAATTATTATACAATAATGTCATGTAATATTACAATGATTTTTTTTTCGGTGATTTTGACTACATTTGATAATATGATTAATTGTTTCTAATTGATTAAATTTCAGTATATGGAATATATATATATATATATATCATAATGAAGAATGACGTGCTTACGTATAAAAAAGTAGATGAGTACTGGTAATACGTTATCAGTTTAACGTTCTTAGAATTATGACTGAATGACTTATTTTCCAAAATATAGAAAATAATATATGTCTCGTTGGTCCATTTTTTGACGCAGATATAAAATTTAATTACCATGTAAAGTATCTTCTTGTGAAAATTTCGTTACTCTGTATGGATGTTTGAGAAAGACTACAAGATAGTGTAATCACGATCCGATTGTAAATTTTTATACCCGTGAAGTTTGCAGATCCGTAGAGACGATATTCACAAAAGAGATTGTTCGATAATAACAGCCAATCTGCTGACGCGAATTTGTAATTCCATTTTTGCTGATACGAACTTGTAATTACATAAATCTGCGGAGGAATAATGAATAAGAAATAGACTAATACATTATAGTGGTGTGACTGACATTTTGATGCATGATTAAAAAATCATTAATTTTCCCGCACGGGGTCACCTTCCTGGTTTTCGTCGCGTGCATTTACAAATAGTTAAATGATTGCTAATAGCGCGTGTAGTATTGTAATGTAAATCAAATGAAAAAGAAATATGGTATTATTTGGGAAATTTAATTATTATTTATATTACTTCTATATAGTCTATATTATTTACATTATTTTTATAGTATGTATCACCATAGAAATAATATAATTAAATTAATTATTATTTATATTATATTTATATATTAATTATACATGTATATGTATATTTATTCTATATTATTTACATTGTTTTTATAGTCTATATCACTATAGAAATAATATAAATAATAATTAATTTAATTATATTTAATATATATATATTCTATATTATTTACATTATTTTTATAGTCTATATCACTATAGAAATAATATAAATAATAATTAATTTAATTATTATTTATATTATATTTAATATATATATATTCTATATTATTTACATTATTTTTATAGTCTGTATCACTATAGAAATATAATATAAATAATAATTAAATTAATTATTATTTATATTATATTTACATATTAATTATATATAAATATATATATATATATATATATACGTGAACACATTAAATGTTAATAAATAGAAATTATGTTTCGACTTCACGAAAAAATCTTTGCAAACACCATCAAATGTTTCACGAATAATTCATTTGTGCATGTAAGTACTCTTTGTTCTCTGTCTCACTGTTATGCTATTATCGTTATCAGTAGAAAATGCTTGTTACAGTGCATAAAAAATTGTTATGTCCGAACAAAAATAGTACGTTTACAAACGAAAGGAAAAAAAAAACTTCGTAATTACTTTTGGAATCCTCATCAATGCAATGTCTTATAACTTGTTGAAAAACATTCAAATATAAATACACAATTCGGGAGAATTCAGTGGCTAGTATCAGTAATAAAACAATGACAATCCAACGGAGGAAAATAAGAATTTAATATGTTGTACTAGCGAAATAATAATTATTACTTTCGGTAATAATACGAAAAACGAATGCACTTTGAAACAAATTTGTCGTCTTACCTTCGATTCCAGTTAAGGTATTAGAAACTGACTAAGGCCGTGGATTTGAAACGAATAGCTTTCTTGCGCAACGTTTCCAAATATTATGCACGAAATGTGAAAAAAAGCCAAACTGTATCAAGTGATAAGTTATACGTTCCCGGTATTTAAATATTCGGCCTTCAGCTTATGTACTCGCGTACTAATCGCAAACACACGGCCGCAGTGAAATTGTCTCAATAATTATTCGACCAGCAATTCACGGGTACGATTGTTAAGTCGCGGTAAGTACAAATCTGTGTAATATTCTGGAAAAAAGGAAAAAGAAACAAAGCGACCAGGTGGTGCAAGATTCAGCTCGAAATTTGATTCAAGAGTGATCGATGACAATGTCAGATACAAAATAAATATATGACGGCGTAAATATAAATAAACAATACTATCTGCCAATCGAATTAGACAAGATTAATTTTTTTTTTTTATTTGACGCATATAGTCTTCGAGAGAGATAACTCAGACGTGCTTCTTTTAATCTAACGTAGAAGCACGTCACGTCCATATGCCTGTTATTATAGTGGAACGCGAAGTGCATGCGTAGCACGTGGCAGCGAGTTTTATAACGTGAACATAATCTTCAAACTTGAAATTTTCTCGATGATAAGGTTCACAATTTATGCTATCACCGTATAAGTACATACATAACGTTCGACTGATACGCAGAAAACTCATTTCTAAAAACCAAGTTAGAGGTAGACGGAATGATCAGTAGGATTGTCATCCTGTTTAGCTCACGTTGCTCTTATCGTTTAAAGAAAATTACTTGTAATTAAGATCAAACTTAATGCGTTTTTTTTGTTGGACAATTATTGGACGATAATTACAGCGTGTCGAGAAAGTATTGGTGCACTCAATTTTTTGACGATATCTTTGTAAAAATAAATGATACATTATTTATTTTCATCAATAGTTCACTACAAAATAACAACTTTCAATAATTGCAGTATTGACACACTTGTGTTTAATTTGCATTTAATGGTGGAGTATTAAATTTTTTAATTTTATTAATAATATATAGATATTTTTATTATATATATATATATATAAATCTTTTTTAATTTTGTAATTATTCTTTTATAAGTTTATATTATTTTAAGTACTGAAATAATTCATATTTTGTTTAAACACATGGTAGAACTACAAAGAAAAGCCCTCATAATTTTTTGATTCTCGAATTTTTATATTACTTTTATTATTGTAATTCATGTAACTTGTTATTGAAAATTGCTATTTTTGCGTGTAGTAAACTACTTATAAAAACAGATTTTGTTAATGTAACAAAAACAATATATTTATACATTTTGTTAATGTAACAAAAACAATATATATATACATTTTGTTAATGTAACAAAAACAATAATAATGTAATAAAAACTGTTTTTATAAAAATTTTGCAGAAAAACTAGGTGTGCGAATGTTTTTCTTTTTTGGTCCACTGTATATGCTTGACTGTAAGTATAACAATTTGTTAATCTAATATCTTTTTATGTTCAAGCACAATCGAGTATTTTCATCTGATCATGACACATGAGTCACAGTACAGCGATTAAATTACGAAATATCAATCATCGACTCGGAGTATTATTAATTACTAATGATAAAATTTATCTGGATTTCTACTTCACGATCTAATTTTAATTCTGACGTTTAATTCCTCGAAGAGGAAGTTACTACATTTTCTTCAGATGTTTTACTATTGCAATTACTTGGTTTAATGATATTCAGACATTTGCTCGTTAATTACATGTTATTACAAATTCATATGCTCGAGATATCACACGAATTGTTTGCTTATTAAATCTGACGAGAATTATATGCTAAAGCAAATAAATTTAATGAACCAAATAAGATGTGTCTGAGTTCTCTCGCATGAAACAAAACTAAAAACGAAGAACTTTTAATTGATTGTTAAAAATATTTACGACTCCTTTTACCAAACAAATTATTACAATACATTTCGAATAATCTTTAAATTCAGAAATGGAGTCGGTTGAAATTTAAGTTACTTTAAGTAACTTTTTCATATCAGTATCACTAAAATTAAATTGGAAACAGAACTTTTCCAAACCGACATGAAAATCATAGTAAGGCTACCGAAATTTTAAATAATCCCTTAAAAATCATCAATTCCTCAGTAACCAGCAACCTTCACTTATGCTCTATGTGAAATTTCACTGGCAAATGTTTCTTCTGAGAAAATCTCTTAAAGATTTGGTTTAAAAGCTTATTATATAATAAGCTTATTATATGTAGCGAAAACTTCGTTAAAGTTTTTTTACATTCTTTGAAAGCCTAGAGAAATTAAAGATAAACACGAGCGACTCGGTTTTCCCACAGAGAACGCGATGAGAGAGAGTTGATAAAACGACAAAAAAGACTCAAAATGATGACGTTAAGAATACAAATTCGAAAAAAAATGACAAACAATTAATGTACGTTCTTACTTTTGAGCTTGGGTGTCTTCCAAAAACCAGCGTATCACAAACAAGTCTAACAGACAGAGAGAGAACTTTCGATTTTATAAGATCCGTGATCTTTTGATTGCCGAGCTTATAACTGAAAAGCAGGCCTGTTTGGCCAGGAATTGTACAAAGCCCGGCGAGATTGTTACCTAATGATAAATTGACGATTTCACGCGAAGGCTACCGATTAAATTTACAGATCCGATGCACGAACGCTCGAAGACACCATCGGGAGATATTTTATCTGATTGTTATCGTCGCGCTAGCAAGAAGCAAATACCGCGACGCCAGTTACCATGAAAAGTTAGAACAAGTCTCAGCATCACAATTACATACTTTGCAGTGACTACACAGGTATCGTCAGGATAAATAATTATAATTACCTCTAAACAAAACGGTATAAAGGCTTCGAGGCGTATGTCTGTCTATTCAAGCGTCATGTTGCTCTATTGTTAAACGAAAGAGTAAAACGTAAGTGAAAACGACGTTGAAAAAAATGTTTCATTTTGACACATTACTCTTGATTTCGTAGAATCTCTTGAGAGATAAGATAGAACGTGCGTACGAATGTTGTACCGAAAAAACAGGAACGAAGAAGAAGATCTTTATTTTAAAGTCGAACTGTTTTTTTAGGGATTTGTTGATCGTGAACCAAAAATCGAGAAAAAACTGAAAATGAAAGTGGTTGTATTTATGCTGTGTATAGTTTGTATTGTAAGGAAGCCTGTTGAATGTATACCGGAGTTGCAGTTGGTACAGATCGTAAGAGTCGTGATATTCCAGTAAACTGAAACTTATTTAACTAACCGCACATTTTATACGACAGTTTTTCTCCTTTGTAATTTGATTATTTCGTAAAGGGTACAAATTCAGCGGTATAATGCTATTTACAGTTAAACAAATTTTTCAGATATTCGCTCATAAAACGTACGCTCCAATTTTGGAATTGATAAATAGCAACGATACGGATTTACCACATCCTTTATCTTATGAATACTTCAATACCGCTCCAATCGGCATGCCTCGTGTAAGTTTCTGTGCCTTGCTATAAAGAAAATTAACTGTACATCGTTAAAGAAGATTTAATGCTAATTTTCGTTGGCTTCGCTACACGAAATAAAAATTTAGCATTGAAAGATATGTATATCATTTAATTATATTCGTCTGTTGTTTATATTCAACCAATAGATAAGAAAAGTACAATCACATACTTCAATGTGACTAATTAATAAAATTGTATCATCAGCTATATAATTAAGTTCATTGAAGATTTTTTCTAAAGAAAAAAAGAAGAAAAATTGTATCTTGTAATATCGATAACACCTATTAATCATCCAAGAATTTATCTATCTATTCAGTCGTTGAACAATTTCATAATCTAATCCTTTTGAACATCTTCCCTCTAAAAAGTTTCTCGGAAACGTCAGAGCTAAACAAACAACAGATCTAAACAAATATAGGAGGGAATCTAAAGGCAAACATCGGAGTAAAACTTATTATTTTCTGTTGATTGAAATTTTTCTAACCATCTTTGTATCCTGCGTGTCAATTCAAACATACAACATAGTGTTTCCAAATTAATGTTTAACATTATTCATTTTTGCTACCTGTTCTTAATGTTTATTTAGTAGTAATAACTCTAGTTTAATTTTACTTAACAGACTGGCATGCTGAACATGTACGATCTAGGAGTCCATTTGCGGGAGGTGTACGATGAATTTTTGGGTGACGTTTACACATGCGAGACAATGAAAATGCAAACGGCCGAATATCCATTGTCGATGCTGTCTGGTCAATTAGTGAATGCAGGTCTTTGGCCTCCGGCAAAGATTCAACAATGGAGCATCGATTTAAACTGGCAGCCAATACCCACAGGTAAGTATCCGAATCTTAAGCTGAATGAAACAAAATACAATTTTAATTAAATCCTTTTCAACTTTCGCTACGAAACAATCAAACAAAAAAGATATGCAAAACGTGAGTGAAAAGTAAAGAGAATGCAAACAACTGGCAGAGAAATATTGCGATTTATCAATTTTGTAGATTACACACTCGCGCGTGAAGATACTTTGTTACTGGGAGCACAGTGTCCGAGTTTCATTCTCGAAATGGAAAAAGTATTGAACATGTTTCAAGTGCGAGAAAGATTGACGCATTATTCATCTTTATTCGATCATATATCTCGGTCTGCTGGAATAAAAGTTCAACGACCATCGGAAGTGGCTTTGCTGTACGCTGTTCTCGAGACGAAAGTGAGATATATATAAATTAAGTTAAGAAAAATTAAATTAAATTAATAAAAATTAATATATAAACATTAATTTTGTATATATTGACATTTATATATTAATTATATAAAGTTAATATTTATATATTAATTAAGTTAATTAAAATTAAATTAAGTTAATATAAATATATATAAATTAAGTTAAGAAAAATTAAATTAAATAAATAAAAATTAATATATAAACATTAATTTTGTATAATTGACATTTATATGTTAATTATATAAAGTTAATATTTATGTATTAATTAAGTTAATTTAAAATTAAATTAAGAGAAATTAAATTAAATTAATAAAAATTAAAACAGACGAGCAAATAAATGTACAATCGATACATTCTTATTATTAGTCATACATGTGAGCAAGAACTCTTTGAGATAAGATTTATATATTTTTCTGCTTAACTTTATCGAGTGTCTCTCGAGTGCGTTGATTGAATAAAACTTCAAAAGTACAAGTGAAAATAAATGTTATTCCAGGCTGATTTAAATCAATCTCTTCCACACTGGGCGAAAGATATTTTCCCTGACGGAGGAATGTACAATGTGTCGTTGTTAGAGTACGATCTACTTTGGCAAACTCCGTTACAAAAGCAATTAAATGGGGGAACGATCCTGAAGGAAATTTTAGCAAACTCGCTGATGTATATCGATGGACAAATTCCTGAAGAGCGAAAGCTCATGATATACAGCGGCAACGAAAGAAATATCGTTGGTGTTTTAAAAGGTTTAAACTTATGGTCGCCACACATTCCTAACGAGGCCGCTTCTGTGATTTTCGAGCTGTACTTTGACAATGAAACAGAAAGTCATGGAGTGAAGGTACATTCTTTCAAAAAATTAATCAGAAATGCACTTGAAAAAAATGCGATTAAAAGTCTGAAGTGTTTAATTATTAAAATTATTATTATTTCAGATTAATTACTACACAGGAGTAGATGGTATCACTATCCCATTGAAAATGCCAAATTGTACAGAAATTTGCCCGATTAAAACATTTTTGTACTCGATACTAGACATCTTACCGCAAAACGCAGAACGATTATGTAATTGGGAGAAGATTAATCTCTCTGACAAGCCTGTAAGATTAAACAATACGATTTATAGTGGATCTGTATGGCATACATCGAGAAGTATTATACTTACTTTTTTATTAATAATTAGTTTATTTAACAATTCGTGTTGATAAATTGAAATTTTTGTCACAAGTTGGTGTATACTCTTAATTATTTCGTACCTTCGTTCTTGTGTCAAATATGTAGTTTTCTATAACAGAAATCTCAATATCCTTAATAACGATTTTAGATTAATGTTTAATTAATATTAATTATTAATTAATTATTTAAATTCATTTATAATTCTACGCATTATAATTCACAAATAATTCTAAAATTTTTACGAAAAACAACTCAAATAAACAATTTATTTATTTATTAAATTTACTTTTTATTAAATCATATTCACAATGTACAAGCTATTATAACATTTTTATATGCATACAGTGGCCGTAAAAAGTATTTGTAGATAATTCCTAACTCCCAATGCAGTACGTGTTTTATTTTCATTATCATATGAAAATATTAAATGATATGAAAATTCATATATTTGGAATTTATTAATGTAAATGCTATAATAAATACGCGCAAATATTTTTTATAACTGCTGTATATAAAATATTATAATATTTAATATTTGCTATGTTAAAATTACATTTAAAATGATGCATTTAAAGCATAGTCATTTACTCACAGGACAGTAAATCGACTAATTTCTGTGATTTTTTGGCAAATTGAACAAAATTTTCCATAGCTACTACTGTAAAATCGCTCAAAATCATTAACCACCTTCGTTCTCTTGTTTGCCTGCTATCCTCGACTATTACACCTTCAAAATTTAACTGTTTCTTCCATAAATCAACAACAGGTGGTATCATGTCTTCTTCAAATTGATTAGCTTCTTTATTACAGGAAATTGATCGATATTTTTGTAAACAAAAGGTTAAAGAATAAAAGATAATATGTAATTGATTTATTATACCATGTACATCGGCTTTTTTGTTATTTATCAAAGTGATTAAAACATTTTCGTACGATTTTAATTTTATAGTTAGATAATTTATTACTTCAATGCAAACTTTTATTGAAATGCATAGTTGTAAAATAATGGAGATTTGATGAATCAGTATTGCAACCTAAAGAAATAAAATAGAAAAATAACGTTAAATAGAAAAATAATAATTTCGAATCCAAATATTAATAGAATGTCTTTTTTTTTTGCGAAACAAGTTTTTAAGTTTGCACGTCTTGTATGCACTTATATGCGCGACACACAGGAAGAGCTTTTACAATATATAAAACACGAGAAATGTTTCTTTTAAATTACGTTTTAAAATAAATTATTTGTTTACATTTTTGAAAATGAATGAATTTACTTTGGAGAAGTGAAATTTTAAAACAAGTGTAGTAGATTTATTAAAAATCTAAGTAAATGTCTAATGATAATTATAATTTACCTTATTGAATTCAACAGTTTCTATACTCTTATCCAGCATACCTGTCACTACCTGCACAATTTCTTGCGTACATACATTAGTTTTATTTTCAGCTTCAGAAACATCACAGTAATCCAGTATCGCGTTTACTGCCTGTTCCTCTAAAGTATTTTTCCAACATCGTTTTCTCATATATTGTCTCGCTATTTTCTCGTTTTGAAGAACTGCGAGAATCATTTTCATCGATTGGAAAGCAATATCGTCCACATTTAGAGTGTCAAGCGTAAATTTCAGCCATTCCGAAGAAATGTTTCTCACTTCTCTTTCACTAGTATTAAATACGGTCAATTCATGTACAGATTTTAATTTCTTTCTCTTATTGCAATTTTCTTCGTATTCCGTATTTTCCATCAAATTTTTATACCTCTGCGAGCACGATTTTACAGTTTTATTATTCTCTGATTGTGAAGAAAATGAATTTCGTTTGGAAATCCAACTGTTCCTATGTGTATCGTACGGAATATCTTCTTTTTCATAAGCAGTAATATTATCAATTTTCTGACTAGGCAATACAACAGAGTCTCTACCTTCGCAAATGCGATTTGTCCACTCTATGCTCAATTGATAGGTATCATAAGCACTATCTTCTTTAGGAGAATAAACGTCATTAATCTGATTCGGTAAAATGATAGGAATTTCATTGCGAAAGATCGAATCACACGTTTGTTGTATCGGTTTATTCGATTCCGAAGTTAATTGTTCTCTTAGCTGACTACAATTCTGTTTGTATGGCAAAGAATTCTCGTTAGATAAAGTAATGTCTAAAAAATTATTATCGCCTGAAGGAACAGCAAGATCATCTTTCGTTCCCAGGGAAGTTATCTTTAAGATATCGCTGCTTTCGGAAAATATTGACAATTTATCTGCCGATTCTTCATTGATAAGGTCGCTTTCTTCCAACAATTCATAGTCTTTCTCGTTAATATTGCCTTCAATTTCCAGAGAATCTCTGAACATGTCAGAGCCAGAGGAATATTCCTTGTCCGAATCTTGGACAATATAATTATTCACAGTAGTGCCCTGTTGCGTGCAAGTTTGCACATTGAAAAATCTTTCGAGGCTTTGAAATGAAGTGAAAACGGAAGGATTGTTTCGTTTTTGAGAGAAAATTTCAGTTTCTTGATTTATTTGTTCCGCATATGATGTACTATATTTCTCATTACACAACAAATCGATACTACTAAGAAATTCTGAATCATCATCGAAATTCGTATCGCTTTTCTGATTACTCAATGGACTGCTCAAATCTCCGTAATCATTTTCTTCAATACCACGCGATGAATCTTGATTGTAAGAATGAAAATCTTTTTCTAGAAAATATATTACATATGTATATGGTACATCACTTTAAATATGCTATTGTTAATAACTACATCATAATTTGTATCTTTTTGTAATATATAGAATATAGTTTATAAAAAAAATGTTAAATACCAAGACTTTGTATTGTTACCTGTATTCTTCCATTGTTTATAAAATACTAAATGAAATTGTTCTACGGGAATGGTTTTCATAAACAATATGGCTGATCTTAACCAAACTATACTTTGTACAAAATTTAAATCAGCTATACATTCTTCAGTATTATCCGATATCTTCTCAAAGGTTTGAGGTATATTCAACAAATGTTTACACCGATAACAATTTGTATTGTCACTGTCATTAGATCCTTGTAATTCTTTCCTAGTCATTTCTATCAAAAGATCTTCAACAGCACACGAATACGAGTTTCCATTAGCCTTTGATGGATTACTTGTAAAATTACCTGCATCGATATTTGTTAATATTTTATAATTGTCGAGCATAATTATTAAACTTAATTGTTAAAATTTATTAATGAAGGTAATAATTATCAAACAACCTAATTCGGATGAGTATTTCACGTATGCACGTTGTAATTCAGAAACAACGTTGTTTCGATTTTCAGCATGAAGTTTCAATTGCTTCTTTTCATTAACATTCTTTTTCATCTTGGACGTATCGTATAACGAGTATAACGAGTATAACGTATCGAATTATAAAATAACAACAGGAAACTTAAAACTGGTATATTTTTTAAATAATATATATAATTCGCAAAACAGCATTTTATAATGTTTCAATTTTGTATTTGATATAGATACAGCCGCGAGTTGACTTAAAAACAGTGCTGCCAATTATTGGCACGCTTCTCATTTTATACGCACATAATATATGCATCATAAATATCTCTATACTAATACATCAGTATTATTATGAGTTAAAATCAGGAAAATGATAGAAAATTAATACATACTACAATTATTATTTTTTAATATGATCTAATCTTTCTTCACTGACACTACTAAAACACGTAAATTGTTTAAAATATATAAAACACGTAACTTTATTTACAATAATTTCATTCCTTCAACGAATTGTTGTAAATAGCCTTGCATGAAGCAGTTCACGTGCTTCCGGTTTATCGATTGAACCGGTCAGAACATGGTAGTTTGGATCTGATAACCAGAACAAAGTGATTTTGATTTTAATATTGTTACCTGAAAAACATTTATTAATATTTTATTGTAAATATGAATTCCCTTACATCTGAATCCTTAACCGATAAAGAAAAAAATGAACTTATGCAACAAATTAAACAAGAAGTTGCCGTTGCAAATGCCCAAGAAATGCTTTCGGTACGATTACAGAAATATATTATATGAATTTAAAATGAATGAATAGCGTATATTTAATTTCGTATTTTCAGAAAATGACAGAGAAATGCTTCAAAAAATGCGTGATTAAACCTGGAACTTCTTTGGATAATACCGAGCAGGTAACTTATTCATGGAATGTACCATACATAACCTTAATATAAAATATAACCTATTTCTTTTGAATTTTTGAAAATATAAAATAAAGCTAAACATTTTTTCATTGTAGTAAAACTTATTGTAGTAAAAATTATTTAAACAGGCTAAAAATATAATAAATACTTTGTAAAATTGAGTGATAAAATATCTTTTTAAATTATACCTTTATAAAGTTGTTAGTCATTCTCTGTATAATATAAACAATTTTTTAGTCAATTTTTGTTAGTCATTCTTTGAATAATATAAACAATTTTTTAGTCAATTTTTGTTAGTCATTCTTTGTATAATATAAACAATTTTTTAAATGATATATTATTTTAAATAAGGAATATAAAGAAATTAATATAATTATTATCTATTATGAACAATTTTCATGTTCATTTTAAATAATTTATTCTTAAATAAATAAATTGTTTCTCGTGTATTAAGTTAAATTATATTGTCTATAAATTAAATAAAAATAAAAGACTATAATATTTGATGTTTAAGTATTCTGTTAATAATAGTAATTAATTTTAATTTATTTACAGAAATGTGTAGCAATGTGTATGGATCGATATATGGATGCATTTCATCTTGTTTCAAAAACGTACAGTACTCGAATACAGAGAGAGCATAATAGAATGTAACAGTACAAAATTTTAATAAATTGTTTCTGGTTGTACATTGTGTAATTATATATCAACTATTTTCCAAATATTGTTTAAGAAATATTAGAATTGTAATTATTATGTATATTTGTTAATAAATCTGTGTGTCATTTATAAATATTGAATAATTTTGTATATAACAGTATCACTTTTGACTAAGTTTTAAAAAAAAGTAGATTTTTATATTTCTAAAATTTTAAAAGTTAAAGATCAAATTTTACTGTTACACTGACACACTGCCACCTGTCTGTACAAAATGTTAACAAATAAATGAAGAGCTTGGATTTATTATCTCTTGTAATTTATTTAATGTACAAGCTTTCTCTTTTTATATATAGAATTGATCACATAAAGTGTTATAATCTCTTTTTGTTACAAACAAGTGTTCATGTTCATTTAAATAGCTTTCTTATAAAAACTTAAATAGCTTTAAAAGTCAGTCTATTTAAGTAGTGAAACTTTAAAAATTATCCCTTTATGTATACCCACAACATTAATGTTATATCCTCTCCATAATATCCTCTTTTTCCAGAATTACAGAATTAATAAATGATTAGGAATATATAAGGTTCAATGAAATTTAAGTTAGGATTGATTATAAGATGTAAAGTACACAATGATTGCAAAAGAGAAAAATCTTTATAAAATAAATAACATATACATGAATATTGTTACATCGTACTTCAAAATCATAAATAAGTAACTTAGGTATTTTGTAAATCCCGCAATTCCATAGTATGTATTTGCATTGTTTCTTATTCATACACACTAAAAGGCACAATATAGCTACCAATACGTCAACGTGGTTACAAAAATAAACCTTTAGCACTGTATGAAAAAATATTGTGAGTGATTTATCAATACTTCATCTGTTCAATTTGATATTATAAATTAGTAAATAACAATAATTACAACTATTTCATATCAATGTTTGCAAAATCTATAATTAATTCACATACTACTGCATATCTCATTATATCCCATTATATTTACAGATCGATACAGATCCTTCATAATATAACAAATCGATGTTATTAGTTTTACACATTTTTTCGTTATCAAAGAACAGCTGCAAAGATATATATATATAAAAAAAATTTATTAATATCTTTTTTAATTTTTAAAAATATATTTTCAACCTCTTTTATATTGTATTTACTTTTACGTCTGTTATGTAATATAAAATAAAAGATTACGTATTCATTATGTACCACTTATGTACATCTTATAAATTTTCCGAAGAGAAAACGGAAAAAAATATTTATATAAAGAGTGAATCAATAAAAATTGTTATCTAGTTATCTCATTATTTATTGATTTGATTAAAAAAGTTTTCGTACTTCAGATGATTTATTAATTCACTCTGTATATATTTATATATATAGCGAGATTTTTGTATATATTAAAATATATATAGAATATCTAATTTCATATTAATCAGCTTAAGATTAATTGAAATCAATTCCAAAATTACATAAACATAAGAATGTTATGTACCCTGCATAAAAAATGCTTATAAAAACATTTTCTAGTTTTGTCAGAATATAAAATAAAATTTGCTGATATAATTTGATAAGTTGTAAAACATTTCTTAATTTACTTTCTCCCTTTCTGTCTTATAATTAATGGTGAAAAATACTTATTATGTAAATTTCTTTACTAATACTAACAATACAACAAAAGTGCAATAATCTTAATAACAATGGAATGTATCTATTTTAGATTCTATAAAGTGTAGGAATGTTCAGTATCGTCCTGAAATTGTTTTTATAAAATTATATGTTATGTCAATATTAAAATGTAACCACGTTGATTGGTCAGGAACACACCTGCTTTAATATATACATAGAAATAAAAGCTGATTCAAACTGAGGGATTTCATTATATTATACTGTAAAAAATAAAAATTTTATGTTTTCAAATATAAACGATTTATGAGCAAATATATGTCAAAAAGTTTTCCATTAAAATAATGGAAAATAAGATATTTTTTAATACTATTGACTAATTTTTATAAAAATAATATATATCTTAATAGAATTAATCTTGTACAAATAGAATTTTGAAACACATTAATTAACTATGAAATCTCTTTGTTTGAATCATTTATAATATTTACTATTGATGATATTACAATAATCGTGTGCTACTAAAAATTTTGTGAAGGAAGCAGGCTGTAAAATTGCTACAAACAGATTTTGATTTGTCAAGCATCCAGTTGATCCATTATGAATTGTACTTAGTTATTGCATCTTATTTGGGGCATAGTATATTTATACCAATATGTTTATCAAGGTATTGGATTGCCCAAAAATTGAATTGCTTAATCTAAAGCTTCTATTAGTTATTTAAATATTACAATTCATGGATGCAAGAAAACATATAAGCACCTAATCTTTCATTGAATATCAACTTCAACTTTTATAAATACTTTTAGTTTCATGCGTTTAGCACCATTATCTTTGAAGAAAAATAATTTTATATATTTTTTAGGCAATCCATTTTTAGACGGACGATTTACTGATATTGCTATCAATATTATACCAGTAACTTTAGTTAAATGAGGTAATGACGCTCCAGTCATAAAATCAGACACAGGAATTATTTTGATAAGCATAACAAAATTGTTACAGAATTTTTTAGAAAGATATAACTAAGTATTCAACAACCATTAATGTAACTGATTACTTTTCGCTTTTTAAAGATATTTTAACATTGAGATAATTGATTTTATAAGTAATAATACTAGATATATTTACAGAATAACGTAGAAGGCAGTTTGTCTGAAAGTATACAACCAGAAATTTTAATATTATTTCTTTTTAATTTAGTTAATAATTTGAAATAAGAATGCAAAAGTATATTCACTTTAATTAAATAATATTTTTTATTTTTGATATAAAATTCATTTTTAATTTTTAAATAATTCCTTCTTACTATATTATAAAATTATAAATGTTTATAATGTGTATTTTATAAAAATTTTTTTTCTACGTAAGCCTTATTTTTAATAATCTCAATTATAAATATAATTTACTTTATTATAATAGCAAAAAATAATGGCAGTTCATCTGTTTAGTTATAATAATATTTGATATTATTTTACAAAAAGCTAAGTTTTTCATGTCACCAATGTAGATAAATATAGAATATTTCGATAGAATTTCTGTTTAAAAATTCTTAAATATTGTTAAAATAAAATTTATGATTTATAAAAATACATTTTTGATAAAAAGTTCTTATAAAATAGGGAAAATATGACATTTATAAATATATATTCAGACATTTCCCTTCTACGTTTTTTGTAGGAAACTTATAAGTATTGAGCCATAAACGGCAGTGCCATGTTAGAAATCAAATAATTTTGCAAATTTATAAATCCATAGCAATTTGCATTAATATACTTGATGCCCTGATATAGGATATTGAATATCAATGCTATAAATGAAATAACATTTTAAAATTCTTACAATAACTCTCTAGTGGTGCAATTCATGAATTACAGTTCCTTTGCACAATTTGCTGTAATACCCGTTGCAAAATTTGACATATTTTTATCCATGTTTATATCTTCAAGCTAGAATAGAATTATACATGCAAATATTCAAAGTATTTAAATATTATAAAGGAAATTATTTTCATACTGAAAATTATATGTCAAAGAATGAATTTAAATTCATATAAAGTTTTACTTACACACGATGTACTGCTTAGTATATCATTTATATCTTCAATTTCTTCACTTATATCCTCGCTATTACTATGAATTTTATCTTGTTTTTTCGTTTGTGATTTTATTGGACTATCTGATTTTTCAGGATTCTTAGAAGGACTTTGATCATAAGCACTACCAGATGCAGACGAAACAAAATCTTCTTCATAATTATCTATACCATCAGTTCCTGGAAATACCATGTTTATGATACAAAAAGTATAAAAAATATGTTACGATATGCAACAACCTACCAAGCCCAATATCCATCAATTCCTTTAAGTCATTAATATTAGTTTTTTTACCATTTAATGGCGGGAGATTACTAAGTATAGAATGTGATTTTTTATCTAAAGATGGTAAATCTTGTAAAAAGGTGTCTGTATTATGTATATCATTAATATTCTCTCTTTTTCCATCAACAATAATTTCTCCAAAGTATACAGTTCTTCCAAAACTGTTTCCAGTATTAACTGGTTTTCTGTTTTGTATATTATTTACTATTTGTAATTCCAAACTATTTATATTATTTTGCTTACTTATATCTTCATTTTGATTTGTTTGCATTTCAGTAACTATAGATTCATCAAACTTAATTAAAGGCTCGGTTTTATTTAGTAAACTTGTTTGAATGAGTGTATCTATCTCAGTCTCCTTTGTTGTATGATTCATCACTGTACTTGTGCCATTTGGACTTGTAACAAGTGTATCAAAATTCGTACTATTGTTCCCTTTACTATCAATTCCATCATTCTTTTCATTGTATTCAGAAGTTGTACTATTCCTGAGAGAATCATTTTGTATCTCACAATTTAACTCATCTATGGAAACACGAACAGATGTTTCTTTATTTTTTTTATCAGTTATTGTCACATTTATTGGAAGTTTTGGACTTTGCTGTGAAATGCTTTCTAATTTATCTGATACATCATTATCATTTGACAAAAATGTGGTTTCATTATTTAATACTTTTGGAATGGAAATTTCAAACGTGGTATTAGCAATATTTGTTGTTGTTTCAGTTGTACTAAATTTGCTGTCAGTTTCATTCTATAAAAATATTTATATATATATATATATACATAATTTGTTTATACAATCAATATTTAAATAATTTAATGTATAAATATTTTATTTTTTAAAAACAGGAAAATTAGGGATTATTTTGATTTAAATACCTTCTGTGTGTTATTAAAGGCACTATTCATGCTATTTTTTAAAATTTCTCCAAGTAATGGCTCATTAGATTCAATACCTAATTCTTCACATAATTTATTTCTTCCAACATAATTATATTCTTTTCCAAAGTAAGTTTCTGGATCATATACAGATATTGTATAATCAAGACCAAAATACTCTAGGAACTCCCTAACCAAGGAAAACAATAATTTTCCTTCTGAATTAGCCAGGTACTGTTTTACGGTTTTATTGAGAAGTGGTTCTGGATTCTGAAATATAAATTTTACGTAATGAAAACTTTATAACATAGAGGATATTTAAAAAAGCTGCAACTAAACATTAGCAGAAAATATTCATATATATTATTGTTTGTTAGGTGAACATAAAAAAAATATTAGTGGAAATGAAAGAACATCAATCTTGATCAACAGTTGAATTAATTTCTATAAAGTCTTTTTTAAATATTGATGTATACTTTGCTGATTATTATCTATAAAGCATATTTTTTTATTTCATGTCGCTGAATAACACCATATGTTCAAAATCAATGTCTTTATTGTGAGAAACATTATCAATGTTTATTTTGATAAATATTGAAGTTCAATTGCAATTTTTGTTTAAAATTTACTTCTATTATTCTATATATTTAAAGTCGTATAAAGAATCAATTTTTATATAAAAATACATTAAAAAAAGAAATTTATTTGTATTTATCTACTCTACAAAACTTTAACATACCATTACGGATTCTTGTTCTTCTAGAGCTAAGAATACGCTTGCCCTGAGTTCCGCCTATAACATCATAAAAAATTTTAGAATCAATTTAATGTAATTTTAATGAAAGAAAATCGTTTGACGAGATGAACATAACCTATAAAAAAAATACAGTTCTTAAAAAGATTTTCTATCATACCCGCACTTTTGCGAGAACACCATTATTTTCAAGGGTTTGCACTACCAAATCTCGTAATTCTGTGTCCTCCTCCATGGAAATATTTCCGTCTATCATGATTATAAATAAAAATTACTCTCACAAACACTCAAGAAATGTAAATATTTACGCTTTCCATCGCGTGTCTTCTTTTCAGATCTGTTTACCTAGAGATTATTTTTTTTCTATCTAGGGATTTTAAATACGGAAACTGAAAAAATTTTTATTTCTATTCAATTTTTGTTATAATCGTATAATTAATTGCTACTTTACATATTAATGTTTGTACATAAAATTAGAGCACATTATATAGTAGACATTGTGAAATAAATAACGTGTGTGGTAAATTGTAAATTAAATTATTAAATTTATTACTTAAAACGAATATGTCACAAAAGTATCAGTATTACCAATACCTTTTATTTGTTAATTAAAAGAAATTAAATTTATATAAAAATATTTTTTGCAATATTGAAAATTATTTGATTAATTAGAGAAATATTTTAAAAATATAATATTCCTATAGGATAATATTAAAACATACGTTTTAAATATCGGAAGTAACATAAGTTGCGTAATTTGAAAAAAATAAATTGAATTAAATTTCTTTTTATGTTGAATTTATACAATCAGTAACATGCTACAGTTTATTACATCAATTCTATTACACTTTAGTAGAATCGAAATTTGAATAATAGCAAAATTCACTTGCAAAATTATTTTGATGAGTTATGAAATTTCAAATTTTAACATTTAATAAAATCTTTCTGTCAATTCTTTCATATAGTGCCTCCAATGTAGGAATGAAGAATTAAGAATTTGAAAGTTGAATATTGATTGTCAAAAATGTCTGTACAAAACAATATTGTTTTGGCTAATTTGATTATAAGGGCAGTTTTTTCGAAACATTCATAAGAAAGAAATGGTGGATTAGCTATGTCCGAATAATAAAAATTTGACATATCTCCAAGTATATGTAAAAGAAATTTATAGTTGCGTAAAATCAGAATTGTATATTCTGAAACGTTCATCATATTTAAAAATAGTGACTGTAAAAAAAAAGAAAAAATAAATCATTAATATTGACAGTATATATGTAATATTTAATATTGTATAAATTATTATTAAATCTCTCACCACGGTTCTTTTTAAGTCTGTTATAAAGTATAGGATATAAGGTATTGCAATTTTTCCATTGTATTCTGTATACCATATAGCACAAGAGTATTTGTTGTTTTTTCATCATACCAAAATTGACTTAATTGCTAAAATTCAAATTAGTAAACGATTAAAAATGTTAATTATCTGATATAAAATTAATTAATAGAAGTTATATTTATATTATATGTTTTTTATATTTATATTATAAAATATTTTGTAAGTTACAAATTTACAAATGTGATTCGTTAAAAAATATTACTAATGTATTCAGTGAAAACTGACTTACCCAATTGTTATAAAAAAAAATTTTAATATTAACTTTTTAAAATATGTTTTGATTGATTTTTCCTTTCTTCTTTCTTCTTTTTAAAAAACTCATTTAAAGTAGCAAATGTTGCAGGACACAATTGCAAATCATTATTAGCGCTTTCACACATTTTTTTACATATATGTGTATATAAATACATTTAATTTTAAATATCAGATTTTATGTACCTGTTGGAAAAGCAAATAACCAAAGTTTTAATTGTATATGTACATATAATTTAACCAAATATTATTAATTTTAAATAATAAATAAAGCACATAACAAATAGATACACTTAGTATAATTGTTATTAATAATTAATCAAAGTTTAAAATATTGAAAGTAACATAAATCAAAAATACAATTTGAAAATAATGAATAACCGAAAGTTGAAATTTCTTTTTATATTGAACTGAATTAGTTACATAGAATACTACAATTTCTTTATTACGCTAACTCTACTACATTTTATGATAACATTTTATCAAAATCAAAATTTGAATAACAGTAAAATTCATTTGCAAGATTATTTTGATGATGAGGTATGAAATTGCAAATTTTAACATTCAATAATCTTTCTGCCAATTCACTCATAATAGCACCTGTAGGAAGCATAATAATAGCACCTGTAGTATAATGTAGGAATAAAGAATCAAGAGCTTGAAAGTTGAAAATTGATTATCAAAAATACCTGTACAAAGCACAATTTTCTTTTTGGCTAAGAATTTGATTGTAAGGGCTGTTTTTGTTAAACATTCATCAGAAATAAATGGTGGATCAGCTATGATCAAATCATAAAAATTTGACAAATTTCTAGGTACATGTAAAGGAAATTTATAGTTGTATGATATAAAATCGGAGTCATATATCCTGAAACGTTCATCATATTCAAAAAGGGTTACTGTAAAAAAGTAAATCATTAACATTAGTAGCAACATATTTAATAATATTAAATTACAAATAATGTATTTCTATACCTTGTCTCTCACCACAATTTTTCTTCAGTTTATTATAAAGTGTAGGGCAAGATATTAATGCAATTTTTCCATTATATTTTGTACATTGTATAGCACCTTTTACAAGAGTATCTGTTGTCTTTTCATCATACCAAAATTGACTTAGTTGCTAGAATTTAAATTATCAAACTATTAAAAATATCAATTGTCAAATTAATGAATAAAAGTTATATTTACAAAATATTTTATGTAATAAATGTTGTAAATTTACAAATAAATATAAATCACTAAAAAATATTACATTATGTAAAACAATCTATTTAATAAAAACTGACTTACCCAATTCTCATCAAAAGAAATATCTAAATTTTGATTTCCTAAAATATATTTTAATTGATTTTCTCTTTCTGCCTTTTCTTTAAGAAACTCATTTAAAGCAGCCAGTGTTGTAGGACACAATTGTAAATCATCGTCAGTGCTTTCACACATTTTTTACTAGTTTTTTTATATATATATACAAATGTATTTTATTTATAAATAATAATTTTAAGTGGTCAGATTTTATGTACCTATTGCAAGAGCAAACAATTGAGGTTTTTATTGTATATATGTATATGTACAACTTAACCAAATAAAATTACACGTGTAACTTAGCTTTAAATAATAAACAAAAGCACATATTAAGCATGCACCGTGTGGATCACTCCTAGGATAGATGACTAATTTATATTATTGTCCTTGTAGCATGCTATTTCTGTCCTTGTCTACCGCGCAAATATGTCTATCCTTGTCGCACGCTGTTGCTCTCCTTGTCTACCGCACAGATATGTCTGTCCTTGTCGCACGTTATCGCCCTCTTATCTAATGACGCTAGACAAGGAAAGCAATAGTGTGCGACAAGGACATCCTTCGATCTATTGAAAAAAATATTCAACTTTTTACAAACACGTTTTTTCTAGGACAAAACACACATAGAAAGAACGCGGCGCTAGTGTTTCTTACCCCATAAAACAGAGAAATTTTCATTTGCGAAAAAACCTAATTTAGCGAAATGAATTATGAACTTTTTTGATAGTATTACCCTAATTAGACCTTTAGCTTTTTTTTCATACCCCATTTCTCCCGTAAAATGCAGAAATAAGTATTTTTATAAATAATTAGTACCGCTGAATTACCGCTAGATGGCGCCATCATGTCCATTTTGTGACAATTCGTACTAATTACGAAAAAAACCTAATTAAGAAGAATAATTTGCGAACTTTTTTATATGCCTCGTTAAAATTAGGCTTTCTTCCCGCTTTCTTTCTATGTGTGTTTTGTCCTAGAAAAACGTATTTGTAAAAAGTTGAATATTTTTTTCAATAGATCGAAGGATGTCCTTGTCGCACACTATTGCTTTCCTTGTCTAGCGTCATTAGACAAGGAGGGCAATAACGTGCGACAAGGACAGAGATATTTGCGCGGCAGACAAGGAGAGCAACAGCGTGCGACAAGGACAGACATATACGCATGGTAAATAAGGAGAACGATAGCGTGCGACAAGGACAGACATATTTGCGCGGTAGACAAGGAGAGCGATAGCGTGCGACAAGAACAGACATATTTGCGCGGTAGACAAGGAGATTATTGAGTTATTACAGTTGAATTCGATAAGAATATATTTAATTTCATACAAAATATAAAAATAATAATATATCAAATTTTACAATTTGTTTTGCTCTGGGGATTACGAGAGATGTGATTGTAATTATAGAAGATAAGAAATTAATTTTTTTTATAGAAAGATTCATTTAGGGTGGTTCACGTGAAATTTATTTTATATCTAAACAAGTTCAAATATGTTTCATTGCGTTTATGGTATTAATAAATACACATTTAATATAATTATTAATGCTAATACTTCTACATTTTCAAGTTATCACATTTTCTCCAACAAAATATAAAAAAGTAAAACATAATTTTGATAGGTTGTAAAAGATAAAGATAGCAATAAATATGTAAGTTCTAATACTTGGAAAGATACAACAATTCATTTAATAAAGGTTACATACTTTATCGCGGTATTGCCCCAAAATTCTTGTATTTATCAAGCACTTTTTTACCAAGTATCCTATACACGTATATGTTGTACGTGTTTTGTTTTCCGGCTTCTAAGATCATACTAAATTAGATATTGAAGGAAAGAAGAAAAGATGACGATGGAATCACAAGATGACATAAAATTATTTCAATCTATTGGTTTAAGTGAACAAAAAGCTAAAGAGACTCTAAAAAATAAGCAAGTTTCTAGTAATTTAAGACTTGCTATAATAGAGGTTAGTTATTTAAATAGGCATATTTTTTAAATTACTTTTCTAATTGTTTAATGATGCAAATATGAATTGTACATTGTAAATTTTTATATTTATTTATAATTAAGAAAAATTGATTTTGCAACATATTTTATACTCTTGTAACGTTTCATTGAACCATATGTGTTATGTTTATAGGCTAATAAGTATGGAATTATTTCCTCAGAAATTGGAATTTTGTTATATCATCTTGCTTCAAAAATTAAGACTCAAATTGCAGATAAATTACCATTTCTTGCTCAATACATAGCTAAAAAGAAATTAGATACGACTCAAAGATTGGATACCGGGCTAAATTATTTACTTAATCGAGTTGAAGGAAATATTGATGTATCTGATTTTGAGAAAGAATGCGGTGTAGATATTGTTATATCTCCAGAAGAAATAGAATATGAAGTGGAAAAAGTAATAAGTACACATAAAATGGAAATAGTAGAGAAAAGGTATACGTGTAAACTTAATACTAACATTCAAAATTTAATATTCATATTGTTATGAATTTTTTGTATTTTATAAAATAAAATATTATTCCATAGGTATCATTTTAATGTTGGTCCGTTGATGCAACAAGTGCGTAATATTTTAAAATGGGCAGATGGAAAAGCAATAAAAAATGAATTTGATGTTCAAATGCTTGATTTGTTAGGTCCAAAACGTGATTCTGATCTTATACCATTACCTAAACAAGCAAAACAAATGAAAGCAACAAAGTTAGAAAAAGAGAGAAATAAATCTGGTGCTGAAACTGGCACTATACCAGCAACAAATGAGAAAATAGGTGCTCAGACAATAAGTGAATTAATGAAAACTAAAGTTCATTTTCATAAACCAGGTGAAAATTATAAAACTGAAGGATATATTATAACACCAAATACACATAAATTACTTCAAGAACATTTGAAAGTAACAAATGGCAAAGTAATAACTAGATTTCCACCAGAACCTAATGGAATTTTACATATTGGTCATGCAAAGGCAATTAATATTAATTTTGGGTATGCTATAAATTATATATATATTTTAATATCTGATCTTTCTTTATATGATGATTATATTTATATAATCAGTATCATTTCTGCAGTTTTTGAATTATATCTTAAGCAGTAATTTCATTGTAGATATGCAGCAGCCCATAATGGAATATGTTATTTACGTTATGATGATACAAACCCTGAAAAAGAAGAAGAAAAATTTTTTGTTGGTATTCGTGAAATGGTAGAATGGCTTGGTTATAAACCAGCTAAAATTACCCATTCTTCTGATTATTTTCAACAATTATATGAATGGGCCATAGTTCTTATTGAAAAAGGCTTAGCATATGTCTGTCATCAATCTAGTGAAGAAATAAAAGGTTTTAATCCACCTCCAAGTCCTTGGCGTGACAGACCAATTTCAGAAAACTTACAACTATTTAATGTAATAATTATTTCTTTCAGATAAATTAATATCATAAAAAATTTTAAATTATATCATGAAATATTTCAATTAACTTTATAATACTTTTATAATAGGATATGAAAGATGGGTTACTTGAGGAAGGTGAAGCTACATTACGAATGAAAGTAACATTAGAAGAAGGAAAACAAGATCCAGTTGCATACAGAATAAAATATAGTCCACATCATAGAACAGGGGATCAGTGGTGTATTTATCCAACTTACGATTTTACACACTGTTTGTGTGATAGTATAGAAAATATAACTCATTCTCTTTGCACGAAAGAATTTCAATCAAGGAGATCATCTTATTATTGGCTTTGTAATGCTTTAGACATTTATTGTCCTGTACAGTGGGAATATGGTAGATTAAATGTATGCTATACAGTTGTTTCTAAGAGAAAAATCAGTAAGTTAATTGAGGAGAGTATTGTATCTGATTGGGATGATCCAAGGTATTTTTTAATATCATATAAATGTAAAAGTTTATTATATTAATATACTTGAAAACATAAATGTTTAATATTTATTATTATGTATATTTTTTGTAGATTATTTACATTAACAGCTCTTCGTAGACGAGGTTTTCCGCCTGAAGCTATAAATAATTTTTGTGCACAGATGGGTATAACTGGTGCTCAAGCAATTATTGATCCAGCCGTTTTAGAAGCATCTGTTAGAGATGTTTTAAATTTAACTGCAAGTCGACATATGGTAGTTCTAGAACCATTAAAAGTAACCATTAGTAATTTTCCTCATGAAAATGCTATAAAACTAACAGTTCCTAACTTTCCTAATGAACCAGATAAAGGACAACACGACATTGTTTTTGATGAAATTGTATATATTGAAGCATCTGATTTCAAAGAGGTATATAATACTTCATTCAGTTTAAAGATTTATTATTATTTCATTAAAAATGTCGTTATGTATTTACAGAAAGCGGAAAAAGATTTTAGACGTTTAACACTAAACCAATCTGTTGGTTTGAAGCACGTAGGGGTAGTATTAAAAATCAAAGAAATCAAAAAAGATAATATGGGTAATATCGTAAATCTGATTGTTACACAAGAACCCATCTGTGAAACTAATAAGCCTAAAGCTTTCATACACTGGGTATCAAACCCTCTATTAGCATCCATTAGATTATATGAGCGTTTGTGAGTATTAAGTTTATATTAACATAATAATTTATTGTTATTGATACAATAGTTATAATTTTTTACTTATTTATATTATAATGTTTAGATTTAAACATAAAAATCCTGAAGATCCTAATGAGGTGCCAAATGGTTTTTTGACTGATATTAATCCATATAGCAAGAAAGAAATTGTTGGATATATTGATGCAAGCTTGGCAAATTCGGCAAAAATTTTTGAGAAATTTCAATTTGAACGTATTGGCTTTTTCTCTGTAGATCCAGACACAACATCAGAAAAGGTAATTATAACCATAATATAAATATTAATATTATTACTAATTATATCTATTTTTTTTATAGCTTGTTTTTAACAGAACAGTAACATTAAAAGAAGATACAGGAAAAGTGTAAATAAAATTATATGCATTCAAATTCACATTATGTATGGTTATGTATGATATATATTATATATGTTTTGTATAATATTTATAAGTATTAATGATGTTTAAGATAATAGACATCTTTTTATACTTCTAAAATTTTACAGTTTAAAATTATTATTAAATGAACAATAAATAAAAAATATTTAATTCATCATGCAAGATTCATATGTAGGAATCATATATTTAATATTTATAAAAGCATCTTCACCTCCATATATTTCAAGCAATGCAAGAGTTTCTTGTATTATATCTGCGACGTTTTCACCTCTTTGTTGTGAGTAATCAATACCTTCTCCAAGATTCACTGAAATAAAATTGAACTTGTATCATTTTTATCAATTACAATAAATTAAAATCTTACCATTTCTATCTTTTAATAAATTAAGTACTGGTAAGATTTGTCTAAAGTATGGTACTAAAGCTTCTCCAACACAATCTGCTGAACGTACAAGATGTTGAATAGCTCTCAGTGTTGCACATATAACTTCTGGCATTTTTGTATTTAAGGCTTCTATAATAAACAAAAATTTATAAAATCATACAATTTGTAAAATTATTTATCTAAAATAAAAAATAAGTTACTTTTAATGGGAATTATTAATTGTGGCACAACAGGTAAAATTTTAGGACCACCATGTTCTAACATATCAGATATTCCTTGTTCTACTATGAACTTAATTGGTTGTTCAGTTTCTGTTAATCCATCAAAAAATAATGGCAAATAATGATGAAAATCTAAATCTTCGATATTAACTTTCCAGCTAAGTTTTATGCCGTAACTATCCTTTTCCAATGCAACTGGAAATACACCCCATTCATAAAATTTTCGAAAAGTTGATGGTTTAGGTGGTTGTGGTTTATATAATTCATATCGAGGAGGCTTTTCAACTATAGTGTTTTCCTAAATATATTATAAATAGATATTAAGCCACGTAAATATAACTTTTACAATATTGAAATATTACCTGTAAAGCTTGAATAGTAAAAGCAGGAACAACTCTGGGTTTCTTTTTTTTATGTCCTGATAAGTCCTTCCGGATTTCATTCCAAAATTTTGTTTCATTTACCATTTCGATACGCTTTTCTTACGTTAATATTTAATCAAAAATTGATTTGACAAATAAAATATTATAGAATATATTACACAATTTTATTTATTAAAAAGATACTAAAATTGTAAAACCGTTACTGTATTTAATATTGTTGATTCGTTTTAGACATACTATATTACAAATAATTTAATATACAACAAATATGGATCAAACATGTTCCCTAGCAACAAGTACACATCTATATTTAAAGATATATGCATATATTTTTACCTTATCTATTAAAATTCTTCATTTATGCATATTAAATTCTTTTCTACAAAGTATATAATAATTAATTTACACTTTTGTAACTTTATTGAATTGTGGATCATCAAATATCAAATCTCTCTTCATCGGTTCATCTTTATCAGCTGTGTTTTCATTAATAAGGAAAACATATTAAAAATATATTAAAATAGAAACTAATGTAAAATTGAAAAAAATGTAAAATATATAAAATTGAAACTAATTTCTTTGAATTTAAAGAAATAAATTTGAAAAGGATATTTGTGAAGTAATTTGAAGATTCCCGTTCCTACAGGAACTGGAATACCCATTATTATTGATTCAGACACGCCGCAAATAACGTCCTTCTGTCCATAATAAGCTGCATCAAATAGATGATCGGCTGTTTTCTCAAACTGTTAAATAATTATTTATTAGTATGTAACATTTAAATATAATATAAAAAATATAAATATATTTAACATTTTACCGAAGCTAAATTTAGCACCGATTCCTTCATTTTAGCTAAACCTTGTCTTGTAATACCTAGAACTTCTCCCCTACTAGTCATTAAATCTGCTACAAGCATTGGATGTCTTCGATCAATACTCATTCCATGATTTTCCATTACTAATTTGATTTCTGTCATTATAGTTGCCCTTGCAGCCTCAATTCCTAGTGTTTTGAAAACCTAAAATATTATTTATATAGTTGACAAGTAAATAAAAAAATAAATTTTGTATTTACCTCAATAGTATTGTTTGAAGTGGTATTTTTGCCTAAAACGCCAGGAGTTGCCATCACTTCTCGCATATTATCTCCTTCTACAAACAATTTATATTTTGTTTTACCACTTGAATCATCATTATGAATTACAGCTCTAGAAACTGATGGTAAGCCCTGCAAATTGTACAAGAGCAATTTTAAAATTAAATATATTTATTCATAATATGTGTATTTTTATGATTTACCTTTACAACAATATTTGGAATCATCTCTTTAAGTAGTGAGAGACCTGTATTTAAGCTGTATTTAGTTTTATTTGGATTTACAGTGATGATAGAATCTCCTCTCACAGTTACTAATTTTGGAGTCAGTTTCAATTTTGATGTACAAATTCTGTATAAATTAAATGTATACTACTTTATGTTAGTTTTTGTTATGAAATACTCTATTTTATGTTACAAGTATAAAGTGATACACTTACGAATAACGTATGGAGTTAACATCTACTTCTAATTTTAGTAATTTTATTCTATCAATATCTAACTTAATCAATAGAAAACAATCATCTGGTAAATAAACTTCTTCAATATACTCTGTCACTTCTCCTAAAGTAGTTTTTTCAATTCTGCCTTTTACTTTTCTAGCAAATTCCGGATCTGTATCATTTTCCTAGTATCAAAATGAAACAAGGAATGAAATATATTCATTTTTTGCATACATAAAATTTGAGATGCATTATAATATATTTAAATAGAGAACATACTAAAGCTGCTGTGATGATCGGAGTACTAATTTTAGGATTTGCATTAATAATTTCTTTAATACGTGGTACACCTTGAGTGATATTCATAGATGCTACACCCGCAAAGTGAAATGTTTTTAACGTCATTTGTGTACCCGGTTCTCCAATACTTTGTGCGGCAAGTGCACCTACAGCGGTACCTGGTTCTATCTTTGCTTTCATATATTTTTCTTTACAGGTATGAATAAATTCAACTAACTGGGAAACTGTGAGTCGTTCAAGTTGAAAAATTACAGGTATGTTTAATGGAGTATTATGTCGAAGACGTACTATTTTACGACCTACACTTTTGAGGAATGTGCTACAAGAGTAAGTAATATTTAATAATTTCTTTTTAGTAATATTTAACTGAAATAAATGCTGTACTCACGATAATTCTTGTTTAAATTCTTCACTGAGACATTCATAATCTTTAGAATTTAATAATTCGAATGTAGCTTTAATTATATCAGGACCATCTAGCGGTTCCTCATTTTTACATGGCGATTTGGCTCTTACATGATCTAATATTCTCTTATAATCTACTGGGCAGTCTTTTCCTGTTAAAATAATTATTTTAGTATTTCACAGTGAATATTATAAATAATATCTTACCTTCCATGTATGTGGGATCTAAACCATCACCACCATACAATATTTGTACAATATCTCCCACTGAATTACGAACTGTCATATCATAATGAAGGCACAGATCTTCTAAACTCTTCACCAATCGTCGTTGCATGTAACCAGTTTCTGCAGTTTTAACTGCTGTATCTACAAGACCTTCTCTTCCACCCATTGTATGAAAGAAAAATTCGGTTGGTGTTAAACCAGAATAAAATGAGTTTTCTACAAAACCCTTAGCTGCAGGAATCTTTGAATGTCTTTCAAAATGTGGTAGAGCTCTATCTTCAAATCCATTTGGAACTCTATGACCGCTAATAGCTTGTTGCCCCACACACGCTAATTAGAATGAAAATATTAAAATATTAAACAAATTATAATTCAATAATAAAATATTTTTTGTATACAGATATTACATATGTATATACATATATATTGATAAGCATACCAATCATTTGAGAAATATTAATAAAGCTTCCTTTACTGCCAGATAATGCCATAATTAATGGACTGTTGCTTGGATGAAGTTCTTTTAAACATGCTTTACCAGCATGATCACGAATTACTGAAAGTTCCTTTAATATCATTGCCTCTAATGTTTCTTCCTCTGAACAACCAGGTTGACATATAAGACGTCCTTCTTCCATTTGACGAATGTATTCTGTACATTTAGAATACCTAAACCATAATTTTAAAAAATAAATCTATATTATTTGTAATATTTAAGACTCTACACTTACCCGGCATTTAGAAGTTCTTCTTTAGCTTTAAGAAGTGTCTGTCCAGGTGTAACATCCCCAATACCAATAGAAAAACCTCTATTCATAAGAAAGAAACTTGCCAATCTTGCCAGTCGCCACATAGCTGTTGTTGCAATATCTTCACCCCAATCACGTAGTAGGATATAAAATATGTTCTGTTTTGATCCTGAACCTAAAGTTGATTTGTCCATGGTTCCTGCTAATAATTCTGAATTCCGTATAATAACATCTGCAATTTGCATCACTTTCACTATTATCCTACAGTTTTAAAAAATAATTTATTATTATAAAATTGTATGCATTAATAAAGTATACGCACAAGAATCATTAATGCATAATTCTTCGTTAGCAGTGTAAGCCCGTCCTTTAGTTTTTAAATTAGCTTTAATGTTACAAGTGTTATTAGGTTTTAAAATTAAACTAAAGATTTGTTTTCCTGTCCATAGCATAGTTGGCTTTAAAATAGCTGGTTGAGGAAGGTTTATAGACATAGCAATATCAGGTCCTGCTAAAAGACAACCAGCTAATGCGTTTGCTTGAGCTTTATTTAAAAACATGTCCTTCTGTGTCAAAAGGTATCCGCCAGTAATAAAATCCTGCGTTGCAGCTATTAAAAGTTCTCCATTACGTGGTGTAACTAAATTTGATTTATTCTAAAAACAAGCAAATAACAATATATAAAATTATTGTAGTTTATACATTAACACAATAAAATATAGTTAATATAAAATTTTTATATTACCCCCATTAAAATTAAAGCTTCTGCTCTTGCTTCTTCAGTTTGAGGAAGATGTAAATTCATTTCGTCGCCATCGAAATCAGCATTATAGGGTGTACAAACACATTCATTAAATCTAAATGTTCTATGCTCTAATACTTTTGCTTTATGTGCCATAATACTTAATTTATGCAAAGATGGTTGTCTATTGAATAATACTACATCGTCGTCTCTCAGATGTCTTTCAACAATGTCACCATACTATTGATCAAAATATATATAATTATTTGCAGGCCAACATGAAGTATTATTGGGAAGCTTAGATTAGTGTGTGTGTGATTTTGGTTGTAACATAAAAATCAATGTAAAATTACCTGTAAATCTTCAGCAATTTTTTGTCGATTACCATATCTTAAGAATTTTTTAAATTGTGTTTTTCCCTGTTGTACGAAATTTGCACCTGGGTGTATATCTGGACCATTTCTTACAAGTTTCCTCATTAGTTCTATATTTGATGGATTAACTTTCTCGGGATACGTTAAAATTTTGGCGACATGAATGGGTACACCAACCTAAGAAATATAAAACATATGTTATTTAAATGTTTAGAACCATTTATTAATAATTCACTACAATAATATTATTATTAAATAAACACTGACTTGTTCAATTCTAAGATTAGGATCTGGTGAAATAACAGTACGACTAGAGAAGTCCACACGTTTTCCAGATAAATTGCCACGAAAACGACCCTGTTTTCCTTTTAATCTTTGAACCAATCCTCTTCCTGATTTTTTTGGCTAAGATTTTCAACGATTTATTACTGATTTCAAAGCAAAAAATAAATTCAATAATTCTTTGTAACTTACTTGCATGTTAGCGGGTATACCAGACATTTCACTATTTATATAAAGAGCACAATGTAATTGTAAAAATTCCCAATCTTCACTGTACATTTGTACTTTAGCGCCACTTTGTCTATGTTTCTGAATAACATTATTGATAAAAACTATTTCTGATAATTTCATAGTTAAATGGTCTTCTGTTGTACCAGCTTTTATATCAGACACAACACTGGGTCTAATACAAATTGGTGGGACAGGAATTCTTGTTAATATTAAATCTTTTGGTAATGCACACTCTGTATTCATCATTAATAAGGGAATGTCACTTTCTGGTATTTTTTCCAAAATGCTTTGTACCTTAAAGTATATTGTTTTATAAAAAGAGAAAATGATAAAAAAAATATTACAAATGAATTTTCTTTTTTACCTCTAAAGGATTTAATATATTGACCAATCCACTTTGAAGTATTCCTTCTAATGCTTTATTATCCTCAAGCACATTGCTATATTCTGCTAATTTTTCTTGAACAATGGTATCTATTTTTTTCTTTGCCTTATATTTTTCATGAACTATTTTAAGTAAACTAGATTTTTTAACATTTCCATTAAGAGCTCCACAATGTTGACAAACTGTTACTTTTTTAGTTTTATCCAAAATTTGTTTACGTAATGCTTTACGTACTAGGTATCCCAAATTAGGATTTAATACCTTAGCTAAATAATTTCTTTTGTCTGCTTTAGATAGCAAAACATGAGAACAATTCTATAAATTAAGATGTTATAATTATCAATCAATTTATATTTGATCAATTTAACGTTAAATAAAATAAATGGTAAATTACTTTGCAAATAGTTTGAAGAATACCAATGATGCATTTAAAATAACCAACATGAAAAACAGGCAATTCCAAATCAATGTAACCAAAGTGTCCAATGCACTCACTTAAAGTTTTGCCACATGATGCACAATTGGTGGTATTATTGCAAGTTCCCTTGAGAACATTAATATTAATAATTATTTATAAAGAACGTATTATAATATAATATATAAAGAAGATTTTCATATATTGTAATTACCATCCTCTTATCAAGAACTCCATATGGAACTGGAGTATGTTCAACATCCTGATTGTATAAATTTTTTGCCACAACATGTATATGGGCTTGCCTTTCCATGTTGTGGCGGCTGTCCACTCCAAATGATACATGAGAGCTAAAAAGTAAATGAGTAAAGTTAAAGAAAAGCAAGACATACCAATTAAATATAAAAGCGTTATTATTATTTTATTTTTTACTATTATTATTTCTTGCTTATTATTATTTAATGTTTTCTATTTCCAAAAATTCAATTAATCAGATAAATAGACCAAATTATCAGATTATAAGATCTATTATATATTATAAAATTTATATATTTTTCTAAACATAATGAAAGCAATTTTAAAAAATCCATGAAAAAGTGAATTAAAGTAATTTCATACATACATTTTTCGGGCTACGTCTGTTTCTCTAAATTGTTCCTTTACCATCGTGAAGGTTATTTCTTCACGTATGATATATTATATGAGTACTGCAAAATATAAATTTATATTTACAAATTAATAATAATTATATTAAGCAAAATAAACAAAGTAAATAAATCTTTAACTACTGCACATTACCTTTCCACATAAATTACCAGAGGCAAACCGAGAACTCTTGAAACACGTGTTGTTCTCTTCTTGTGCTGCCCTCTCGAATTTGATAGTTTTATACATACAATCTCATAGTGCATGTCAATTGAACTAATCAATGCTAAAATATTTGCACAAGATTCTCTTACAATAGTTCAACATTCCATTTTTTTTCCGCTAAATTAATCTTCATTCTTTTCTTTTTATTTCCTATAATAGACATTGTATATAAATAGTTTTAGATTTATCTGTATTCGAAGTTACATGTGTATGTACACACGTATTTACGTATCACATATCTACAATAGTATATATCGCGAAAGCGCGCGCTGATGTGATGTGTGTATTGGAGTAATATTCTTGCATCTCTTTATTTGTTAATTTTTATCGTATGAAATATCATTCAGTTAATTTAGATACTGTGCCTCTATCAAATTGAGATACGTTTGAAAGATGTCAAAAGTAAGTTTCGAAATTCTCAACGAAATTCCAACGATTGAGGTTAAACGCATTTGTTCCCATTACATTTTAGAATTACATTATTGAAACTAGAATTCTGATTCCGCAGTTAAATGCTTTCTGTTTCTTTTTAGGATATACGATCCTATTTTCAACCTGTTAAAACGAGTTCCAATGTCGCTCCGACGAAACCTACCAAAAGACGGATTATTTCGTCTGATGAAGATGAAGACGAGAAACCTCAGTCTCCGCTTAAGCGGTCCAAGGTTTTTCAATATATTTATTTATCATGATTTAACTTTTCAAAGTTACCCTTTTTTTAAAACGAAACAACTGCGATATTTGTTCCAATAATTTTAATTCAATGTGATTATTTATAGAAAACAAAGACATCGGAGAAGGAGATAATTAATTCTGATTCCGACAAAAACATTAAAGTTCTTTCTCCTTCTGATATGTTTGGTAAAACACCAGTAAGCAGGCAAGAAGCACCTAAAATATCTAAACAAAAGAAGGTAATATGTATACAGGGTGATGGCAAATGATAGTTTCCAAAAGAAATAAATCATTTGCTTTAACTAAAATGAGAAATTGTTTATAACTTTGAGACTGTTAATTTTTTAGTGTATATTTATTAGATCTTTTTTCTTTCATTTCATATGAACTATCTATTCTAAAATTTTTGAACTGTTTTTTTTTTTAAGTATATTGATTTTATCAAATATTATAGAAATCTGTAAAAGCAGCTGGGATATCTAAATCGTTACAAAAGAAGGTGATGATGAATTTTAATAATTTTAATAATGTTATAAAGTAATTATATATATATTAATTTTATTCAATATTGTAGGAGGCTAAAGGTCATAATGATGATGATTTTGAAGCTACTTTATGCCAGTTAGATACATCTGATATTGAACAGAAATATTTAAGTGAGACTAAAGTTGATGAAGGTATTAGTATAAGCAAATTGCAATAATCAATATATCAAATTTAGCGTTAATATACTGTATTAATATATTATTTTTTTATATTTATAGATTCTCAATTATCTGAGAGCAGTGTTGAAAATAAAGGAAAGTCACCTGTTAAAAATGAAGAAAATGAAAAGAAAAAAACATTTAATAGATCAAATCAACAAAAAGATAATAAGAGACATGAATTAAAGAATAAAAAACATTCTAGTAGTAGTTCAAATGAAGATATTGAACATAAGAATTCCAAACGCAATAGTAAATCTAGACAGAAATCTAAAACTTCTACTATTTCTAAGATGCAAGTTGAACATAAAGAAACAAAGAAAACTTCTCCCAAAAAGATAGACACTTCTGATATATATGAAGAAAAAATTGAAAAAAGGAAACAACATGTTGCGATGTATCAGCAATATCTTCAAAGAGGTGGAGCCAGAAATCCAGGTTCAAAAGAAATCCCTGTTGTATGTAGATAATATCACTTGTAAAAAATTTTTTTTCATGTTTTAGTATATATGTAAAAGACAAAAGTAATTAAATTTCAGGGCGCTGAAAATTGTCTGGTAGGATTGAGTTTTGTAATAACTGGTGTTTTGGATTCTTTAGAAAGAGAGGAAGCTGAAGAACTTATTAAAAAATATGGCGGACGAATTTTACATCAAATTTCAAAAAAGACTGACTATGTTATAGTAGGTGATCAAGCTGGTCCTACAAAATTGTCGAAAGTAAGTATATAAATATTAATATTTAAGTTTTATTTAGACTGATTGTATTATACAAAAAATTCAGTTTGCTAATGATTTAAACTAATGATTAGGCTAATAGCTTAAACATAAAAAAAATATCAGAAGATGATTTATTAGAGCTAATACGAACAAGACCTGCTGGTCAGTCTGATAATGCGAAGCAATCTCCTGTAAAATCAAAACAGAGATCGAAGAAAAGATCGATAGAATCAGATGAATCATCACCTTCAAAGAAAATAAAAATTACATCAAATGAAGAAACAAAAAAGACAACAAAAATATGTTCACCGCGCAAAAAAGAACATAGTAATAAAGAAATCGAAGATTCCTTAAAAGTATCACCACAAATACAAGAACTTGATGATAAAGATACAAAAGTAAAACCTTTGATTGAGAAGCAACATAATGAACATAAAGAATCGGTTGTACAAAATAAAATAGAGATAAACGATATAAAAGATATAAAAATACAAACGGACACTTCACAAGATGTAAGGAATAATAAATAAATAAAATAATGTTAATTTTTTTACTAGTTTTACATTAAATAAAATAAAAATTTTATATTAAATTTTTTTTTTAGGTAAATGGAAACATACCAGTGCAAGCATTGGTTGAAAAATATAGGCCAAAAACTATGAAACAAGTACTAGGGCAACAAGGAGACAAAAGTAATGCTAAAAAAATATATAGTTGGTTAGCGAATTGGCATAAAAATCAAAGTGGTCAAGTGAAACATATAAGACCGAGTAATTATTTTATTTTTCATGTATAAAACATTTCTGGTATTTAATACAATTTAAACTTTTACTAATTTTGTTTATGTTAGGTCCTTGGGCAAAAGATGATAATGGAGCTTTCTTCAAAGCTGTTTTGTTATCTGGTCCTCCTGGAATTGGGAAGACTACAACTGTCCAAGTTGTTTGTAATGAGTTAGGTTTTGATCTCATAGAATTTAATGCATCTGATACTAGAAGTAAAAAGCTTTTGAAAGAAGAAGTATCAGAACTTTTATCTAACACTACGTTAAAAAATTATTTTCAAGGTATATTTATTTGTAAACATTTTTAAAATAGCTAATTAAATTTTTGTTGACATATATTTTATTTTATAATAATAATATTATAGATGTTAAAAATAAACCATCATTGAAACACGTGTTATTAATGGATGAAGTGGATGGAATGGCTGGTAATGAGGATCGTGGTGGTCTACAGGAATTAATTAATTTGATCAAATCAACTGATATACCTATTGTTTGCATTTGCAATGATCGAAATAATCCTAAAATGAGAACGCTTGCTAATTATACGTTTGATCTTCGTTTTCCAAAACCTAGATTGGAACAGATTAGGGTAAAATAACATCGAATTCAAAAAAATACTTCATTATTATTATTCATTATTTGATAGCTTTTTTTTTATATACAGGCTGCAATGAAATCTATATGTTTTAAAGAAAATATTACAATTTCAAATGAAGATCTTGATCGTTTAATCGAATCAACTAATCAGGATATTCGTCAAGTTATTAATCATTTGGCATTATTTGTTGGGCAAACTGGTTCTCAAAAGAAAAACGAGAAGAAACATATAAACAAAGATTTGAAATTGGGTCCTTGGGATGTTGTAAAAAAAGTATTTTCCGTAGAAGAACATAAACACATGAATATAAATGATAAGAGTGATTTATTTTTTCATGATTACAACATAGCACCATTATTTGTGCAAGAAAATTATTTACTAGTTATACCGCAAGCTCCAAAGTATGTATTTCTGTAAAATGATATATTTATTCCTTTTTGTATGAATTACACAATTTAAATTATTGTCGTATATGTCTGAAATTATAAAAAAATATTCATAGTATTTAAAAAAAATTAATATTAGACAAAAATTTTTTTACATTAATTTCAGCATTATTTACATTTAACGTTACTTTTATATTTTTATACAGAAATAAATTGTTAGAAAGGATAGCAGAAAGTGCTGAAAGTTTAGCACTAGGAGATATAGTTGAAAAATCTATAAGAAGTAATAATGCTTGGTCTCTTTTACCAGTACAAGCTTGTTATTCTTCTGTAATTCCTGGAACAGTAATGTCTGGTCACATCGGTAGTCAAATTAGTTTTCCAGCTTGGCTTGGACGTAATTCAAAAGCTGGTAAATTTAATCGGTAATTTTATAGTTAATAGTTTTTTCTGTCAATTATTATTGTATTATTATATAAAATTCTTAATGATATAATTTGCAGTTTAATGCAGGAAATTACTTTACATGCACGTTTGGCTACTAGTGCAAGTAAGGAAGCTATAAATTTAGATTATATTAAATCTCTCAGAGATACTATTATCAGACCTTTAGTAATTGATGGCATTGAAAATGTAAATGCAGCAATAGATGTTATGAACAATTATCACTTACTCAGGTTAATATTTCGTTAAAACTTATTATATAAATATTTTATAGTAAATGTTTTATAGTATTAATTTTTGGCGTTAAACTTTATTGTTTTTGTTATTAATAGGGAAGATTTAGATTCTCTGGTAGAAATTTCTTTGTGGCCTGGTGATCGTGATCCATTTCAAGTTATAGATAGCAAGGTATGTTATAAATTTTAAATAGTTTTTAATCATTTTAGCATATTCAGGTATAAAATAATATAGCAAAAATTCATCTCGTAGGTAAAAGCTGCTTTTACAAGGGCATATAATAAAAATTCTGTAGCTGTACCATATATAGTGAGTGATACATCAAAGAAAAAAGCAGTGTCAAGTGTACAAGAAGATTTCTTGGTAGAAGAGGAAGAAGAAATGGATTCTGATCATAATGACGATAATGTTGATACAGATAAAATGATTAAGGTTTGTTAGAAAATAGTTTACATTATTAAGATTGTACGTGTATAATTATGATATTTATTGATTATAATGTATTTCAGGCAAAGAAAGCTACAAGCAAGAATATTGAATCAAAGGGTAAAAATACTAATAAAACTGAGGAGAAAGGCAAAAAAGATAATAATAAGCCCAGTAAACGTGGAAAAGGACGAGGAAAAGCAAAATAATACAAAAATATAAAATTGGGATGTGACTTTTATTTAAAAGAAAGTAAGAATTTATCATTTCCTAACACTTATATATTTTTATTTTTTATTTTGCAAAAAATGATATAAATCACTTTTTGATGCATCTTTTATGTCAAAATGGACAAGTAACTTTTTTGAAGTAATATTGTTCAAAAGGATATATTTTTTACTCTTCTGCTTCAGTTTCTTCAAAAGATGCGAGTTCTGATCTGGTTTGTACGCATTCTGGAATAAACAAAATTTGAAAATTTTTAAATTAGCACGTAAAATACATATTTGTAATTATATTTTTGTATTGCATAACTATTCGGTTATATAGATGGTATATAGACAAAGAAAAAGTGTATTTGATTGTAACTATACATACGCCTTGCTCTAGGTTTCCATCCAATATATTCATTAGTTTTTTTATTTTCTGCTGTAAGCCAATCTGTCAATGGTTTAAAGTACTCTAAGAGTCCAGCAGACTCCATGTTTTTCTGACCTGTGATTCTTTCCATTGCATCTTGCCAAGGTTTAGAAGATCCCAATTCCAACATGTTCCTATATTGTAGAAACAAGCTTCATAGTAGTAATTTTATATGTTAAATAAATTATAGAATTGGAAAAATGGAAACTTACTTCAATAGGTTTCCAGCTGCTGTATTATTATAAATATCACATTCATGTAATAGTTTTGAATTCGGATTTTGTGGATCGTATTGTTTTGCTTCAACACAAAGTGCTTTATGGAATTGGAATTGCACCACAAAGCTCACAAAATATCTCATATACTCAACATCAGCTATTATATGATATTTCGCACCAGGGTCAAAGTCATCTTCCGATCGATCTACTGGAGCTTCAATACCTTGAAATTCTTCAGCAAGGTCCCACCTAATTATGAATTAAATCAATCGTTTTATAATTTTTCCAAATTTGTAGCTTAATTAAATATAACTTAGCAATAATACTAACCAATTACAATTATAATTGTCTGATGTGACTTGTCCTTGGAACACATTCCAGCGCCATTTATCCATCATATATGCAAATGGCAAGAAGACAATTTTTTCGAGGCCTTTCAAGAAAAGATGATTAATATTGGCTTCCGTGTCGGTTGAATCATCATCTAATAATCTAAAATATAACAAAAGGGATAAAATTTAATTTGGCCAATTTATCGCTTTATTGTTATAGTTCCAGTTTCAAAAATATATATGGTTTACAGCCGGACTAATTAAAATATGTGAAACAAAATTCTCTAAATTATGTGCAATTAACGTGTTATTTACTTAATGGCTTTCAGGTGGCTCGGTGTAGATGCGCTAAGCGATATAACATCGCCAACAGCTTCATGGAATCCTGGATTGGCACCCTCCTTGAAAACGTTTGGTTGATCTCTGTATTGCAGATAATATTCCACATGACCCATCTCGTGATGTGCAGTCAACAAATCTTCCATGTTAACTCTGGTACACTGTTTAATTCTAAAGTCCTTGCCATCATAGAAGTCCCAAGCACTCGCGTGACAGATTAACTCGCGGTCTTTTGGTTTTTCCAATACCGATCGTTGCCAGAACAGATCGGGCATTGCAGTGAGATTGATCGAGGTGAAGAAGTCCTCGGCAACACGGAAAATAGTTGTAGCGTTATATCCTGAGGAATCGTTTGTACAGAAATTAAAGGGACTTGTCTGTAAGTTTGGCATTCAACTTTTAATCTTGTATTTGTAGAATGAATTATATACCACTCATTTATATAAAATATTGATGTAATAGATTTTAAAGAATCTCTATTTGAATGATTCTCAAATATTTTATTGATATGTATATATATATATTTTTTTGTATTACATACATACTATACTATATTTCTTTTATATTACTTTTTAATCGTATTTATATCTTTTAATCTACATCATTAGCATTAATGTTCATTTCGTGTTAATTTATGTTATTAATATTTAGGAATTTTTGAAATTTGATTTGATGAATTATGTACTCGTCAAATACAGAACTCGAAATTTTGTACTAAAATTTAAAATAGAAATACAATATTAACATGAACGATCACAAATATACACACAAATATACACAAAATAATTAAAAATTACACGTTATAGATACTTATGCAGTTCCTATCGTCAATATTTTTTTACGGAATGAATTATGCTACACATCTTGCCAATTTATATTTAAACGCTAATCAAACCTTGTTTAATCATGGCGTGAGTGACGTCTGGCATTTGCTTTCCCGGGTATGGAATAGCGAAGTCTGCGATATTCGTCCAAGTTTGCGCCCACATATTGCCCAATAAGTGCGCTGGGATAGGGCCATCTTTCGAAACGACGTTCTCCCCGTATTTTTTTCGAAGCTCTCGGCGAACGTATGCGTGTAATTGCAAATAAAGGGGTTTCAACTGTTGCCAGAGTGCCTCTGAAAATATTTTGTAAAACGAGTAAAAAATTCTATAGTCCAGTGATTTTTATTCTGATTCATTTCGAAATTAATTAATTAAAATATCAGATTAGTCTTTCATACTAGTTAAACGAGCACTATTTTCAATTTTTTTGGTCCAGAAGATTGTTATTTCGCGCTTCTTGCTTTAGCTTCTGTTTTTAAACGTTTATGTTAATATTTATAATTATTAGATATTTTTAAATATTTTCTTGAAATATATTATTATTTAATAATTGTAATTATTAAATATTTTTTAAAAAAATATAAAATATTATGTTAATATTTATTAATTTATTTTCTAACATCTAACTTACCAATTTGCTCAGGGAAGTCATCAGCCTCGTAATCTTTCAGCCAGTAAGCCGCGTTGTCGGAAAAATTGTTTAATGTGGCAGCCAGGTTACTCAGTTCAACGTACTTTGGGTACAATGATTTCACTTTTTCGCCCGTTGCTCTCCTCCATTCCACCCAAATGTACTTCAGTTCCTCGGGGTCACGGCTCTTCATTAGAATTTCCGTCAGTTCCGGTTCCAAAGCGAGGTCGCATCTACTTCGGTTCTTGTAATCGCAGATTTTGGCCGTGCTGTAGATGTTCTCCATGTCGCTTACAATTTTTTCGTACTCTTGATAACGCTGTAACAAATGTTCAATTAATTGCAGAAATGGTGGAATTTCATAGTACACGGCTATCGCGATTATACTGGTAAAATTTGAAATAAACACGAAAATGTATTTGCATAGAACTAACAAGATACTTGTTGCAAACGTACACTGTAAAGATTATTAGCAAATTAATTAATAAATCTCTTATATCTTCTATACGCAATTTAAATTTTATAATCATTACAGTCGTATCTCGTTAATGAAATTTACAAAAAGTTCTTCTTTCTGGGAGAAATTTCTCTTTGTAGGAATCTGATTGTGAGAGTAGAAATTTCGAGACTTTAGACTGTAATATATAAAATAATTCGATTGTTACATCTTCGGGAAGCGCTGACCGTCCTAGGACACTGAATTTCTTGAATTGTCGCCTGATCCGTGAATCTTTAATGTCCTTCCAAGGGTATTCGTTCACTTTCTCCCAGGCGGATTTGAAGTACCGTGCCACCTCCGCGGAGACGTTCAGTTTCTTTCCCAAATTCTCTTCCGTTAAATTCGCCGCGTACGCCCAATTTGCCAGCGTGTACTTGTTGTTCCATTCCCCATATTCCTTGTTGAGCTGTTCCAGAAATTCTTTGGCCCTTTGGAGGTCTTGTTCCGAATCTGCTGCGGCGTTACTGGCATCCTCGGGTGTTGGTATTCCCCATGCCACCGTCACGAGGACCGCCACCAATAGTCTGTGGAATTTACGTTGTAATTTTGTGAATTTTGTGAATTTACTATGCCGTTATTAATTAATTAACTCTGTGAAAATATACGTTCAACGTTAGTCAGAATTTCTCTTAGATGAAAAATGTTATGAAGTCGTGGATTCAAAAAAGCAGAAGAATTGAAGATTAATATCGTGTGGTTGTTAGAAATATTTATTCCCAATATTTTGGAATGTTTGTAAAGTACAAGATTCTTTAAAAAAAAAAAAAAAAAAATAACAGGAGTCGAAGGGATTTTATTGCTATAGTCGCTGTATTTTTATCAATTATCCTATCCACACTTTAAATATATATATCTACATTTAGGACGGAAATAGAAAAATGTACATAAACTTGATCATTGATGTGTAACGTTAGTTTCTCAAATAGTGGCTGTAAGATCGAGCACAATCGTTTCGATCCAACGATCTGAAAGTTTTCAAGTTCGCAAAAGTTCGTTGATATATTTCTCATCTGATTCGTGTCCTTCTGTATCCTTTCAACGAATTACGGCAACATTAATCGGTGCATTAAATCGATCGAAAATGGTTCATGGTACAGCATGTAGAAATCGTCCTTCACAAGATATCATTTTAGCGAAATTTCATAACATGGTAACCGAAGGACTTCAACGAGTTCGTAATTCATTTTTCAACACTTGTAAAAATCTTTTATGAAAAACGTTATCTCCGTTCTGCAAAACGTTTCGAAACATTCATTATAATGCTGCAAAACTATCGGTGGTACTCAAGTCTGAAAATATGATGTAGATATTACAATATAGTACGTGTTTCGCAGAAATCAGAAAAGCGATTGAATTATATTAAAACGAGTTTAAATATTCAATTTTGCTGTTTATCACAGTTAAAAAACGATTGTACACTAATTCGCTGTGTGTTGTAACTTTCATATGATTTATTAAACTTCGAGTGTAGCCGTATCGTATATTATTAATGAAATTTCGTAACGTTTTACAAAGGGAATTTCAGAATGCAAAGGAAAAACGCGGTAAAAAAGGAAAATTTTACAAATGTGATGTTAAGTTTACGCGGATGGACAATAAATAGGGACTTCTAACGCGTGTGATATACATCTAGAGGCAGTAAGAGGGTTTAAATTATAACATCGCGTGGTCATAGTGCCTTAATCATCCGTGCTCTTTGTATTTTTCAATCGGCTGCAATAAGATAATTGCTTCCAACAATCAATCACGTAGTACTACAACGTGATAAGAATAGCGGAGTAAATCTCGCTTTTACAAATTTGTTTTTTTTTTTTTTTCATTTAAAAGTACACAAGATAAACGCCTGTAACTAACAATAAGTTTATCGTTGACGAGGATTTATGAGAATTCTTGTGTTTGGATTGACTAGTCGCGTAAGAAGAAAATTCGACAGTACCAGATACTCTTTTCTATGACTGAATATTATTAGTGAAATTTGAATCTTATTGTAAAATTATTATTATTACCAGTATTGCTAGTAAATTACTGTACAAGAGGAACAAATTATTAATACTGACGACTACGTTAAAAGTCTTGTATTTTTCGTGTAAAGAACGTGTGATGATGTTTGAATGTTCCAACTTGATTATCTTTCGATGTATTTTCTATTAGCTGATGTTGATTGATCATATATATACAGGGTGTTTCGTAACTTGTGGGACCCACTTCGGGAGCTGATTGTACGCCTAAAAATAATGAAAAAAATGTCATATAAATATATGTCCTATCTGTCTTCGTTTATGAGATATAATGAATTTTCTGTTTTTAAAAAGATACTCGAAATGGCCACCTTGCATTTGAAGACAAGCCTGCACGCGTTTTGTCATTCATCTGGTTACTCTCTCTATCATTCCTGGTGTTTCTCGAATTTGTCGGAAGCCTTGCTCTATTCTATTTCGTAGTATTTCAGCATGTTCAATCGACGTTGCGTATACGATAGATTTTAAACGTCCCCACAAATGAAAATCTAATGGATTCAAATCCGGAGAACGAGCAGGCCATGCAAATGGGTCCTCCACGACCAATCCATTTATTTGCAAAGTGTTGATTTAAAAATTGCCTGGCCACTCGGCTAAAATGCGGCGGAGCTCCANTTGTAAACAGTGCGAATTCTTGCTTACGAACTATTGCGGTCTATGGAAAGAGAGGCCGGACAGAGAGTTTGCTCTGTTTATAAAATTCATTATATCTGATAAACGAAGACAGATAGGACATATATTTATATGATTTCTTTTCATTATTTTACAATCAGCTCCCGAAGTGGGTCCCACAAGTTACGAAACACCCTGTATAATATATAATATATTATAATAAAAACTGTAATATATAATATAATATATAATATATATATATAATAATATATATAATATATAATATATATATATATATATATATATAAACATTATCTTGTTTCTTAAAAGAAAAAAATAATTACATTATAAAATAGTATTAAAACGAAAGATATAGTTTATAATAACTAGATAAAATAAATAGTAATTGAAATACATTAAAATAGTATTAAAATGAAAGATGTAGTTCATAATAGCTAGATAAAATAAATAGTAATTAAAATCTGTTGCTCTAGCGATAACAAGTTTCCTACATGCTACAGGATCCAGCAACTTTCAGTCAATGATTATTAATTTTTTATAAATAAAAAAAGAAAAGAATACAAAACACCGAATACGTTCTTATCGTACACGATATTATTTCGTATCACAACTGCGTAATCCGATGATTATGAGAAGTTTTATCGCCGTACGATTGGATTTTTCGTTACGAAACACAAATATGTACATGGCATGTCTGTCGCGTGCATTTGAAAAAAAAAAATGTTGAAATGAACGGTAATAACGGAAATAATATCAAGTAACTCGAAAATCGTGTATACTCACGGGCGCAGCATTTCCTTTTCGCAGCTCGTTGAAGTTGGACGAATTAACGAGACAGCTGACCGACGATTATAGCCGATTAAGGAGCAACTTTCACAAGTCTTAAACAAAATATCGTTGCCTTGTGTAACAGAACCTGTCCACTCTCTGGCGAACACTCATCGAGTGATGTCGGACCACACGACACGCTAACTTTTATGCACGGTCCCCACTCTGCCGGTGTAATGTTTTCCCGGCTGATGAACAAACGCGACATTATTCGTGGCCGATCTATTCTACTAGTATTGACAGCTTCCTCGTCGTGCATTCTAACGAGAATTTTACCCTTTATTTTACCCTTTCCCATCGAGAATCGAATTCTCCTCGACAACTGATACGTAATCGAGTTGTAAGAAATTGAAAAAACTTTCTCTGCAAAAAACTTGCACAGGCATCTTTATAATTTTTAAGTATAGGAGAAATTTCCATAGGAATTTGTTTCAAATATATTAAAAAAAAGAATTAACGACATTTCTCTGACAGGTTGGTCCTCTGATAATATGAAACACCTTGGCACGTTGATTGCCGCGCGAAATTTATGTTTTTGCTCGTGAGATGGAATATTTAATTTTTGTGAGATATTAGACGCGTGGTAACAAAAGTGCAACAAAAACGTGTTTTTCACTTTACAGTGCTATTTAGTTATATATATATATATATATATATATATATATATATATATATATATATATAT